GCAAGTGCGACAGAGTTGGACCCAGCCAGACATGGTCCAATTGCAGCTCTTCAGGTGCAAGGTAGTGCCAAAGAACTTATCCGTGAGTTGACACCCCAACAGTTGCAACATGGTGACATCGACCCAATGACTGGACAGCAGCTGACGGGACTCATGTTGTTAGTGACTGTTCTTGCATGTCGCTATGCACCTCTTGAAGCTGAGAACACAACGAAATCGATTGCAGAATTCTTGTCATTTCGTCGCCAACCTGGAGAAACAATCGACAGCCTTCTTGTTCGTTTTGATATCTTGCGAAACAGGGCACAGAACCGTGCCGGCTTTGCAGTGAATCTGACGGGTTTGACATGGCTTTTGCTTCAGTCATTAGGCCTCGGTGTTGAAGCATGGGACAGATTGTTGGCTCCACTTGGGGGACAAATGCCACAGAATGATGTTGAGTTTGGTGCGTTGTGTGAACGAATTAGAAGACTATTTCATCTGAAGGAAGGTCGAATGCAACATCCTGGAACACAGGGAGCAATGGGTGATGCTGGTAATTTTCATGTGACTGAGGGTTACTTTCCAACCTTTGTACCCGATGGACCCCATGGAAATGCCTATCAGACAGGTGGTCCAATGGCTCCAGATCCCTGGGCCACTGCACATGCAGCAGCAGCCGCTGCGGGAAACATTCCTCACGAGCAGCCTGAAACAAGTGGGCTTTCATCCCAAGCATTTGCAGCTGGTAGTGTTCCCAATCAATGTTGTCCAACATGTGGCAATTATTTCCAAGATGATGCATATAGTACTGATACGAGTTCAGATGACGGTAGTTCCATGCCAGGTGACACAGATGATCCAGTTGAAGCCTATTTGCAGTATGCCTTTGCTCGCAAACGTTGGCGTCGCATTTCAAATAAGTACCCCAGAAGATATCGTAAGAGTTTCAAAGGGGGAAAGGGGTATCGACCAGGTGCCTATGCTGCGTTTCTTCCTCCCAATTCTTTTGCCGGTGGAAAAGGGGGAAAAGGAAAGCCTGGCAGTTCTTTCAAGAAAAGAAATCCAAAGGATAAGAATGGTGTTACCCTCAAATGCAACATATGCCAATCAGAAGAGCATTTATGGCGCAACTGCCCAAAGAGGAATCAATCCGGTGATGGATCATATGCCACCAATGCAATCCCAACTGCCAATGTTCATGTTGCACAGCCTGCTTCCCAACAACAGCTAGCACTGATGCCATGTAATAACATGTTGTGGGGTCCGGGTCATTCCACGTCGCTGCCAGGAGTGCATTTCTTTGGAACGGAAATGGAGAACCTCCGAAGTGTGTCGCAGGCCGGAAGTGCTGTCAGCAGTCGAAAGCGTTCTAGTGCACATGAACCTGATGCGACGCCCAATGCACCCACTAAGTCAGCCGCACGATGGAGTCCAAGTTTCTTTCCAACAGCCACCACTGAAGTAAACCCAGAAGTTGAACCTTTGATTGCCAATGCATCCCAACCAGTTGTGCCGCCTCCAACTGAACCAGCTCCAGCAACCATTCTCTTAGGTGTCAGACGTGATGTTGAAATGCAGCTGAGCCCAGTGAACCAGCCGTTGGAGTGAATGCAGCTGCATCCGTTTCCCAAGCATCCGTTCCAAATGCATCCGCCGCTCATGCATCCGTGCCGCATGGAGTTTCTGAGAATGTTACAGCATCCGATGCCACTGCTGATGATGCGAAGTTCAGTAGAATGTCAAAGCAAGAGCAACAACGGTTGAGAGATCAGAGTATAGCTGGTTTACAGAATGTTTTGCAAAGTTTGGACAATCGAAGTGAAGTTGGTTCAGCTGTGGGTTCTCAAGTATCAAATCCAAATATGCTGTCAGGACGTCATGTGCCCAACCTGGAAAACAGTTTGGTTTCACAGCCGACGATGCTTCCGATGCCGTTCATGTCGCATGTTCCAGGTGTCCACATGCATGCGATGCCACAGATGCCAATGGCGTATCCAAAAGCTGTTTGGCCATCACATGTTTCCCATCAGTTTCCACAGCCCGGTCAGTCGAGTGGTGCACAGTCTAGTTCAGGTGCCACAGGTTTTGTGCCTTTCGATCCCAATGCCGGCAGTTTTCCATGGTGGGAAGTTTCGGAGAAGCCAGATGATGAAATCAGAAACACGGAGAGTTCATATCACCTTCGAACTCGCCGACGTGATGGCAGTGTTGGCCTGCTTGTGGACCCAGGTGCACATGACAACCTGATAGGTGGTTTGACAGCCCAACAGATGTGCAGTGAATTGCAATCAAAACTTCACCTGCGAGCAATGAATAAACCTTTGCCAGTAGAAGGGGTTGGTAAAGCTGCTCAGGTAGCCGACCAAGCTGCATGCATCCCGATGTCAGTTGTTGATGTTTTTGGAAAACAGACAGATGTGATGTGTTGAGGCTGGCAGTAAAACGGATGCCTCTTTTGCTGCCAACATGCCTTCCCATTGCATCCAGACGACAGCTGATGTTCCGAAGCCAATAGTGAAGCCTAAAATAATCTCAAGGGTTGATAATTTGGCCTGGGTGTTTTCTGATAAGTTTGGTCTAAGACAACGTTTACTGCAAGAGCTCAACTTTAGAACGCTGCATTTTTATCATGATCTTCACAGCCGATCACAGTGCCAGCGGTTGTTGAATGAGATTGTGTTGCAACGTCCTCTTGTCTTGTGGATTCGCTTTGCAGGACCTTGTGTTGGCTCTGGAAATCGCCAAGATGCTTTGAGAGCCGAAAACCTTATCAGAATCCTTTCTTGCCAGCGGAATGCCAATAGGTTTGTAATTGTGGAAGCCAGTGAACGCAGTCAAGTTTGGAATCTCCAATGCGTCAGAGACTGCACCAAAACTTTGTTGCAAACTTCACATCGATGGTGTCGCTATGAGAATGTGTTGAAATCAAATGAAATGCCATGCAGTTCCAAGATCCGACTGCTTACCAATTTCCATGTTGCAGATGGCAGTGAATGTAGATGCGGTCATGTCACATGCCAAATCCAAAGAACTTGGAACCCGTTCAGCTGCCCGCTTCGAGAATGTTTTGCGAACAGTCATGCACCGTGTTTGTTTTTACAATTTCCAGACAGGTGATCCGTCGCAGATGCTCGCCAAAGGACAACCTGAGTTAGAGTCCGATGACATCTCAACACCTGTTTTGCCAGAAGAAGTGAATGCCGGTGCCGATGGTTCCAAGAAAGCAGTTCGTTTTGGAAGCTTGCATGTTGCTGCAAAGCCTTTGCCTGCCGATGCACTTGCCACCATGTCAGAACATCCAAATGCCTCCAGCAGTTTCAACAGCCACCGTGATTTTTGGATTTCTCATGGAAGACATGGCCTGATTCGTGTGCATGTGGAACCTCGTAACTCCATGTTTGTTCCAAAAAGCGGTGAATGCTCAGTTCCTCTTGATGCACTTTCAGAACAACGGCAGACTAGACTTCAGCAATGTATTTCCAATTTGTTTCAGCAATCTCCACCAATAATCATCCATGATGACTGGAAAGCTTCGAGCTCAAATGCAACATCTTTTCAGTGGGTTGGCACAACTTCCTTTTCCATCAAACCTCATTCCGTGCAAGAGTTGCCACAAGATCCAAAGCTATCAACAACTAAGCAAATTTCAGAGCGACAGTTTGGACCTCATTCATTGCCACAGTTTGAACCTGATTCAGTGCAACAGTTTGAACAACAAAGACATGATTCAATACGACAGTTGTATCCAACAGAAAGTGCACTGCGTCAAAAGAAGAAACGTGCTGAAGGACACGTAGTGCAGCCCCGCAAGAAACATGTTGAACAACACCAAGATGATTGCGGGGAGAATTTCGACATCCTCAAAGTAACAACATCCGATGCATCCGAAGCCAGTGTGAAAGAGCAAGCCTTTTATGACTTAGCATGTTTAGTGATTGGAAGCCCAACTCTCCAATTCTATGGTTCGGGTACGGAAGTCCCACCAACTGCCTGGACAACATGTTGTAACTCTTTCAATATGGCTTCAATCTTTTACCAACGAGCGAGGTATGATGAACCTGGTATTGACTGCATGGAATTGTTTGGAGGTTCAGGCACCACAACCTTTTTGCTTGCGAAGTACCATGGTTGGAAGACTGGAGTGAATTTTGAATTGTCTTGCGGCATTGACCTCAGCAAAGATGCAGATATCCGATATCTCTTTGCGTACATCCGTAGAAATAAGCCTAAAGTGATTCTTCTTGCGCCACCTTGTAAGGGTTACTCTAAGTGGGGCCATCTCAATAAGAAAATCAACTATGAAGCTTGGCTGAACAGCCGAAAGTTGAGTGTTCCTTTGGCCCGACTTAGCGGCGATGTTGCTGCGGAACAGGTGTCGTCCGGACGCCATGCATTTGTTGAGCAGCCGCACGGCAGTGGTCTGTTTGAAGAGCCTGAATGGTTGAAACTCCGACCACATCTTTTCACTGCAGTTTTCGATCAATGTATGACAGGATTGCGAATGCCGAAGTCTCCATGGTGGCCTGTGAAAGACGACTGAATGCAAGGCCACCCATCCTTTGCTTTTGATTCACCTTCAGAACTTGCGATGTGATGGAAGTCATCCTCATGCGCATATTGGGAGTTGGTCTGACTCTGATAAGCCAACTGTGAAGAGTTGTGATATGCAAGTTTGGCCCATTGCTCTTTGCCAACGCATTGCTGCTGGGGTGGTTGAATGTATCCATGACATGATGTCTAAGGAATGCAAAGCTCAGTACTTTCCAACAGCCAGTACTGCAGCCGGTGAGCCAGCCGATGGTCCAGCTGGAGATCCACCTCAACCTCCAAAATATACCTGCCCAGCATGCAAGAGCCATTTGCGTAAGACCGATCCCAAGCATGTTAGAGATGATACTTGTAAGTTCAAAGACATAGAAAGCATTGTATGGTCATGTCCTGGTTGTGCTGCTCGAAGAAACCGTGCTCATGAGTCACACACAAATGATCATACTTGCCAGTGGGCGATTGCCCGTTCTATGCCTGAAGGTGCGTCTCGCGAGCGTAGCTCGACTCATCCAAGGGACGGGAGAGTCCCAGCATCCAGTGATCCAACCTCTCGGATGCGAGGTGAGGGCAGAGGAGATGGAGTTCCAGGCGATGCGCAGCCAGCCCTAGCTGATGTTGAATCAGCTGAGTGTCCTGAGATCTTGAGCCCTGAAGAGGCTGAGGAACGGAGAAAGGACAAAGCGCAGCCCTTGAAGCGCAGATCCAATGCTGAAGTTCAGGTTGAAGAGCCTAGGCTGATGGAGCGACCCAATGCTCCTGTTGATGATGCAGTTGCCTTGCCTGCCGAGCAAGCTGTAGCAGCTGTTGCACAGCCTCCCAAAGATGGCCTGCCAGCTTGGACGAAGCACGACCTTGGCTTCGCGCTCCAGCAATTGAGGTCAATCAGAGAAGGAGTAGTTAGGCGCACCCTGCGCAAATTGCACCTGCGATGGTATCATGCGGGTTCTAGAAAGATGCAAGTGTTGTTGGAAGCTGCCGGTGTTAATCCTCAGATCCTTGCGATGATTCCCTCCATCATCGATACTTGTGATATTTGCAGACATTGGCAACGACCTGGTCCGAAGTCAGTTGCATCAACCAGACTTGCAGAAACCTTCAATAAAGAAGTGCAGATGGATCTCTTGTTTTATAAAACTCTTGTGGTTTTGCATTGCATAGATTCTTGCACTCGATGGACTTCAGTTAGCTTGTTGCCGAACCGTGAGCCTAGTTCCATGGATTTGCCAACTGTTGGGTAAGGTTGTTTGGCCCACCAACAAATATCCTGTCGGATCAGGAAGGCGGTTTGATCACAGATCTTGTGGGAGACTGGATGGACCGAAGAGGCATTCAGGTATGTTTTCGTGCCAGAGGACAGCACTGCGGAATGGTTGAACGCCATAATGAAATCCTCCGTCGTCAATTGCACTTGCTGGAGGATCAATCCAATGCTGAAGGATTAGCTGTGACGTTCTCGACAGTGCTGGCCGAAGCAGTGTTTGCAAAGAATGCCATGTTCCAGTTAGGCAATGCCACTCCTTATGAGGCCATTTTTGGCCGTCATCCGCCGCTGATGGCAACGGTCAGCGAAGAGTCCGGTGAAGGGATTTCTGACCGAGATGCCTACACCATTCGAAGACTTGCCATTAGTAGTATGATCCAAGCCACTGCAGACTCCAAAGCCAGGATTGCAGATTCATCCAAGACACGTAGATCAGGAGAACTTCTTGAATTGAAACTTGGTGATTTGGTTGAATTCTACAGAAAGCCCATGAACAAAGACACTACTGGATGGCATGGGCCTGCTGAAGTAGTTAATTTAACAAGTTTGCAAGATGGTTTGTTGCATGTAAAGTGGCAGGGTAGAGTTTTGGCAGTGCGCACCCAAGATGTGAGAACGGCTATGGTTTATCTCACATTCCTCATGCGTCCGTCCGGACCAATTCGCACTTTCAAAGCCGAAGTTGAAAACCAAACATCAGGTGCTGTCAGACTTGGGTGGATGCGTCAAGGTCAGAACTGGATTGAGTGTCTTGCCAATAGGACACATTCCAATTTGCTTGCAGCTGGACTTTATTTGTCGGCGGTTTGTATGAATTTGCAAGGTGTTATTGGCTTCAGATGTGGTGTAAACGTGCATAATCTCCCAGCTGTAGCTTTTGATGACACGCTCCTCCTGTGGTGGAACTTGCAAAAGCCTGGACTGTCCGAGTGGTACCACTGTTTCTTGCCTGGAAATCAAGTTTTAAATGTGCCACGTATAACGAATGATCCAGATGCTGCAATTGTCCAGTTCTTGATGGTTGACATGACAGAAGTGATGTCTCTCAGGCAAGTTGCGCCTGATATACCGCACCTAGGTGGATCGCATGAACCTGATATGCCTGATATGAATGATAAAACTGATGAAGTGTTGCGTGCCAAGGGACCCAAGCCTTTGCAGAATGCACCTCAAATAAATCCCAACTCCGAAGCAGACAGTCCGAACCAAGATGGAAATGTACCAACCTCGAATGAAGCAGCAAGCAGCCTGTTTGCTGATGCTGATGAAGCGTCCTATGATTTCCAATTCCAAAATGTAATCTCCGATATAAGTTTTCTTGGAACTTTTCATGATGAAATGCCTGCTTGCCCCGGACATGTTGTTTGCGGTGAGTTTTCAAACTTTGTGAGTGCCGAAGAACTCACTGAGCCGCCTGAGTTGTTGCTGCCTGGCAACATGCTGACCTATGTGACGCTGTTAACAACACGTCACAGCCCAAAGCTCAATCTTAATGAGCCGCCTGAGTTGTTGCTGCCTGGCAACATGCTGACCTATGTGACGCTGTTAACAACACGTCACAGCCCAAAGCTCAATCTTAATGAATGGCTGTGTCTCAGCTTTGCATCCGGTGCCGAAACCACTGCAGTGATCGAGAGGACGAATAATATTCTTGATCGAAATGAGGCTCTGCTTAATGTGGATTTGTGCCGTGAAGCTATGATTCTTGAGTTGATGCGATGGGTCAAACATGGCGCGTGGAAACGTGGAAAGCTCAGTGATGCCTCCAATGTTTTTCAAATCCAAATGGGTACTCAAGTGGAAAGATATCCAAGATGGTCAGACTAAATCTCGAAAGATCAAAGCTCGCCTGGTAGCCCAGGGTTTCTCAGATAGGCAGTCCACAGATACCTATGCTGGGACATCCACTCGATGGGGACAGAGACTCCTTATCACGATAGCAGTGCAGCGAAAGTGGGCTCTTTGGAGTGCCGACATATCAGAAGCTTTCTTACCGGGACTGACGTTCCGTGAGCTGCACGAAGAAGGTGGTGAGTTGCGTGAGGTTCAGATCACGCTTCCACCGGGTGGTGAACATCTCCTTCGCACCATCCAGGGCTACTCAGACTTCGATCCTGATGCTGAAGTGTTGGTGATGTTGAAGCCGGGTTTTGGTTTGAAAGATGCTCCAAGATTGTGGTTGAAAGCTCTCAAACGCGTGTTGACTAAGATAGGTGTTAGTCCAACTAAAGTTGATCCACAGCTGTTGTGCATGCACCGCAATGGTGAACTGGTCTTGCTGATGACCATTCATGTTGATGACATAAAGCTGTGTGGACATCCGTCCATCATGCAAGATGTGGTGAAACAGCTTGAGAGCCACTTTGATGCAGTTAAGTTGGAGAAGGACAATTTCGTCCATCTAGGTCTGGCCCATAAGTTAAACCCCGATGGTAGTATCTCAGTTAGCCAGACGCACTATATAGCCGAACTTCGTGAGATCCCAGAAACTCAGATTCGTACGATGGCCAAAGAAGATCTTGTTGATGAGCACCATAAGCATTTGTTCAGGTCACTGTTGGGTGGTGTTGCATGGGTTGTTCAGACCCGTCTTGATGTTGCAGTTTATGTCGGTTCTCTGCAGCGTAAACTCCAACAGCCTTGTGTGCTTGATGTTCAGAACCTCAACAGACTTCTGAAGTATATCAAAAGAAATCCACCCAAATGCGGTTCAGAAGGATCAGCAATCCATGGCGTCTAGTTGCCATCAGTGATTCAGGTTTCAAAGGTGAGGGTGATGATCACCTTGCAGTCCGAAGTGGTTTGGTGTGTTTGGTAAACAAGGATTTCCCAAAGCTTGGATGCAATGAGATCCAAGTTGTAGAGTTTGTTTCAAAGAAACAGTCTAGAGTCTGCCGATCGACATGCTGCTGAGATGTACAGTGCTTTGGACCTGGCCGGTCTCCTTTTCAATGTTTCTCTGACGATGTGTGAAGTGTTGGAAGGTACATGTTCAGCCGAAAAGCTGGCTAGTCGTTTCGAAGATGGTAAGTTGTCACTGGATTCCGATTTGGTGATAGATGCAGCTGCAGTATATGATCATATAGCGCATGATGAGGCCAGAATTCCTCATGACTCGACGATGACGATACGTGGACTGAAGTTGCGAGAGCTGCTGGCAACTGGTAAGTTGCAGAGGATGATATGGTGTGACACAAGATGTATGTTGGCTGATGGACTGAATAAAGGGACAGTTGACCGTGAACCGTTGCAAACTGCAGTACGTGATGGTGTATGGAAAATTGACCATGCTGTTCGTGTTCATCCGTCGCAGATGCCTGAAGTTGCAAAGCAAGCCAAGGACAACCTGAGTTAAGAGGGGTTGATCCTGTACCACCTCCCATACATATCCAATCCTTCTGCATATCCAGCATCCGTTGGTCAGGTCGACAACCTTGCACCTTGGATTGTGGCCGCAGCTTGTCAAGCAATTCTCAAGTTCCTTTGCATGCCCCGAGACTGATCCTTTCCCTTTTGCATGTGCATCCGTTCCTGCTGGCTAGTCGAATCTCGATAAGCCCATTGGAAGACTATGCGACGTCCCGCTGTGGAAAAGGGCAGAGCTGCGAATGAGGCGCCCTTGGTTCTGGGGATGAGGGGATCAGGAGGGGCTCCCTACCAAAACTTATCTATAGTAGATATTATCTATAGCAGATATTATCTATAGTAGATATTATCTATAGTAGATACTATCTTGAGTAGATACTATGTATAGTAGATTTTATCTATAGTAGATACTTACTATAGTAGATATTATCTATAGTAGATACTATCTTTAGTAGATATTATCTATAGTAGATACTATCTATAGTAGGTATTATTTAAAATAGATACTATCTATAGTAGATATTATCTATAGTAGATATTATCTATAGTGGAAATTATCTTTAGTAGATTTTTTTTAATCTATAGTAGATATTATCTATAGTAGATACCATCTATAGTAGATATTATCTATAGTAGATATTACCTTTAGCAGATTTTATCTATAGTAGATATTTTCTACAGTAGATATCATCTATAGTAAATATTATCTATAGTAGCTACTATCTATAGTAGATACTATCTATAGTAGATACTATGTATAGTACATATTATCTATAGTAGATACTAACTATAGTAGATATTATCTATAGTAGATACTATCTATAGTAGATATTGTCTATAGTAGACACTATCTATATTAGATATTATCTTTAGTAGATACTATCTATAGTAGATATTATCTATAGTAGATTACATACAGCAGACATTATCTATAGTAGATATTATTTATTGTAGATATTCTCTTTAGTAGACATTATCTATAGTAGATACTATCTATAGTAGGTATTATTTAAAATAGATACTATCTATAGTAGATATTATCTATAGTAGATACTATCTATAGTTGATACTATCTGTAGTAGATATTATCTATAGTAGATATTACCTATGGTAGATACTATCTATAGTAGATATTACCTATAGTAGATATTATCTATAGTAGATACTATCTATAGTAGATACTATGTATAGTAGATATTATCTTTAGTAGATTTTTTCTATAGTAGATACTATACATGGTAGATATCATCTATAGTAGAGATTATCTTTAGTAGATTCTATCTATAGTAGATATTTTCTATAGTGGATACTTTCTATAGTAGATACTATGTATAGTAGATATTATCTATAGTAGATATCTATAGTAGATATCTATAGTAGATATTATCTATAGTAGATACTATGTATAGTAGATACTATCTATAGTAGATACTAACTATAGTAGATATTATCTATAGCAGATATTATCTATAGTAGATATTATCTATAGTAGATACTATCTTGAGTAGATACTATGTATAGTAGATTTTATCTATAGTAGATACTTACTATAGTAGATATTATCTATAGTAGATACTATCTTTAGTAGATATTATCTGTAGTAGATACTATGTATAGTAGATATTATCTATATTAGATACTATCTATAGTAGATACTATCTATAGTAGATTATATATAGTAGATATTTTCTATAGTAGATATTATCTATAGTAGATATTATCTATAGTAGATACTATCTAGAGTAGATATTGTCTATAGTAGATGCTAACTATAGTAGATATTATCTATAGTAGATACTATCTATAGTACATTTTTCTATAGTAGATACTATCTATATTAGGTATTATCTATAGTAGATTAGGTACTATCTATAGTAGATATTATCTATAGTAGATACTATCTATAGTAGATATTATCTTTAGTAGACATTATCTATAGTAGATATTATCTATAGTACATTTTTCTTTAGTAGACATTATCTATAGTAGATACTATCTATAGTAGGTATTATTTATAATAGATACTATCTATAGTAGATACTATTTATAGTTGATACTATCTGTAGTAGATATTATCTATATTAGATTACATATAGTAGATATTATCTATAGTAGATATTATCTACAGTAGATCTCCTAGATACCTCCAATAAGTCCGTACATGAAATAGCGAGTTGATGGAGTTAAAACCCAGGACTGGTGAGTGCACCTGCACCGGCTGGCCCGACAACTGCTTCGACGAGCCCAAGATCAACCCCAAGGCACCGTGCGCCATGCCCCAGCGGCGGTGAATCAACGTGAATCATCCGGTCAGACCTTGAGGTAAGTACCGGTATTGCATGTTATTACCTATGTTTGGCTATAAATATCCATAAATTTGATAAATTTGGGGGTTCCTAGTTTTCTACTACCCATCAAGAACATGTTGTTTGTTCCCCAGGGTATCGAAAACTGATCATGAAATGGGGATCTTCCTGGGAAATACCTGTATAGAATCAGAAGAATAAGAATTCAATCTCCAAAACTGGAGGAAAAGTCCACACATGATAGTTGGTTGATGCTCAACCAAGGTGTTACATATACGAATTGTTTGTTTGGATTACGGACTTCTCCAACCCGGGAACCAATACGAACCAATCAGTAGGGAACAAGGTTTTAGGCAGTGCTCAGAGAAGCACGCTCAGATGCCTGTGGTAATTTGTCACAACAGTGAGTTGGAATAGCTGAAACCTTTCATGAAACTCAAGATTGTCCATAAACCATCCTTGAAAACCATCCAACCATCCACAGGTTGCCTTGGATCTTCACAACTTTGTCAGGTCGACGGTGTGCGACAGCGATTCAGCTGGGGCGTCATTGACGACAACGGGATGCTGGGGTTTCCCAGGTTCAGAAATGGTAGACTTTGCCGCCATGATATGGGGGGTTCCAAGAAATGGGGGTATTCCAAAATGGATGGTTTGTAAATGGGAAATCCTAGTAAAATGGATGATTTGGGGGTACCCACATTTTAGGAAACCTCCGCATAACATGATTGCCAGATGAGTTTTGCATAGTTTTACCATGGTACTCATTGTTGCTCTCGATAGCAATTGCCATCATTGGTTCCTTTGAACGGCGAAACTAAATGTAGTTATATTGCAACTGTATGTAAGTGTTTAGTGATTGGAAATCAATATTGCCACAATCAATGACTCACCAGCCGTTTGTGGGGTGTAAGGACAGCCCCATATAAAATATCATTGTTTATACATATATCCCCACCGCCCCACGATTATCCTGTTGCATACATCCATTAAAGATCCAATCGTGTTGGTTGGCTCTATGCCACCTTTTTTTGATGTGTATATATATATGTATACACTATATTATATAGTGTCATTTTCTGATCAGTCCCACTTGGTGACCACTTGATATCAAAAACATATCCTCCATTCGATATCAGAAAATCCTTGAAATCTATATGAAATCTATATTAGATATCCCATATCTATCCATAATTTATATCCAATCGCAGATTTATCCATATCTATATATATAGTGTATGTATATGTTTCATATATCCATACATATATATATACACATATATATATACATATATATATACATATATATATATATTCATATACATTAATCCACATTTCATCTCCCAAGAGATGTGCGAAAAAAATAAATCCCCCTCCGCCCAACGGATCCCAAACCGAGGCTGCGACTCACGAAGCAGGATCACGAGACCCATGAAGTTTTTAAGTGCGCTTGTGGTCGTCGGTCGTCCTCGGTGTTTTTATTTATAAAGAGATGGGGTGATGGCCATGTGGCTGTGTGGATATCTATCATATATACATTCATATAACACTATATAAAAGAGATCTGTAACATATACTATAGTATATGTATAATATACACACACATATTTATATATATATAATAATAATAAGAATAGTAATAAAACATAATAGCAGCAATAGTGATGATACCAATTAAAATATATGTTCATGTTCGCATTTGGGTAATTCTTGGTGTATAGAGATTGCACTGCACTTTGATTCCACAGGTTCTGCAATGGATTGGTTCGTTCAGGAACATTATTGGTCGAAACTATGGATTTTACCTAGAACATATAGAATAAATCCAGTAGAATTTCCATTTTGCCAATTCTGGAAGAATGCTCATAGGAAACTGTTGCAGGTCCAACAAACTAGGGTCAAAGAGTCGGATATTTTGTTTCAAGGGGTGGAAAATGGCTGAACAATGAGAAGAACATGGAGATGAAGATGGAAGATTTGAGGTCTCTGGGATTGTCACCTTAAAAGCTAGTTGAAAGAAGTTGATCACCCACAGATGACAGACCAAGCACAAGAGGACAAGTTAAAACCTCTGCATTCCCACAGGTGGGAGGGACAAGATGTTTCCCGCGAACTGCCCTGGCAGCCGGTCTTTGTGTCTGAAGACCCAGTGGAATTGCAACTTGGGTTCATCCACCAAGAAACTAACATGGAGGACATCCGAAGTTTAGGAATTCGTTCCGGCTTTCTCCAACCCATTATATATATATATCTAGAAAAGTGATAGCCACAAGGGGGTGGTAATTAGCCAATTTACCCTCCGACAGTGGTGCCTTTGGAAGGTCAACATAGATCAACCGCGTCGTTGCCGAGGCCGGAGCCTTACAGTGACAAGGAGGACGCTGGTGTGGTCATGAGTTTTGTGCGAGACCAGTGTGGAAGCCCAATTTCGGGAAGGGGAGGATGTGACGCAACTAATGGGGATTCAACCTGCAAGCAGGTGGCATAATAAATAAACATATGTATATATGGATATATATATATGGATATATATATATATGGATATATATATATGTATATATATGGATATATATATATATGGATATATATATATATGGATATATATATATATGGATATATATATATGGATATATATATATATATACGCATGGATATAGATACATATGGATATATATATATATATACATGGCCAGTGCTTGGGTGCTGCCCGGCGAAGTGGAAGTTAACTGCGCAGGGCCAATCTTTTCTGTATTTTGGGATGCCAGCCAAATTGCAACTTGGCTGATGAGGTTTGTTTCCAACACACACACAGAACCCTAAACCCCAAGACCTAAATCTGACATGAAACCCTTAGTAAGCCTTGAAAGTAAAATCTTATTAAAAGTATTGTAAAATAAAACGCTAAAACATTCAAATGAAACTCAAAACAAACCACAAACAAACGCTAAACCATCCCTCAACAAATGCTAAAGAATTGGCCCCATGATAAACCTCCGGGCCCGACCTGCGGGTGAATATACATATATGATTATAATTGATTATATATATATATGTATATAATCATATGTGTACATGTTCCATATTGTATACAAACAACACATATATGATTATATATATTTATATATATGCACACCATGTACATGTATACACATCATAATTGTACATATATATATGTATTCCCAGAAATTATGGTTAGTTGATGGTTAGTTGTTGGGCTTTTGCTCGGTTGATCAGGCCTTGGCCCCCGATTTCGGAAGGCCTTTCGTAAGATAGATTCACGGCTTAGAGATAGGATGGTCATGGATATTTCATAAGTTGATGGACTTCTTGGTTGGACAGACCAGTCGCAGAATAAGAACTGCGTCCTTTCTTGATCCCTCTAGCTCTAGCAGTTAGTCTAAGATATTTCAACCAATTTAATTGTGCATTTCCACTTGGTTCTGGCCAAAGACCACACATACAAAAACATTTCAAGCGATCTCCTTTTGCCACTGCTTGTTTGATGATTTTCTTCTGCATCATCCCCGAATTTTTACATCTCACAAGCAATACCCAAGTGACTCCAAGTGCCGAAACGATCGACGTTGGATCCCAGTCACCTTGGTGAGTTCCGAGGCCAACTGGTAACTCGTTTTGCATCGTTCTGGATGCTGCCACCATGACCGAGAAGGCCGCCAGAAATGATTTGTTTTTCCATGGACTCATCGAATATCGTCGAACATCACCGAACCATAGAAGTTGTAATTGTAATATATTCCAATTAGTGATTTGTTTGTTCATGTTCTTCACGAACATCATAGAACAATAGAGATATTGATTGTATGTCAACCATGTCCAACCAACAAACCACAAATATGTCAAATATTTTGAACATTATGATTGATTGAGAATGTTACATGTTAAGAACATGATGTGGTTACTTAGCCAACACAATCATAATCATTGTTAATGATAGTAATCCAACCAAATAAATGAAAACGAACAGCCAGAATGTTTCCATACGTTTCTATTGTGTAGTGGTAGTGGTGGCTGTCTCCTTCCAGGTCTCAAAATACGTCCTAAATCGAAACCCTGGTGGAATTTATTGAATTCATGCTGTGGGTCCCTGAAAGTTAAGGCCATTATTTAAGCTCCGGACTGTGTGGACCATGACTAGCTATGTTGTCACCTTGCCACGGCTGTAAATTGTAGATGTTCCATTTCAATGATGTCAAACACCCTTCTTAACATCACCAAACTGTCCTTTCATATCTTAGAAATTCTGTGGATATGGTGTCGCCCTAAAATAGATTACCTCCCCCACCTGCTGTGCTTTAGTGATGATTTTTGCACTTGGGACCCCTATCTTGAAAAAAGACAGATAAATCATAGCACAACATATCTAGAAGGCACCGGATATCTGCTGTTGGATAGCTTCTGAAGATATGCTACCCATCATTATAGCATAAATATCTAAGTTACTCAGATATATCACACAAGGTGCCCATTATGTATATATATATATATAATGGTGTTTTTTTGGGTAACTTCTCATTTTTGGACCCATGTCTGGCAGCCATCGATGGGAGGCCCGGATTCACTTCCCTGAGGGGCACCACATTCCGTTGCGACCTGGTTTTCTCAGTTGATCGATCAGGAAACCCTCGGCGTACAAGGTCATTCATCTATCAAAAAGCGGGAATATCATCAGTGATGGTTGATGGGTGATATTCCCATTTTTTGATAGTGCTGGTAACATGGGAATATCATCAGCTAGTAGGTTAACAACCCTTAGGCAATAATGATTGGTTGATGGTGAGTGATGACAGGGTTGTTAACCTAGATGGTTGATTGCGGAATATGAAATGACCCACGATTGGGTAGACGCTATGCGAATATGTCCGTTTCCTTCCTTGTAATCTTGGGCGCATCCCGATGTGTACTCATCATATAGTCAGTGGATCTCTGCGAAATATTCCTGAGCTGGTTTATGGATAAAGAGCCCCACCAGCCCTGGTTTATGGGCATTCTCCACATGCAATGCCATTTCCTAGTGTTGATTCTATTTCGTCAATGTCATTGTTTGGATCCGCATTGGGGGGAAATCTGAACTCAGTAGGCCATCAACAGAAATTAACAGAAACTATCCTGGTGTACATCTCTGATGGGCTTGATTTGTTTTCAATTACAGACCCATACATACCAGAATGTGTACTCAGTGTACTCATCATATGCCGAGTATTTTGCAGGATGCACCAATTAATCCATGTAATCCCATGTAAAGCCATTTAGAAGCCAGTATAGCTCCTTATACAATCTTAGACATTAATAATCCTATTTAATCTTATGCATTAATAGTCCTATATAATCCTATATAACCTTATACAACCCTATATAACCCTATATAACCCTACATAACCCTATACAAAAATATATCTATATATACATATGTGTATATATAATATATATCAAATGGTTACTCTTTGTGGATCAGGTCCCTACTCCTTGGTCCCTTAACAAACAGCCACTTCCAAGGCATGGCCATGGCACCTTCATCAGAGCATAGGCGCGCGTGGATGCAACAAATCGTGAAAACCCACCAAAACTGGGATGAAGGATGGGATATATTAATATTAATCGGATATATCTGTTAAAAATTTCAGCCATCTGCAATATAAACTGGGATGTTAGGTGATGGTTTATATTGATGATTAATGTTAATTCTCCGGTTTTTGTTTCCCATATGTTGGTTAAAAACCATAGTGTTTATGGTTGAACCAAAGCCCACCCGCCCTTAGGAAGTTTGTGGGAGCAGTATGGGAATCTCACGGGGATTATCGGACTGCGAGGAAAGCCCAAAGGCCACCACTGTGTGATGCAGGAAGGAACATTTGGAGCAAAGTTTGTCCCAGGGAAACGGGCGGGGTTGTGAAGAAAAGGCAGTTGAATTGATTTTCTAAGATCAACAATCCCTTCCCCTATTACTAAACCGTCCACCCCCTCCCGAAAAAATAAACACCTGGATGAGTTTTTAGCAGTAGGGGGTGTTTAGTATTTAGATGTATTTAGTATCTTCAAAATTCTTTAAAGATTTCGGGATTCGAAGTTGGGACTAAGTTTGTTTTCAGCGCAGTCTCGGCAAGGTCTCAAGAAAGTGGCCCACGGACATGCTGAGCAGAGATCAGTTTCTGGCAGAGTCTATGGCTTTCTCTTGTTGGGCGGCCAAACTACAGAGTCTTTGTAGAATTGTCCTTTTCTTATTGATGATGCTGCTGCTGATGATGATGATGGTGATGTTGATGATGGTGATGATAGTGATGGTGATGATGATGGTGTAGATGGTGATGGTGATGATGATGATGATGATGATGGTGATGGTGTTGATGATGATGATGATGGTGATGGTGATGGTTTTGGTGATGGTGATGATGATGATGATGGTGATGGGTATGATGATGGTGATGATTATGATGATGATGATGCTGAAGGTGATGGTGATGATGATGGTATTGGTGATGATCATCGTGATGACGACGATGATGACGATGATGATGATAGTGGTGATGGTGATGATGGTGATGGTGATGATGATGATGGTGATGATGATGATGGTGATGGTGATGGTGATGGTTTTGGTGATGGTGATGATGATGATGATGATGATGGTGATGGTGATGATGGTGATGGTGATGATGATGATGGTGATGATGATGATGATGATGATGGTGATGGTGATGATGGTGATGGTGATGATGATGATAATGGTGATGGTGGTGGTGATGATGATGATGATGATGATGATGGTGATTGTGATGGTGATGGTGATGGTTTTGGTGATGGTGATGATGATGATGGTGATGGTGATGGTGATGGTGATGATGTTGATGATGTTGATGATGTTGATGATCATGTTGGTGATGGTGATGGTGATGGTTTTTGTGATGGTTGTTATGATGATGATGATGATGATGTTGATGGTGATGGTGATGATGGTGATGATGTGATGGGATGATGATGATGGTGATGATTATGATGATTATGATGCTGAAGGTGATGGTGATGATGATGGTATTGGTGATGATCATCGTGATGACGACGATGATGACGATGATGATGATAGTGGTGATGGTGATGATGGTGATGGTGATGATGATGATGGTGATGATGATGATGATGGTGATGATGATGGTGATGATGATGATGATGGTGATGGTGATGGTGATGGTGATGGTGGTGGTGATGATGGTGATGATGGTGATGGCGATGATGATGGCTTTGGTGATGGTGATGATGATGGTGATGATTATGATGCTGAAGATGATGGTGATGATGGTGGTATTGGTGATGATGATGGTGGTGATGATGGTGATGGTGATGATGATAGTGATGAGGAGGAAAACAAATACTTGTCATGAAAGAAACAGGATAGACAAACGGAAGATATTGTTTTTTGGTTTGTATATAAGATGTCCTTTTTTTCAATGATTCCTCCTTATCTTAGAACAAATATAGGTATATATATATATATGTATTTATACACAGGTATATTGACAGGATTATTAGTTGTGCAACTTCAACCGTTCCCACTGCCAGGCGGTCTCCATTCTTTCTGGTTAGAAAAGTTTCATTTTTGATTATTTTTTGAGTGTATAGCATTTTGAGGAGCGCGCCGTCGACTGCAGCGTTCCGTAAAAAGAGGGAATGATCCACCTGTCCAATCCAGCTGTGTTTGGGGTCAATCATCAATCAGAAGTGAACAAACTCTACATTGATAATATGTTACGATGTTATGATTATTGGATAAATCTACGGACAATAAGAACCAGGTTCCGGAACAGCATCGTCACAATCCCCACATCTTTCCCTTTCGCCTTCGCCACGGTCTCCTTCGCCATGAGGAAAACAGGTACGAAACGAGCCATTTCGCATGGGAAACCTTCGATGTATTCATAAATTCAAAAAACTGTAATTGTTACAGGGTCTTTAAGATTGGCCATATTTATGAGGATATCATGGGATATTATTGGATATTTGCATACATATAAATATATGCACATGTATGATCGGACCTTGATTTTTGTATTGCTTTCTAAAGGGGATCATTTAAGACTCAAATTTGCCAATCTGAAATTTCCCAAAACGAACAATCTGGGCAGTTTTTATTATTTGGGGAAATTTTAGTAATAGGAAGAAGGGACTATATACGCAACATACACAATGCTGTACATACCCCCATTGTTGTAAAAAAAATGTTTTGATGTGCCACGCCTGCATTACATCCTTTTCTGGCTACACAAGTTGTGTCGTATCTGTGTTGCGCGGGTTGCCCCGGGCGCCGCACTTGTTTGATTAGGAGAATGCGAGGCCCGTTGATATTGTGCTGCGCTGGCTTTCGCAGCCTTCAATATCTTCAATCAGGGCTGATTACTTTCGGTGTATACTGCGTCGTTTTGACTTGGTTTGTGTGGGAGTACAGTATTATCATTGAATATAAGCATTTATCTAAAGTATTTTATATATGTTTATTTACTAATTATGTATATTTGAGTTTATAGCTGCAGAAATCAGGAAGATACCAGATCCAACTGCGAAAGACACGCCGAGTCCAAAACTGTCCCAAAACTATGGAAAGATGGGCCTCAATTTGCAGCCTATCTTCAGGTCAGTGGTTTCCATTCCCCATTCAGCCGCACGAATCACTTCCCCAAATAGCCCTGATATATCCTAATGTCAACTATATTTTTAAGTACTATCAATATGGGACCTCAAAATGTACAGGTCCAATACTACCTGCAGGGTCTCGTTTGGGAGGAATGGGCTTTCGTGTACCGAAATCCTTTGAAATGTCCGAAATTTCGGCTGGTTTTGTTCTGAGATCTTGGATTAAACCAAGGTGGGATGGGCACCCTGGCCTCAACTAGCCCGTAGCCATGGTTTTTGCACCCATTGTCATCATGTGTTGGTTCACCCACCCGTGTTGATGGTTGAAGCAATGGCAAAATTCCCAATTTCGATGGTCAACTTATAAGGATACTTCGCGAACCTGAAATCTCCCTGACTTTTGCTTGGTTCAATCCTCCATGTGGACAATATGGGCTACCCCAATAGCTGGATGCTTTATAAATGTTTTTTATGGAAAAAACCATGAAAATGGATGATTTGGGGGGTAACTTACCCCCATTTGAATGGCCAAAAACTGCCAGGACTTCTGCTGAGTTGTGCTTTGATCAGCTTTGCGCATGGCCTACTGCCACCGTGGTCTGGGGCTAAGTCCTGGATAGCTGCGAAGCAAGGTCGTAGCTTAGAAGCCATGTGAAAAAACTATAAAAAACTGGGGTATGGGTCAACATCTCAGGCAGCAGATCATCGCAGATCCAGATCAGATCTAGGTTCATGATTAGAAGTCACAATTGTTGGTCAGTTTCGGTCTATGGAGCGATGTATTTTCCAATATTTTGCACAGTGGAGGAGGTGTGAATGCTGACCCCAATGGGTTTGTCTGAAAATAGGGTAATTATATTATATATATATACATATCATATAATATCATCATTTTCTGACAGACCCAAGTATGATATCAAGTTGCTTATACATCTCATATGTTCCCCCCATGTTTCATGGTTGGTTTTATTTTATGTTTTTCATCCCCTGCATTTTTCCATGGTGAAATGACATGAAAAAAACCCTTGGCATCGGCCGAGGTGGATTCTGAATGGCGTAAAGCCGCAGGGGCCTCCGGAGGATATGGGGAGCTACACCATCGTCACCTTCTCTGAGGATCCCTATCGACGCGGCCCCTAGACTCGTTACACAGCACACACACATACACATTACGGATATATAAATGCCTAGGTACAATATATGTATATGATATGAAAAGTCTATAGAAGACCATGTGTTGATTATGTATAGAGTATGCTTTGGGTTCTGTATTCGATGATTTTCTCATTATACATATATACATATATGATGTCTATATTCTGTAATGCACATGTATATTAATATATATATATATAGTATACATGTATATTATAGATATACGTACATAATATAGAACTGCAGAGAAGTGCTATTGTCGTTTGATAAGCATTTGTTCACTGCCCTTTTCGGAATCCTGGTTTGCGATCTTTGTGGTGTCCACTGGCTTTGGCAAGAGCAACCATGCTTTCAGAGATCTTTGACCTGGTTGTTGTAGGTATGTTATCGTCACACCAAAACCGCGATGTGGCTATCTTGCAGGAACAGCAAGAGCGATTTGCAATTGATGCCCACGGGGAAGTGAATCTTAACAGCAGCGGGAAGGATCACCATGTCGAGTTCTAACTGCCGCCCTACGCTGCAGCAGTGAGTTTTCCCATCCCACCATTGTGCAAAATAAATGAATAAACATTACAACCAACCCGATCCTGCGGAAGGGATTCAAGATCATGATTTTCATGGAAAGCAAGGCCAAGTATCAGGCCATTGGTGGGTCAATTGAAACTGCTGTACAACTAGCCGACTGGCCATAATGGTGACGTCATCGACCTCCCAGGAAAGACAAGGAGAAATTCCAGAAGGCCTTAACTGCTCTCAAGGCGCTGAGAACGTCATGTACGGAAAATGGCCATCCGTGAACTGGATCAATGATGCTGACGGGACGTTTAAGTAGATATAGAAAAACCATGAATGTGTGATGGAGGAAACCCGATGGAAACACCATGAAACACCATTCTATTTATTTCTATTTGAGATATATTTGAAAGGTAAAACCAGGTCAAACCCATCATGTCCAGGAATCGAAGACTCCGAAGTCGCCACGCTATGGCCTCAAGGTGCTAAAAATGTCATGTCCATGGGAACATCACCAGGGTTTTTTTGGGGTCAAGGATCCAAGGATCCAACATATGGGTGCTCCACCCAACAAGACTTAGATCATGTTGAGATATGTTAGCTGTGCGGAAACGCATGATTCAACGTCAGTGATCTGGTTGATGTAAATGAAGGGGATGGTGATCCCCAGTGAGGATATATTTTTGGGGCTCACCGAAGAGAAAAACGCGGCACGCCTTGCAATGGAATGCAGCTCGCAGATGTTGCGTTGTTAGGATTTCAACCCTATTTCAAGCACCAAGCAAGACTATTTCAACAAAACACCTCGCGGCTGGTGCTTTTAACATATGCGAAAATTGCCATCCCTCGACCCCCAAGTGACAGGGGCTCGGATTGGAGGATTGGCTCAGCCGAACGCCAGGAACCGGAATATCCTCATTTCCAGATCTGAGAGCGGTTAATGCTTCACACTGAGATTCATGACTGCAATCAAGAAACATCTACAAAACCACCATTCATTTAGATCATTTAGACCATTATCAAGCCAAATTAAGCCCAATAGTTGGGTGCATGATGTTGATTGGAAAAAGTGTGAGTCGGACTTATCTGTCAATCACAACCACGAAAGAGACTTGAGAAATCTCAGGTATAGCCTCGTTGGACAGGCTTGTAATGATCCGAACCCACGAACGCTGGGTTGAATTTGCGAACGTGAGACTGGGTCAGTTGAAGCACTTCTGAAAAACAAAACTGCAGGTTCCACAAACTCCACTGACACATTGGCATGCAGTGCAAATGTAGCATAGCCCAGGTATACTTCAAAGCTTCGTTTTGGGTAGATGTTTTGCTTTTGAAAAGGCTTTCATCACTGGGAGTCTTCCAGCACCCAGCGGCCATCAGCGAAACCTGTACATAACTGGCCAGTAGACGCGATCGTGTTGGACTCTTTGACTGTGACTTACAGCGCAAAACCAGTGGGACACACTCTATCGGTTGGGAGGGAGCAGGTAAGCAAAACATTTATTTTTTCTATATATACATGTAGCGAGGTATCCACGCCACTCCTCGGAACGCCCAGATTTGTACCATGGAATGGATCCTATTACCAGTCACGCACGTAGCATAACTGGAACAAGCCACCTTATATCTTTGCGAAAATCAAGTCAATGTCCTCCAGTTCATGGAACGTGTATGGCAGAGAGATTCTGGATGCGTGTTTGGGTGAATTCAATTGGAAGCAGTTTCGGTTGGTCGCCGGTCCTGGACATGTTCCTCTTAAGTCTTAAGTATATTTTCCCAGAAGAGGATGATGCCACAAATCACAACCACAACAACAACAACAACAAAAAGAACACGAACAATAACAAGAAGAACAAGAACAATAACAAGAAGAACAAGAAGAGCAAGAAGAACAAGAACAACAACGACCACGATCACAACCACAACCACCACAACCATCCAATCTATGTGTTGTACATGTCCGGATCCTTGGTCGGCTTTACCTTTGTCATCCTTTGTCGCAGCTGTTTGGCAAGACTGATCCTGGGATACCACCGCAGACTGACAGGCGGGCGAACCCGTAGAGCGCTCCTGCTGGCCAACCCAAGAAAGGCGTACCCTCTGTTTTCTTAATATAGCTATGATATGGACAATGGCCAATTTATATTATATATATATGATTTGTGACTATGATGATCCACATAATTATTAAACATAGTGATATTCCAGAGCTATGTGAAATATCCAGAAGGTGATTTATCTTTAATTTATCTTGATTCCAGTTGGGGATTCTTGGCACTTTGCCCAAATAGATCCATTACTTTCATATAACAATGCTATATTCTCATGTTATGCCCACCATGTTTGATGTTTATCATACCATGTTGAATAGCTACAGTTGTAGAGCCATACCCATTTTATCCCATTTTCATCATTCCCAATTATCCATATGATACATCAAGTTGATTTCGTTTTGTCTTTGCTGAATCCAGTTTTCCTTGGTTAAACAAAAAACACATCATGAATCAAACAATCCCATAAATCACAGGAGAAATATCCCAAATATACGAGAAAGCATCATTGTTTTCATCCCTGTATGTGTTGGATCCAACCATTGCATTTTCATCATGTGGGAGATTCACTTATCAACCAGGCATGCTTGGGGTGTTTAAACGGTTTATCTGAGTTCCCGGAGTTGATTGAAGGGACAACTCACAGGATAAAACCGTGGGTCAAACCCCATGGTTTCATAAAGTTCCCTTCAACCAATTCATCGATTGGATCATTGTTGGCTCAAATCAGTCTGTTAGTTTGCGTTTTTTTTCCGTATATATAAATATATTACAGTATATATATATACATGCATATATACAAATATACATATATAGTAAGTAGTTGGCAAAGGTATAACTTCCCCCCCGCTCTTCTCACCAACTTCCCAGCAATTTTGACCCACCATTTTTTTCCGGGGACCTGTCAGGACTTCATGGCAGCGCTCGGAGCACGTCGCGCAGGTACCGGCCATCGATTCGAGAAGGATTCCTCGGAGTATGGATATTTCAATGGATTGGTTTAAGGGAAAATTTGCAGGAAACCCCCATATTTAATGGTAAAAACCATGGTTTCCTGCAGATTTTCCCTCAATCCAATGACTGGAATATTGAGAAAATATGACAATGTACATGTTGTTATTGACAGAGTATCAGGTATCATATTTTACAACTATTCAGGTATCAGTTTATGACAATGTACATGTTGTTGAAATGATATAAACTGACATTCATACGATATCATTCGGAATATAATCCTATGAGATCATTACCAATTATAATCCTTTGATATGATACTCTGCTACATGGTTTTTCTTAATGCATGTGTAGCTGTGTTGAATGAACTTTGAAGTGGTGCTTTGGGATCACCACAGTATTTTTTTTTCGCCACTTTCCCAAATTCAAATGGATAAACCTTGGCAAACATATGGCTATGGATCAATACCTATGAAAATACCATTTTTAGGGGGATGAACATCCATTTACCAGCTATTTTGGGGTTCACTAGGTACCAGGGTTTTGACACACTGCCATATTTCCATTTTGACAATGTTTTGTTGAATGCTTACACGAATCACGTTCAAGGTTTTTTCTCCAAGGTTTGCTTGCGTAATTTGTTATCGTGGTGCGTTGTGACAGAGTCGCCGCAAACCAGTTGTGGTACTACAGTTTGCGAAAACATCGATTAACACAATCTACATGTATCAAATGTAACATTTTTTAATGATACTACAGTTGGTAGAAAATGCATTGATTTGGGGTTATGCTACATGCATCGCTAAAAACAGTGTCAGAAACCGATGTGGGACTCCAGAAATATCCAGGAACAGAGTTTAGTGCGTGATACAGGCGGCAGATTTTTTTTTCGGTGATTTGGACAATACCCCATCCCTGGGAAAAGAGAAATCATACCAACCAACCTGCGTTGAAATTCTCTTACTCGTGCTTAGCAGGGAATGGATGGGAATGGGGGAATGGGATGATTATTACTAATTAGTGATTATGGATCATTCCCTCATTCCCTGCTAAGCACCAGTAAGTTCTTGTTGCTGGCTCCACAGTGATGTCTCTGCGACACCACCGCGATGTTTTTGGGCGGTGATGCACAATCAGAGTATTTCTCTGCCATGGGTTTCTATTGGCGGTATCAAGATACCACTGAGAAATCCACCATTGATAGATTTCCCGAGCTATAAACCTCCATTGATAATTTATAGTGTATTTTCCCATGATTTTCCGATGTCTATAAGGGAGTTATGACATGATTTATATTCACCAACTCCTGACCCGATCAGGTCCATACCAGAAACAAAATGATTTTGACACCATCTAAACTTAGCACCCCTACATTTGATTGCCATGAATACGAGTAGATATGTACATACTGTATAAGGTAATTATAAGGTGTATATATATAATTACAAAATATATATCTCATATATCTATATACATACATGCATGCATGTACATGCATACGTACATGCATATATATATATATGTATATATATATGTACACATATACATATATATATACATACATATATATATATATACATGTATATATATATATATGCATGCATGCATATATACATTAAGACATTAATACATTATACTGTTATTACACCTCATATTCAATATTGTATAGTGAATACATATTATATATTCTGTACGTATGCATATATGTAAATGTACATGTGCACATACAGAGTATAAGACATGTTCCCTTCCCAGTCCAACATCTCGCAGGTCGCTCCAGCCTCGGTCCGGGCGGTCGACGCCGCCTGGTTTGCCAGCGACAAATGGCTCCAAGAGATTGGTGATCATTTTGGACCTTGGGGATATATCGGATATTTGATAGGACATATGGTGTATATATATATATATTATAAATATAATATATGTGATGGGATTATGATGGGATTGTGATGGGATATATGGTGGGATATACATGCTTCTGGGTTAATTATAACGAGCTCACTGCGACCTCACTGGGAATCATGGTTAGTAAGGGGAATCATCCCCAAATGGCCTTAATTCAGGTTAGTGAAATATTATAATTTACCCAGATGCTTGGGATATATGATGAGATACTGTATATTGGGATAATCTTGGGGGATATTTGAGCCATGCAAGTTATACCCTGGTTATGAATCAGAATGGTTGTATAATAGTGGTGAATAGTGGTCAACAGTCGTGATTAGTGCTGACGAATGCTGATTTTCATGATTAATATAACCTGGTTGATTGGTTATGAATCTAACTATAATTAATGAAGTATCTTAATGGTTAATAACATCTTTATAATGATTAATGATTTCTGGTTATGACATACATGAGTTGTTTCTACCCGTTTTTTTCCACGGGTATAATGAACTAAGCAACGGGGCATTTTTGATGTCTCATTTGGGATAATATTGGGGAGATGATATAGCATATTGTATAACTGGAACACATCATTGGGATATACAATTGGGGATATAATTTCAATGATACAGTGGCAATTTTATACCAATATGATATTATTGGGAACATAGTAGGATATATATATAACATTGGGAACACATTATGGGCTATGACTAGCCAAGATTTATTTGATATTACAGGTTTGTCCGAGAATTTTGGGAAAACTCCTAATTCGGCTCAAAGCCTCATGTTCTCGATTGTTTGATGTCCATTTCCAGGGGTATATACCATTTTTAGACACACTCGAATGGCCGCAAATTTGGTCCCTTGAAATATCATACATAGAACGGTTGGTCCCATTTCCAATGTTGAAAATGGGGCTTTGAAGAGCTCACTGAACTTATCCTGAAGATTGCGGGTTTGATGTGTGGGTTTTTGGTTGTTCCGTCTTTGGCTAGTTTTAAAACGACTTCTGTATATGATTAAACCTCTGCCTGCAGAATTGACTGAGGTCCGCTGCCCACTTTGGCTCGCACTTGGGCTAAATGCTTTGCAGTTGGGCCAAGGGGACAATTGTGCATCCAAGGTTCACAAGTTTTCTGTGTTTTCAAATCATTTGGGTTTATATATAAATATAAATATATATATATATATATCTATATACATATAATCCAGCAATCGCTCAAGGTTTTAAGATGCCTTCTGTGTATGGCGGAAGCCCACTGCGCGCTGTTTGGCTGGCCCAATTGTTCTGGACATGTGGAGCTCCACCCGATTTTTCCTTCCCCAGCCACTAAGTGACATGCAGGAAAATCTCCGTTAATGTGCTTCCAAATGTTAATGTGATATAATTATATAATGTGATTCCAATGATAAGCCTCCAAGAGGATTTCTAGCATCCCATTTCTGGTGATATCAGGGGTAACATGGGATAACTGATTGTTGGGTTTACCACATCATATCTTTTGTTCCATCCCCAATGGCAGCCTGGCCATGGGGATCCCACCAAGGAGCTCTAGATTGGCCGTTGAGCAAAGAGGAGCAACTTGATCGCAAGCCACGGCCGAGGGGCCCCATGGGGCCCTGCGAGCTGGAAAAGTGACTGCATGGGGCCCAATGTATCATAGCTTGCAATGGGACTCTTGTCCCAGTCGACTCCTGCTTCGCACCTGAACTCAATTGATAATTACCATAGTATTGGCCCATCATGGAAGTATTTCAAATTGATGGGAAGCATGTTCCGCTCTATTATTCCCTTGCTGATAACTCGTCATAACATCACCGAGTCTTCTTTCTGCGAATCAACCACTGGCGCAGTTTCTGGAAGCCAAGGAAGAAACATTGTTTGATCCAAGTTTGCCAGAGGGAAATCGAGGAGACAGGGTGTGCCTATGTGTGCCTCAACAGCAGAGTAAAACATAGGTTCCGAAGACAGGTCTTAACTGTTAGATCCACCTTGGAGGGTTTGGATCAACAAGACTTGAAGCTTGCCGGCGTGGCTGGCTGCTGGATTCATAAAGTGTTGAATGCGAGAGTACAAAGTACAAAGTATATTTCCAAGTTATACTGCAAATGTACATGCACATAACTGGGTTCCTTGTGTTGTTCCTACTTGGAATGATCAGTAAGTCATAGCAATCTCAAATTTCCAGCAACTTCCGTGGATTCTGGATTGAAATTTTGCCAGGAGTCTGAAGCGCATCTGGATGAGCAACAAGAAGAAATTGAGGAACTCCAACATGAAGTGAAGGTGGGCTGCCGATGGGACTTTAGAGACCCGAAAGTTGACTTCAACGGAATATCCATTGAAGGTTTCTTCAGAGGAGAGCGACATGTGGAAAGTCTATGTCTGAGGCAGCAGTGACCAGTCACCTCTCCAGAGCCTGGCTCTTCGATTCCGGACATCTATACAGAAAATGTCCAGAATGGTCATCATATAAAGATATATAAAGTGTGTCACAGCTTCTGCAGTCTTGTCAATTCACATTTATAGTGAATGTCGAATGGTCCGAATTGACCAGACGGCCCTATTGTATGTTCATGTCATCGTTCCGACATCATCCGACATCATCCTACCTTGGGATAGCCTTGTCACTGTTAGCACAAATCAATCACCAACCATCCGTTGGATATACCCAATACCTTGACCCCAAGTCATGCAACATTATTGAACATTAGACTCTACCAGATATATAATCTGAAATACTATAAATATATTATTCTCATTATTATTATTAATAATATTAATATTAATTATTATTATTAATTATTATTATATAGTAATTATTGTTATATATATACATCACACATCAACTCTATTGAAATATCTTCCCTTCGCATCGGCCAGGCCCTGAGGCGTTTGAGTACTCGCTCCACAGCTGCAGAGACCATCTCTCCCAGATCTGAGGAGCGGGGTACATAGCTTGACCCGCTGAAGATTGGGGTGTCTTTGGGGTACCATACTGTGGATGGAAGAAATCCTGCACCAGTTGATAGATGGTTTATCCCATTATTTATAGGGTTTTAACCATCCCAGGTGGTGCAAGATTTCTTCCATCCACAGTAGTTACCATGGATTGGAAGCTACTCCCTATGACCCTCTGGTTATGACTAACACTTCGAATTGGAACATCACCATGCAAAAAACAGCGGCAAATCAGCATAAATCATCGAACTATATATCGAACTACATGGGCCACGTTCAATGTTTGTAGATCATTTAGACCAATATTACGTGATTTGATAGAATATAAACAAAAACATCATTGAGCATATAATCGTGTTGATATGTTTTGATAGAATAATCAATATGTTCATAGGTTTTGATGGTTCTGGTCCATGTTAGTTGATCAATGTTGGTCTGCGATATGGCCAGGAGGCTCCGGCAGAGCTGAGTGAAGCTCAGGAGGTGGGAAATGTTGAGCCGGTTGGGCGTTGGGAGGTGTTTTTCAATGTATTTCCTAAACAAGTGCCATAAAATAGAGGTTGTTTTGCCGCAATTTCAGAGACGACCCCTACTGCAACATCGGGTTTTAGGGGGTGGAAGGTGTTGACAGTTTTTGTTTTTAATAGACAAATAATATAGAATAAACAACTCCCTGTCCTGAGCTTGTTGATGAGCCATGTCGTTCAGGCCCCGGTGGCAGAAGCCGTGGTGCCGCGGGAAGAATTGCTACAGCAGGCATTGGTGGCGTATTTCCATGAGAGGCAAGGGATTGGTGGCTGACTTGTTGGGCGGCCAAAAAATGGGGGATGAAAGTCCCAATGGCAATTCGGAGGGGGAAAGTGATGATCAGCAGATTTCGGGGTAGACTCCTTCCATTTAAAGAGCTTCAGGGCCAAGAACTGAACTACCATTTTTTTTCTTAGATACAGATGTCTATAGACATTTGTATATAGTTATTATTATATATATACACATAAATACAATTAAATACATATTACGTTAATATATATATAATTATACATATACACATTTATAACCATATATCGTAATCATACTATGTTACCACATATGTATATATATATATATACATATCCACATGACATATTCTGTGCCAACGATAGTTGTGGCTCAGACTGTCAGCTGTCAGGAGTCGCTTGAGCTTGGTGACGAACGCCAAGAAATCTCCGAAACCTGAATCAATTAAGGGATGGTCCATTCGTTATCTGCTTGGTGGTTTGGAACATGGCTTTTATTTTTCCATTTCATATATGGGATGTCATCCTTCCCTTTGACGAACTCATATTTTTCAGAGGGGTTAAAACAACCAACCTCTACTGGATATATTCGTGGTCATGACAATAATAATATATATATATATATTACAATAAATCATCCTGAAGTAGATAGAGAGCCCAAAATTTTCGAACGAAATAAACACTTAAATGGAATGATGTTGAAGAATCAATATTCTATTTGCTTTAGGATGATTATTACTATGTATGTATTACAATATGTTACATATGTATATATATACACTGTTTTCATGGTCATGTTCATTTGGACTTTGATTAACCATGATATTTTTGAGAGCAACAAAAGAGCTGCAGTTGTTTTCCTCCTCAAACCCCCTGCCAAAAACGATACTTCGTGGCTGCCTAGGTCTGAGATTGCCAAGTTCTACGGAAATTCGGAGGAACATGTCGCCGACCTTTGGAACTCAATCCGAGAGAAGGTCCATCCGACCTTCAAACCGGGAGTTTTGTGATGGGCACTGGTAGAAAAACATGATCAAATGTAGACAAAATCCATGACAATATGGGGAATGTATATCATTCAGAATCATGGGATGTTGTTTTTTCCCACTAACTGGTTGGTTGTTTTTTGGGAGAGCTAACGCCTACGGCTGTTGGTCGCAACCAACGAATGACGCACAGCGGGCGGGATATCGTTGACGTGAAGACAGACTTGACCTTGCTGAAATTCAGGGTACACTCTGGTAAACTAACATAGCTATGGAAAATCACCGTTTTTAATGGGTAAATCAACTATAAATGGCCATGTTCAATAGCTATGTTTGTTTACCAGAGGGTATAGTTTAACAAGGAAAGAAATGGGCCCTCTACATGGATATACATGGATGGATGGTTGAGTCAAAAGCGGAACGGAATGACCACGACCGTTTTGTTTTCGACTGGGCTTCTCAGAACCTTGGCCTGCTAAGACTGTTTCGCATACAAATACCATCTAGCTACATCATATTTACAAAACTTACTATAATCACAATACAGCTACATAATTACCATCATAATTCAGAGTAGAACTCATCAAACAGTAGATCCCATAATAGACATATGTATATATATATATACACAATAGATCCTGTTAAACTAGATATCTAATATAATCATAGCTGATTCCGTAATCATACACCTCAGACTTCCCTGACCTGACTTGCAGGATCACTTGCAGAACCTGGAGGTGGGCCACATGGGCGTTTGAAAAGCTTGGGATCGATATGACATATATCATGTATATGATGCGTATATTATAAATACATATATATATACACTTATTGTATGTACATAATATGATTTGTATATACATACTGTATACACACACTTGTGTATGTATGTAAATATGTTTTGGTTTGACACCATCAATCATTAGCTTGTCTTGCATGTGGGGTGGAAAAGCTAGGGTACTGTCATCCCCGCGTCTGCGAAGACAACCCTGGCTGATTACTCAAACGGTTGATAATAGTGTAGGTCACCTCAGGAAATGGGATCCCCATTTGTTTTCATCAAACCAGTTTATTCCCGTGGGTACTGCTTCACAGTGAACCATGTTTACTGGAAAATCTTGAATGTGCTTGGATGTAGGTCCCAGGTTCCATTTAGTTTCTGGTATAAAACAATATGATTCAATCCTGCAATAAATCCCAGTTACATCATGGGTTATTCACAACTTCCTATTTGATCACTTCCTAACACTTCCTAACACTTGTTAACACCTCCTAACACTTGAGTATGATTGCATATGATTGCTATCCCCTTTTTTCTGCTTGACACTGAGATCTTCATATGTATCATAGTTTTTGAACATTTTCAGAACATGGTTTTTGCACCGGTCAAAAGATGCATCAACTGGGATGTTGTATCCACATTTTGTTAGGACAAATCACTGGGAAGATCTGGGATGTATCCTGATGTACCCTCTGGTAAACTAACATAGCTATTGAAAATGACCATTTATAGTGGATTTTCCCATTGAAAATAGTGATTTTCCGTAGTTATGTTAGCTTACCAGAGGGTATCCCCAAGATGTTCCCCGGAATTTTGGGACGTCCCAAGACCCATGGGTTGATCTTAATCCCAGGCGGTCCTCTGGTTAACGAAATCCTTGCCTTCGCCCATGGCGCCACGGGAAGATGTGGAACTTTCTCGTGCCAGGCTGGGGCTGGATGCAGCTGGGGTTCATCCCTCCAGAATTGTGGTATTTCATAATTTGATCAGCCAAAAGGTCCAGAGATTTTCGGAATTCAATCATCAAACAATCATCAAAGATGTGAATTTACCCTAGAAGGTTAGGGTTTTAACATTTTAAACCCACTATGGGTCAAAACTCCAGCCCCAGAACAGATTTCTGGGTGATTTCTTTGTGTTCACCATCCGTTTTAAGGGAATCCGATTCTGACCCATATTTGTTTGTCCTGAAATGGGAGATTAATGGTAATGCATGGACCATCAAACATGGTGATATCAAAAACAATGATAAACCATTAGAATATTGGGCTTACTCCCCATTTTTTGACAAACCAGTATGTTGAATCAAGAGAACATTGGCGGGAAACTCATTCATATACGTAGTTTACTGTAACCGTCGGATTTTAAGGAGTTCATGTAGATTTTCTGACACTCAAGTTCTGGCAAAGTCTATTAAACACATGGATGATGGGCAGATTTAAGAATCCCATCACATCACTTGCCAGACGTGTATCAGAAGTTGATTGAATGGCATCGGATTCTGGCCAAAGTTGTGGATTTATTCATGGACATCTATTGCAAAATAATGTGTCTGATATGGAACAATTACCAAGCAAATCGCAATTTTCATAGGCCGTGTACTCTACGCTGTTGCAGGCTTTGGCGACGAGTACTGATGCGACCCAGTCGAACTCGACAAGGAAGCGCGGATTTGCTTGGACTCATCAATTTTAGTTCGATGTTTGAGTATTCAAGGATTTAGGATCTATGTTTCTCATATTTTGCTTGTCGTTTAAGGCTTTAAAAGCAGCTGTCGCAGTCCCTATTCGCCATTCGCCGTGTGTTTGTGGTTCAGTCGTGCTTCCTTAAGGATACAATGAGCTGCGCTTGCGAGCGTTGGCGTCTCCACAGGCTAGTGAATTTCAGCATGTTCCTGACATGATCAGCCGAGAGAATGTCTGGAGTCTAGATAAGAGTTAAGGGGTGGCAAGATCGGGTCTTGGCGGACACACATACAAATCATGACGAGGAAATGCTGTACTTTATATATATATATTATCTGTATGTACTTCCTTTAGTCAACAATGAACATGCAATCCATTGTGGCCATTGTGTATATGGTTTCAGGATGCTGTACCCTCAAAATGGATCATTTACTACCGTAGCAGTCTTCGCAGTAGCAGCTTTGGATGCTTTGACACGAAAAACTTGGATCCTTGCCCTCCAGGCGCAGGAACTCAGAGAAGAAGTGCAGCTGGAGCTGAAAGTGGCTTGGAAAGGACGGGAGAAGCCCTGGTTTTCTTCGCACAGTTGCCGGAAAACCAACGAGAATATCATAGAATATCTATACATAGCCTGTGTTCATAGCTTGTGGACATGGTTTTGCCGAAAGCCCTATAGATTCAATATCTATGCTGTAGTTTTTTAGACACATGTCTCCTGCTTTTTATCCTGACAAAATCCGCTCTCCTTGGGGAAGCGTTGGAGGATGATTTATGACTTGGTGGTCTGAACTTGATGTGCTGTGATTTCCTTGACAGGAGAGAACTTCATGTCTACAGGGAACTTATCGGATGCCATTGCGGCTTGACAGGGATGGAAAGGTCCTGGATCTATTGCTGCGAGATTTGACCTGGCACTGCAAACGCGATTCATACTTCTTTTAGGCCAATCCCTAAAATATTTCAGATTATCAACCATGAATTAAAGCTAGTTAGAGATGTTCAAGCAATGATTGCAAGATATCTCCAAAAAACACTTACATGATGATTCTGATGATCTCAAAATATCATGTTGGATTTGGATCAACAAACATCTTGGGAACCGGTTCTAGGCCTCCATCGCGCAGACCATCAGCGCGCCGAAGGGCAAGCATTTGCGCGGCGCAGTGCAGGTAGCGTCGCTGCTGATCTATGGTTGCCTGGGAAAAAGCGACGCATGAGGAATATGGATCATGCGCTCAATTTATGGAGGTGTCCTAAACTGGTTCGTGGTTTGGAACATGTTTTATTTTTCTATATATTGGGAATATCATCATCCCACCTGACGAATGAATTCCATCATTTTTCAGAGGTGTTGAAACATGTTGAAACCACCAACCAGTAGATCATGGGGGTACCAGTACCCCTAAATCATTGTTTTTTTGGGGCATTTCCTATGAGAAAACCATCCAGCTATTGGGGTGCCATGGACACCCAGGATGGAGCTGCGAGTCTAAGACATAGTGGGGATTTCAGGGCCTCAAAAATGGGGGCAATGAGCCCTAACAATAGATAAGGATAATAGGTACTATATGATGAATACTGATAATAGCCTAACAATAGAGAATAATGATACTGATAATGATATATAATGATATGTATATATATATATATGAAAGGCTGAATCATTTTAAATGAACCTGATGCATCGTTGGATGCTTAGCACGCAGCCAGCCTCAGAATGACCTCTGAGGTTTGCTACCAGCCAGCGAGTCACTGGAAGAAGCGGAGACGGATGCATTTTGGTGTTTTTTCCAGCTGCTCGGCCGTACATGGCCCATGGCGCCTTTTTGGGTGCCGGCTTGACTGTCACCAGAGGCTGCATTAACTCTTGATTTACCTTCGGTAAAGCCTTTTTTTTAGTAAACCATCCCAGAGTCATCAGCATTTTCATGGGTGGGATTTCAACCATCCCCAGTCATGGTAGGTTTATGCCAGGGTTGCCCACATTGTATCAGATTATCAGGGGCTTTACCAGAGAGCACGTGCACCGCGTGTTGCTGCGGAGGCTGCTAACAGAGATGAAGACTGGGGACGATGAGACGACCAGGACCTTCCGCCCCTTAAATCCAGACTTGGCCGAACTTGTGATATTTTTTTTCCCGGATCCAGCCGTACCTTCTCAGAAACTATTTGGATCCATAGGGATCCATAGGGTATGGGTTTTTTCAACCCATAAAGGGATGATTGGTTGAGATGACGAGCATATTTTTGGGGCTCAACCATCAGCTGAGGTGCTCGAAGGGTGCATGACTTGTTGAAGGTCTATGACCCTGCTCTGGTGGAAGTCCTGCATCTTGGCTGCCACAAGGGATTGGGTGGCTGATGTTCAATCATGTTCAATCCACTCATCGTGATTTTCATGGGATGGGGGGGGTCTTTCTAGCCTATCTGCTTGGTGGTTTGGAACAGTTTATATGTTTCCCAATATTTGGGATGATGATGCAATGATCCATTCTGACGAACTCATATTTTTCCGGGGGGGTGAAACCACCAATTAGCTATTGGTGTTTTTGTTTTTTGCATTTGACCACATACATTTGCTGCTTGACAGCTGTATCAACGCAGTAGACATAAACCGTCCCCAAAACCACCAGAATTAGGTGGTATAAACTTTACAAAGCCTCCAAAATTGGAGGTTGATGAATGTGTTCTTTTTTTCCCGCATTGATCTCCCAAAATACCCTATTAAGCCGGATCTGCATTTCCCGAATTGGTTGTAAAATCTGCAGCAACCCTCAATATTTGAGGTTAGAAACCAGCCAGTTTCCTTTCCCTTACTGTAAACCCGGCCATAGTGGGTAAAAACTCCATTAGTTGCTCAGTTTAGACCATATTTCAATGGACGGGTTTCAGGAACATCAAAGGAAACCATGGCCATTCTCCCATGAAATGTGGGGTTTTCAACCGTAGGTTTTCCCTTACACCAATCCCATTGAATACTAAAGTTTCTACACATCCCAACTGATGGTGGTTAGAATCCCATGGGTCTACCCAGCAAGCCCTGGCCCGGCACCCCCATAAACATATATTATATATATTGTTATTTGTTTTTTTTAACCACTATCAAGCGTTATTATCCATGAACATGTTCCCTTTTTTCACCTATGGTCCTATGGTTAATGGTAATTTGGGATGTTTAATGGCTGGATTATTAACCATACCATATGATTATTAACCATTTAATGGTTTATTAACCTATGGGGAACAACCCAGCCAGGCCCAGCCATCATGATTTTCATGGCAACTCGCCAATCAGCTGATCTCAGGGACCACCAGGGGCTGATGGTTTTTGTGGCGACACGCCTGGGCGAAGCCTTCTGCACTCGCAGTGGTTTGGCGCTGGAGCCATGCGCGCAGCTCTGGGTGCGGTGGCCCGGGAATGGGCGGAGCGCAACGAAAAGATGGGGAACTTTCAAGAAAAATGCTGGGTTTATGGTGGTTGAGTGCTAAGAAAAATACTGATTTATGGTGAAAAATGCTGATTTACGGTGGTTTCACCAATAAACATATACAAGAATAGTGGGTATACTACCACAAATGATAGCTCAAGGAAAGTATGTTGGGTGTATATAAAATACATCAAAAAATAGTTTCGAACCAAGATGCGACAAAAAAAACAATGGCACACTGACGCTGTCCCGAAAGTGAAACCACTTTCAAAAGTTGCATTTTTTTAGATTCACCTTCATCAGTGTTTTCACCCTCTGAGTCCGTATGATTATGATTTGGGAAGATTCAACGGCGGTTTACAACATGTGCGAAAGTTGCATGAAAGTAGACACAGTTGTTCATGAAATTGGGGCGATTTCCTATGCTGTGATTTTCCTTGCGCTGTCCATACCTAAAAACTCTGGGTTGTGTGATGTTCTGTTCATTTGTTCATCGGGTTTTTGCAAAGAAAATTGCATGTGGAACAAAGACACAAACGGGGGTGATTTGACAGTGGAAGATGCAACATGAAGCTAGCAAAGGCTTTCATATATCACCATTTGTCTTTTGTTTTAATCGCAGCATACCTTTCAGAAAGTGTCAGAAAAATAAAGATGCCACTTTGCCAAAACGCGATGTTGTTAAAAAGTTGCCGCTGCAACTTTGTGTTCTAGGTAACCCAATATATAACTATCATTATCCACCAATAAAGGATTAAATGACAAAATAATCCAGTTCTTTTGGACATCAATTACTTACATCATCAACAAACATGGGGGAAATGGGGTGTAACCATCCTATCTATCTATATAATTACACACATATTATATATATACAGGAATTTTGGTTTAAACATATTTAAATCATTTGTTTTGCTTAGGTTCAGAAAGATAATAAATTCGGCTTAGTAGCACTCCCGTTTTTCTTGTATCCAAGGGTCCAGTTGTCCGAGGATGTGGTCCTTGCTGATCCACAAGGTTTTGCCTTCTGCGCCATGGTTGGAGTTATTCGTCATCAGATCTCTGGGTGTAAAGCTGGTGCTATCACCAAATGAACCAAATTAAGATGGGGATATGAACCACCAAAGAAGGGCTAGACCTATTAAATTGTATATAATCCTATATAGTTGGTTCAAATAGAATTGCAACATTATGCAACATTTCAACCAACCATCAAACAGAATTTTAATCCCGATCCCTTGTTGAGATTGGATCAGAATCGTTGGCAGATGGGCAGTGACTGGTTTTGTTCTCCACATCGAAGGATTCGGACTGGGTGAGATGGTCGCTGAGATCAGCCACCATGGATCCTCTCTTCAAGACCCCCTAGATCTAAAAGAGACTCCACTAATGAGGGAAGTATCCAGTAGCAAAATGTAGCAAAATCATGTTTGTTTCCATTTTGGGGGATGTATTCTCTCAATTCTTCCTGGTGAAACCTTACCGCTTTTGAATGTTTCTTTCGAAACCCAGTTTTTTTCCAGGTAGAAGTGTATTTTTTCTAAGCTAAACTCCAGCTTGTTCCATTTATAATCAATTTTCCATTTAATCATAGGTTCATTTATCATTTTTCCTGTCAATAGATTGTTTTTTTCGGAAAAATCTACAGGAAACCATCGATTTTCCCATGAAATATGGGGCTTTACTGTAGATTTTCCCTTAAACCAATCCATTTTTCCTGGCACCGAGCGCCCCTTAGGTGACTTTGTGGTCTGTGCCCTGGTCCTGCTGCGTCGGCAAGACCTGCTGCGCCTGAAAAACGACGCGGAAGCCTTGGCGGAGGACGCCCATGTCCAAATGTTATTGGTGGTTTAATGGTGGTTTAATGGGATTTAACCAACAAAAAATGTGATTTAATGGGATTTACCCTCTGGTAAACTAACAGTTTGCGAACTTGAACATGGCCATAGAAATAGTTGATTTACCTATCAAAGATTGGGATTTTCCATAGCTACGTAAACGTTTACCAGATGGTATTTTATTCTTTGGAGACATTTATTGTATGGGCATGATATGGGATATGGGATGATTGGGACATTGGGGTTGATATGGGATGATTGTGACAATGGAATATAATGGATCTTTTGGAATATTTATCCAAACTATAATATAGTTATTATCCAAAATATAGTGGAATATATCCAATATAGTTGCTAATTAAGATATTACCCAAACTTCTGAATCCTGGGAGGCTTGCTGAAAGTCACTGGAGTATCTAGAGCGACTGACTGAGGTGCTGGCTAAGCTGCATACATGCGCAATGCTGTTTCATGTTGGCGAGACTGGACAATTTGTTTGACATGTTAAATCATTGAAATATAATTGAACTGTGTTTAAACAAACAATTCGTGTGATTATATCAAAGTCACATCATCGTGAGTTTCAGAGCTCATTTGCCACGTAAAAGTAGTTCAAAGACAGCAATGTATGTGAATATCAGCAGCTTCTTGAATGTCCCATAAATCAGTAAAGGGTTTATCACTACAGTAAGTAGCGTGATTGAACAATGACCCCCATGTTTCACAAAAATGGTAAGAATTACGTGCTGGTTTAATTGACCAAAATCATGCCATCATGATAATACTATATAATATAACAATAAATTGATTGCTATCGCTTTTTGATAATGATTACCATGACTATTCCAGTACTTTCCTGATAGTCCCCGTGAGAAATGAACACATAATTTCCAGCCATGATTGTTGTAAAACATATCAGTTCCTTGTTGTCGATAGTAGGTTCATTCAAATGAATAGACGGTGCCATAGATGTTAACAGAACTAACCATTCCATGGTGCCAATAAATTCTCATGAGAATGGTTTCTCAATATCAGGTTCCAACTAGTTAAAACCAACCATTGAGGGTTAAACCAACTAATAACTAGAATAACTATATATATATAATTTTCTTATGTATATAATCAATATATACATATAATTACATATATATATATTAATATTGACACACTTATTCCTTAGCTAAAGTTAAGTTCTAGAGTTCCTACCGTCACCAGCCCCGGATCCCCGATTACGCCAGGCGTTGCTGTCGCTGCCCAAGGCGGTCCCCTTGGAGCGTGCGCTGCGCTTGGCCAAGGCCCTGCGCGCCTTGGAGAAGCAGAAAGCGCTCAGGGCCAAGGCAGGGGTCAGAAGTGGGATATAGAACTGGGATATACTTGGATATCGTGGTATAGATATCATATATGATATAGCTATAATATATGTATATATATATATGATATATACATTCTTAAGTTTGTAATTGTGTATATGTTTTACCATAGTTGAAACTGCATGTGATATAACCTGACAGGATGGATATAATATGGATATTCTATGCTTCTGGCAGTGTTTTTTAGTGTTCACTGCGGGTACCCTCTGTGTCCTCAAACATGGCTGGCTGGGAATAAATCGCCGAAGTAAATGGGCTTTTAAGTGGAACATCATATAAATGAGATTTGCCCATTGGCTTGTTTGATTAACACATGGTATATTTTCAGCAACCAAATGGGAAACTGTATACAACTAGTGGGGATATACAAGTAAGATAAAGTAGGGTTTTGTCTACCAACATCATGGAACATGCATATATAAGGGGATATGTTGTGCATATATTATATTCAGTGCAATATTGATTCAGTCGTGATACACTGGATAGATTTTGGTATTTTGCAAGTTTGAATATCATTGCAATTTTAATCCTCATTATTTGGAGATATTAAACCTTCTATTATCCACCACAAATGATGGTAGCTGGCCAAAATCTGATGTTGAACAAAGATGATTATATATCGGGGATTGAACTAACCCATGATGGGAATCCTGATAGAGCAACCAGTAGTATGATGCTACGACATGGTTTTGAACATTAACCGGCAGGTGAGGATGACAAGACTTGGGGCTTGAGCAATCAAATGGCAATATACCGGCAAAACAGAGGAACACATGTTGGGTCCAGAGTCTGTGCCAAAACGGGCATCAAATGCAGATAAGGTCTCAGAAATCAAATTCAACGACGTATGACGCGTGTCACAGATTCAAGAACCTTCATGCGCATGGCCAGCGGCACCTGCCATTTTCAAAGCCAGGCACGGGAAGTTCACGCCTCTCATAGCCAGCCAGCGACTTAGAGATGCTGTTGGATGTTTGCAAATTATGAGTTGATGTTTTGGGTATCTTCCGTTTTTGGGGCACGCCTTTTAAAGTATTTGTTACTCGTTTGTTGGAGTACAACCCAGAAACATGTTTCCCGAAAGGCCATCATGTTCGAATGATCAAATAAAACTTGTCCCCTTTTCGATCCATCCATACTTCCATCCAACCATGGCTAAGACCATCATTGGATTGCAGCACGTGTTTTTTTTCAACCACAATTCCTTGGGGTGGTCGGTGATTTTAAATCTATTGTGCTGTGAGAAATGTTGATCCGATCCCCTAAGGATTTTTTCCATCTCCAATTGGGATATATACCCGGCCTGGCAAACTAACAGTTTGCGAATTGGAAAATGGCCCAGTCGAAATAGTGGATTTACTGAGCTATAAAATAGTGATGTTCCATAGCAAACTGTAAACGTTTACCAGAGGGTATATATCCCAATGTACTGATTTATAAAAATCCCCAATGGGATCATTTTTCATGTTAATGTTAAAAAATGTTCATAAAGCTGTCTAAGTGTCTCCACTTTTTCGTAGCCCATTGCTGAGTTTCTCAGGCCTGAGGACTTGGGTGTTATGAAGGCCTTGGGGTCTTTGTTCGGCCTGGAGACCCAGCCATGAAAAAAACCAGGGGAAGTCATGGGACCCATGGGATGAACCGCTCCATTTTTTTGGGGGAAAACCACATGTGGCATGTTGGTTGGTGGTTTGGAACCATGGAATTTTCTGATTATTCACTATCTTGCATGATTTTAACATATTTTTACCTGAACTTTATGACTTTCCATATATTGGGAATAGTAACCCCAACTGACGAACTCCATCATTTTTCAGAGGGGTAGGGCTCAACCACCAACCAGCATATGTTGGTGAATCATGAATAAGAAGTAGAGATGGCAAAGTGCTGCTCATCTGGGTCTCAGAATGCCCTTGTCAACCTAAACGAGATGGTTCTTGGGACTCTGGGACCGCGTGGATCCCATGCGAAACATATTTGCAGACACTTCAGACGGCCCAACTAATCTGGTTGGTTTGGGATAAACAATGGCACATATAGGATTGATATTAGATGGATATTCGAATATATCATATGAATATCATGATATATCCTATTGTATGAACAAAAATATACGTCCTATGCCATAGATTCTTCGAGGATAATCACATCATCACATGGGGTTGTCCAAGAGTGGCAGCCCAGGCCGAATGCGCGAGCGCGGTGCAGATGCCGACAGCCCAGGGACTGGCGGCCAGAAACATCGGGAACCATGGATGGTAATGATGGTAAGCATTAAATGAACCGTGGATAAAACATGGGATTTTCGTGGGGATTTCTCTATTTTCTATCTACCCTCTGGTTATGACTAACAGTTCGCCCATAGAAATAGATGGTTTACCTGGATTTACCTATTAAAAATGGGTGGATCATGATCTTTCCATGGCGAACTGTTAGTCATAACCAGATGGTATTTTCCCCGGTTTCCCCCTGGATTTTCCCCAGGCGCTCGAGGTGGGTCGATCCGTAGCACGTTGCGCTTGGCCCCGCAGTCAGGCCCAGTGACGACCAGGACTTCGTACTAAAACAACCATGGTATTTGATGTATAGTACCACCAGGACTTAGTACTTAGTACTACTAGTCATATAGTATAGTGGTATATGAGTGTACTAGTGGTTGTTTTAGTACTTAAACAACCATGCTTTGACTTGGGATTAGAGTCTATTGATGTCGATATTCACGTATATTCGTTGAAACAACCATGGTTCTCACTTAGGAAAACATCCATGATGAAAATTTGGGACTTAAAATGGGATGATTCGGGGGTACCCCCATGACTTAGTATTGAAACAACCATGGTTTGAACATCTGGGATCCATTATGACTTAGGAAACCCTAACCATATGTATAACCCTAGTATACCATAGTTATGCAATATAAATATAGGTGAACTAATAACAATGTTTGTAGCCTCAACTGCACACCCAAGTATTAGCGTCATATGATTCATAGCACATTCTTGGGGGAGTCATCCAGATCATCGGCCAACCCGGACAGGATGGACAGGGACAATCCTTTGGGAAGAGACGCCGTGAGCTTTAAAAATGACCTGGAGTAATTGATAAATTCAGTGCATTAATTCAGGACGTTAATGCGAATTTGGGGTATGACTAAGAAGAATATGCAAGAATCATCAATCATATGATATTGAGAATGAACCCTTGTATCCACCAAAAACGTATGAGACAACCACTAGGAGTTTCACCAACCAAACATATGGCATTTGGCCACATAGTCACAAACATATTTGGTAATGAAAAAAAACATGCCCTGCCAGCGAATCCGTCAGTTGTCAATCTCCCGGATGAACTTGGCCAGGTAGAAGAGGAAAAGGTGCAGAAACCTGTCGAGGAGGAAGCCGGGTAGCTGGGGACACATCCAGGATGGTTTCAAATAGTTCGTTGTTTCGGTCTTAAAATCGATGAACTCTCCTCAAAAAATCAGCAACCTGCTTTTTTATACAATAATTGTATAGCTCTGGCCCGATTTCCTTCCAGGGGTGGAGTTGAGTTCCAGCTGATCGCCGGGAGACCGTTTTTCATCTTGATGGGGTCCCCCTTCCTTCGCCGCCCAGGGGGACTTGGGGAGCGTTTCTCTGGGGCATTTCGTGCGATTCAGATGGTTGGTGATTTGCTAGAGGCTTCACTGGTGGGAACGGATTTCACTCTCCTTTTCATTGGTCTCAATCAAGTTGGTACTTTCACTGTTTATGATGCTATCATCCAAGAGTTGGGGCCCTGCATTCTTTCGATGGATGCCCTATCTCGTGTGATCCCATATGAAGGGCCCTATGCTGACTTCTCCGTCAAGGAGGTCTGTGCTGGCATTGGCGGTATCGGCACTGGTGCCCGTGCACTTGGTGCTCAGGTGGTTGCAGTCCTTGACTGCAATGAGCTTGCTTGCTCCCACCTTATCCTCAACTTGGACGGCAATAGCAGTGCTCTTTGTCGAGATCTTTGTGATGATTCGGCAAAAGGAGATTTACACATTGCTGGCGGCCGATCGGCATCCATTTTGACGGCTGGCTTCCCGTGCCAACCACATTCCACACAAGGAAGTAGGGGAGGCTTCAGGGATCCACGTCACAAGGTTTTCATTGAAGTTCTCAGAACGGCCTATCTTCACATGGTAGATTGTCTTGTTCTTGAGTGTACCCCACAAGCTCAGTACGATCATGGGGTTCGGACCGGACTTGACTTGTTAGCTGAAGTGATGGGGTGGCAGATTCATGAAACCACACTTGTTTTGTCACATCAGTGGCCTTGCCGTCGTCACCGTTGGTGGGCCATTCTGTGCCCAGCCGATTGGCACACTACGACACTGACAAAATGGCCAGAAGATCGCAGCCATCAACAGGTTGGCACTGTGGTGACCCGCTGGCGTTGTTGGCCGGAATCCCATGAGTATGACTTGCAGCTTACTGAGACTGAGTATGCGGCGTACAACTCTCCGCATTTTGGCGATGATCAGCGGTTGCTCACTGCTGCAGACATGGCGCCCACCTTTTTGCATTCCTACGGGTGCGCACTTCAGGCGTGCCCTTGTCAGTGCCGTGACATGGCCTTCTCGGAGGAGACATTGCGCACTCGAGGTCTTCGTGGCTGCTATGTGATTTCACAGTTTTTGTCCACACCAAGATTCTTGCACCCCATGGAGTTGGCGGCATTGCTGGGATTTCCAGCCACCATGAGCCATCTTTCCTCCATGAGGGGCATGTTGTGCCTGTTGGGGGCAGTGGCCTCACCACTACAATCATTGTGGGTTTTTGCTTGTCTTCGTTCAATGATGCATGGCTCCAATGCGGCGGACACTCAAGCTTTTGCCCTGCAGGCGCTGCAGGAGTACAAGATCCACTTGCTGCAGGGCTATGATCATTTGTGGGGCTCCACCTCGGCAGTGCCGAGACCTTTGCGGTTGTGCACATCTGACCAGGTGGATATCATCATCATGGTTTGCGGCTTGGTCACTGTGGCTGAGATCCTCTCTGCAGATGCCTTCGCTCATGCCCCTGGGGCGCAACAGAGTCTTTGTGATGGCTCACGCTCTTTGCCCCCAGGCCAATTCTTGTTGCAGCATGGTGCTCATGGACCTTACCACTTGTGCATGATTCACCCTGGACAAGCCGTGACACCGGCACAGGTTGTGGTGGGCATTGAGCATGCTTCTCATTTGCATGTGACATTTTTACCTCTTGGTGGATTTCTTTTTGAGGCTTTGCAGAGCTGTGGCATTTCAGCCGTCCAGTACCTTTTTGATCGACTGGGTCATTGCTATGGATTGGATTATCGGGTGCAAGGTAGTCTTCGCCTGACCACTCAGCCACATCCTGATGATGGGACCACGATGGCATATGGACTTTCATGGCCGGCAGCACTTGGCCTCAATGCGGAGATGGTTTGGTTCTACATGAACAGCCTACTTGCTCGGCATGTAGGGTTGACCAAGTCTTGGTTGGTGCTTCCACCACTTTGTGCCAGTTCTTCTCGACAGTTTCCATTTTTGCATCAGCACTGCTCGATGGAATTCTTTGCTTTGCCTTGTCCCACATTGGTATTGTGCATTTGCGCTGTCGATCAGCACTGGATTCTTTTGACTGGACTTTGGCATGGCTCCGGCCGCATTTGGACTTGCTTTGATGGACTTCAGCCTCTTGCCGGCTCGGCCATGGTGAATTGGGTGAGATCTTTTGCCCGTTCACTGGCGATGACTTTGCAAGAATCATTTGAGGGCCTTCGGTGTGCTTCTTGGATTTGCCAATTTCATTCACACACCTGTGGTTCAGTTGCTCTTGGTCACTTGCTTTGTTTGCTTGGCTGGGTGGGCATTTGGACGCCCCAATTGGAATTGGCCTTTCATCAAAGCCTTCTTGATCAACAAGCTGGGGGCTCCTTCATGGCTTTTGGGCGATCAGCATCCGAACTTGTCGAACAACTGGCTACTCTACTTCTTGACAAGGGAGTTCCAGATGCGGACGTTCAACAACGGGCGCAGGATGTGTTGCAGACCTTGGGTCATGCGGCCGTGACTGAAGCTCTCGGCACCTCTAATCCATGGGCAACCCTCAAAGGTTTGGCATCTCGCCCTTCTACCAGAATGCGATTGGTGAAAGAACATGAACTCAGAGCTCATATCAATCAACAGGCCACCAAGAAACATGGGGCTCACATCCCACGGGCGAAGCAAAAGAAGCAGACCTCGCAGTCTTCATCACTTCCACCAGTGGATCCTGGAACACTTCAATTGGTTCCCAATACTTTCGTGGATGATGATGGGGATGCCATACCTCAAATACCCTTCCATGAGGTCAGCAAGGATGCGCATGGCATTGCTTTTTGCACACATCGGCAAGCACAGCCCTTCATTGATGCCCAGGACAACATTAGCTCCACCACCTTGGGTTTGCTCATCACCACTGAGGTTCCCCTGTCCATTGGGCAAATGACCAATTTGACTTCAATGCGCTTTCCTGCACTATGCTTGGCCACCGATGAGCCATTGCTGATCCAGGGGTCGCTGCTTACTTTGAGTGATGGTGCAATTCATCGACATGAGGTTGACACTCCTGAATTGTCAGTGTACAGCACGGACATTGTGAAGGTTCAGATCCACAAGGATGAGATCAACATGGATTGGCAGCAGGTGGTTCGGGGACCCATTCGTGCGCTTTTGCAACTCTCCCCTTTGTTTCGCCTATGTTCTGGGAAACAATGTGGGGCAGATTGCCCCCTGTATCATCCGCCATTGGATGAAGAGTTGCCTGGCTTGATCTTGGACATTTGGGCTCGCAACTTCTGCAACCTCAACGGCAAGACCACGAAGGCGGACCTTGCTGCCTATTTTCAGGTGCTTCTCCGTATCCCATCTGTGGCTTTGGATCATGTCCTGCGCATCAATGTCCCCGGAGTTTACGTTGAGCCTAGAGCATCGCAGGAGCGGGGTCCTCATCCGGACTACTGCGTCATTTGGCTCCCTGGACTTTCATTGGAGCAGGCCATGCACAAGCTTCGAACTTGTGATCATGGACTTTCTTTGGCCAAAATGAATCATCGCTATGGAGTTCGGGTGCGAGCACTTCATGAGCAAGCCACCCATCAAGCACTCCGTCCTGATGAGGAGTACGTGGCGGTCCAGATCAAGCAGGTCTACACCATTTTCCCCTTGCCACATGGACTTTCCAGACAGCAAGTCAGCAAGTTACTGACGGCATGGGGTTGGCGGGCCAAACCGCTGCAAACCACCAAAGGCACCAATCAAGGACAGGGTTGGTCAGTGGGCTCGGACAATCCTCCTCCGAGCAAAGTTATGCGGGGCTTTGACCGGGATCTTTTGATCACGTTGCAGAAAGATACTTCATCTTCATCTTCCACTGCTTCAGTGGTGGCCTCGCAGCGAACCAAACGTTTTTTGAAGGAAGGGGCTCTTCAGTCCACCAATGAGGATCCGTGGCACAATGGCGCGGATCCATGGGCTAATCATAGACCCACTACGGCTGCCACTCCTTCGACTTCGGCACCAGCGCGTCGTTTGGAACAGTTGCAGGCAGCGATTCGTGAAGAAGTTCAACAGCAAGTCCAGCAAGCTCCTCCTGGCCTTTCACCCAGCCTCACCCCGCCAGACTCGGTCATCCAGCAGCTCCAAGTGAACATCACTGAACTGCAAGCTCAAGGTGGTCAATTCCAACAATGGTTCCATGAAGCTGGACAGCGTATGAGTGCCAATGAACAACAGCTCCAGCATCTTCACACGGTTGTCGAACAACAAGGACAACATGTTGCCAAACAGATTGATATGATCCAGCAGGAAGTCGACAACAAGACTCAAATCCTGCAAAGCTCCCTGCAGGGATCTTTGGCCGCGATGCAACGAGACTTTGATGTATCCTTGGACACCAAGCTCTCCAATCGATTCGATCGTATTGAATCGATGTTGGCCAAGAAGTCCCGCACTGAGGCCTGACTAGGCCTGCCTCGATGCCGGGTTGCAACCACCGGTAGGCGAGCCTTCTTTCCTTGGTTGCTTTGGATTTGTCTCTTCATGCCCTGGGCATGGGCCAATGGATTGCAATTCTCTCACGTGCCGGACACTTGGACTTTCTCTTCTACAGCTGCGATGGACTTCGACACAGCTGGCCCGGGCACTCGCCGCAGTTCCTCCTGCAACTACTGGTCCCAGCTTGGATTTTCAGCTGGTGGATTTCGTTTTGGTGAAGCTGAGCACCCGGGCCCTGGTGGTGCTCCGGATGGCAGCACTTTGGGGTCCCCTGACTCCCTGGATTTTCAGCGCCTGCGGGTTGGTTGCTCAAATCCCTGTGGACTTAGAGGGAAAGAACTTGCTGTCATATCACTGGGCCCAGGCATTTGGACTTTTGCCGAAACCCATCTGACTTTGGTGACTCAAGCTTCAGTGACATCCACTTTGGCCTCTTATGGCAGACTTCAGAATCGCTCCATACGTTCCCTTTTTGGAGCCCCGGTTTCATTCCGGACAAATTCGATCAGTGCAGGAACTTGGTCTGGGGTGGGGGCCATTTCCGACTTTCCTTCTCAAGAACTTTCTGTTCCTTGGCCAGATGGAGAAAGAGATGCTGGAAGGGTCATGCTTTCACGGCATTTTGTTGGTCCCACGCCATTTACTGTGGCTTCCATTTATGGATTTCCTGCGGGTCCCACCTGGCCTCGTAACCGTAGTCTGACTGAGCAACTGCTCACTACGGTGACCAAAGAAGTGGTGCTCGGCACCAGTGGCTGCCGCATCATCCAAGGGGATTTCAACCAACCTGCGGATGGGCTTGATGCCTTTCAGATCTGGCGACACTATGGCTGGGTGGAGGCACAATGTTTGGCAAAGGATCTGTGGGGGCGTCACATCGAAGCCACGTGCAAGAATGCCTCCACGGTGGATCTGATGTGGCTCTCTCCGGAAGCGGCAATGCTTTGTGTTCAAGTGGGCACCATGGATGTTTTTGCGGACCACCTTACGGTCTATGCTGATTTTCAGCTTCCTTTGCGGGCCATGACAATCACCCGCTGGCCTTTGCCTTCCATCATTGATTGGACCCAGGTGGACATGGATCGCTGGCAACATACTTGCGCTGCTGATCATGGTCCTCGTTTTGCTGGGGGTGATCCTGATGTTTTTTTGGCACAATGGGCGCATCATTGGGAATCCACTCTTCATGGTGCCATTCAAGATCAACCAGATGGCCGGTTGCCTTCTCGTTGTGCTGGCCGCGCTCAACGGACCAAGCCCTGTCGATCACCTCTACTTCCTCCAACCGCCAAACCCTCGCGGCAGGGAGAAGTTTACCTGCACAACAATCTGGTTTCCATGGCAGTGCATAAGTGGTTCAAACAGTTGAGACGCTTGCAGAGCTACAAACATGCCGCCATTGCCAATAAGCAGACCTTGGATGCGGAATGCTACCGACTTCACCTTTGGCATGCTATCAAACGAGCTTCTGGCTTTAGCTCAACTTTTGCTCAGTGGTGGAACAATCGTCACCACAAGACGCCTGCGGCCCCATCCCAATTGCCACTTGCTCCACCATCGGGGCTTGTTGCGGATGCGATTTTCTTGGACTTCAAGTTGAACTTTGAGCGTTTCGAGCGATGGCATTGCCGACAGAAGGGCAAGCTGCTGCAGGCAAAGTATGACCAGACTTGCAAAGCGCTCTTTAGAGATCTTCGGGATCCTGGACGAGGGCAACTGGACTTTTTGTGGGATACCACTTGTTTTGCGGTGCTTGACTTCAGCTTAGAATCCAAGCAGATCCATCTAGATCATCCATGCACCTCGGGTTCATCTTGCAGATGGTTTCTCAATGGCACGCAGCTGCAGGTGTTGGACGCTGATGGGGATTTGCTCACTTTGGAATCCATCCCTGGCACTTTGGAGGTTGGTGATGAACTACAGCAGGTTCGGTTTTTCACCTCCTTGGGTGAGATCCACCAAGCGATGTTGGAGCTTTGGCGCCCGAGATGGCAGAAGGCGTCACAGATTGGGACGGCGGACTGGAATCGAATTTTGGGCTTCATTCAGGCATTCATGCCTACACTGCAGTTCCCTGATCCACCGCTGGCTATTTCTGCCTGGAAAACTATGCTGCGAAGATTTCCTCCTCGAGCTGCACGAGGGGTGGACGGCATTGCTGTGGCGGATCTGGCTCATCTTCCAGATTCCATCACCCAGAACCTCTTGGATTTTTTGGGGCAGATCGATGGCAGTGCTTGCAAGTGGCCTTCTCAACTTTTGTTTGGCAAAGTTCTGGGTTTGGCGAAACAGGAACATTCACATCTTCCTGCCCACTATCGACCGGTGGTGATTCTCAGTTGTGTTTACAGAGCATGGTCACGCATGAAAGCACAACCAATCCTTCAATTCCTGGCCAATGCGGTCCCCTTGGAGGCACAGGGATTTCTTCCTGGTCGTGAATGTGCGCACATTTGGCTTCGCTTGCAGAGCTACATTGAGCTTTGCATCCAGCAGCGGATGGATTTTTGCGGCTTCAGTGCCGATCTGGAGAAATGCTTCAACAACATTAGCCGTGATGTTTTGTTCACGCTGGCGGCTCATGTTGGCCTACCACCAGCTTTGTTGCAGCCCTGGCGGAGCCACCTGGACACCTTCGAGAGGGCGTTTGAGATTCGTACATCTTTGAGCCCGACGGTTACCAGTACACAAGGACTGCCGGAGGGATGCTCGCTCTCAGTGGTCGGGATGGTCTTGGTGGATTGGGCGTACCACATCTACATGCGGCTGCTGACCCCCACAGTTCACATGTTTAGCTATGTGGACAACCTGACCGCAGGGGGCTCGCAAGCTTTGGCGGTGGTGTCAGCGTTCTTTTCAACCATCTGTTTCTTCAACCTTTGGGGTCTTAGTTTGGATATGGACAAGAGCTATGTTTGGGGGCTTCAAGCTTCCAGCAGGGCGATTCTCCATCACTTGGGCCTTGCGGTCAAACAAGACGCCATGGAACTTGGTGGAAATCTTTGTTTTGGTCGTGCACGACGCAATAGGTTGATGAAATCACGGATGGTTTCCTTGGACAAGAAGTGGGCTCGTTTGAAGCGCAGTCGGGCTCCACTTTATCAGAAGATCCTAGTTTTGCCAGCTTCGTTTTGGGCGGCAGCGCTTCATGGTGCTGTGATTTGCCCTTTGCCAGATGGTCATTTACATGCTCTTCGAAAAGCTGCCCATCGTGCGTTGCATTTGAATCAAGCAGGCGCCAATGCTTTGCTTCGTTTCTCTTTGCAGCCCAATATGATGGCGGATCCGGGCTTCTATTACGTTGTCATGGTCATGAGCACATTCCAAAGGGTGTGCCGTCGCTCGGCCTCACTTTTGGATCTCTGGCGATGGTGGACTCAATCTTTTGCTGGCGACCTTCAACAAGGCCCATTCAGCGTGCTGATGCAGACTCTGAACAGTGTTGGCTGGGCTGTCCTTGACCCTCCTTTGGTACAAGACCATTTGGGTGATGTGCATGACTTCATGCTTCTGGATGGCTCACTCATGCGAAAGATGCTGCAAGATGCCTGGTTGTTGCGGGTTTCTCAACAAGTTCGACATCGTCCCACGATGCAACAGCTGACCGGCATCGACCGCTATATCACCGTTGAGAGTAATGGCGGTCTCACTGCACATCAGACTTCGCTGCAATCTGCCCTTCAGAGCGGTGCGTTTATTGACTCTTGGGTTCATAGCAAATATGATATGACTAAACAGGGTCATTGTCAGTTGTGTGGGTGTCCTAATACTCATAGCCATCTTTTGGTTTGTCCCAAATATTCCAGTTTACGGGCTAAGTTTTCTTTGACCAGCGCTGATTTGCTCTCCTGGCCTCAATGTTTTTCACTGCATTTGCTCTGTCCACGTTCACCTTTCGTGGATGATTTGCGAGCCTATTTCTTGCAGTTGCCAGACACCACGGCACTCTTTGAGAGCATCCCAACCGGTGAAGAAATGGAGCATTTGTTTACTGATGGCTCATGCTTTGCTGATGGCAGATGGGAAGTTCATTGCGCGTCATGGGCTGTCTTCAATGCCAATAGCCAACAGGCGGTGGCCACAGGATGGGTTCCAGGACTGGCGCAAACAATTGGTCGAGGAGAACTGATGGCCTTGGTGGCGGCGCTCCGTTGGGCACTTCGACATGCTGTGCGCACGCACATTTGGATGGACGCCAAATTCGTCCATGAGGGCTATGAACAACGCCGCCATGGTTTTGTCGGGGACCTCTCAGACACACATGCGGATCTTTGGCTGCAGGTGGAACAGATGATTGCCGAGGGTGTGGGCACTCTTGCTTCTTCTTCATGGATACCCTCACATTTGGATCCTTCGCGGTGTGAAAATCCCTTTGAAGATTGGGTTGCCACCAACAACGGCAAAGTGGACCTTTTGGCAGTTCGCCAAAACCTTGCACGTCCAGTTAGCTTCTGGAATCTTGTCATGCGACAAAACCAATGGGATCAACTGTGGAGAGAGCGGCTGCATCAGCTTCGCCAATACTACTTTGGCATCTTCGAGCTGACGCATGGACCCAATGCGATGAATGAGATCACAGTGATTGAATCAAGTGACGATGACGAAAGTGAGAGCAGATTGTACAGTTTTGCAGACATTTCGGCAGGGCTACCCAATCTTTGTACATTTGACTCAGCCACTGGCCTTCCATTTTCATTTTTGGAGAGCATTATCCATTGGATCAACTCTCATGATGATGTTGATTCTCCTGCGGTTGCGGTTTGTTTGTTGGAGATTACTGTTGGTTTGCTTCGAATTGATCCCATTACCTTTCCTCACAGAAACCCTACTTCGGGGAAATGGCATATGCGGGATAGGCTCACCCTGTATGAAAGACCTACTCTTGCCTTTTACATTGGGCTTGTACAAAAGGTTTTCCAATTTTTGGCACGACAGAGCAGGCATTTTGATTTTATTTTGCAATCTTTGGATTGCTCCAGTATGGGTGTGCATGTGCCACAACGAGGCGTAGCACTTCGCCTAAACACCCAGCTGCGAGCCGATATCAAACAGGTATTGGCCTTTTTCACGGCTTCAAGGCCAATTCGGCGGGCAGCCGACATGGCGAGGCCGCTCTGCTAAGGACTCTTGGACTGTTTGCAGCTGCACTGCTTGCGGCCGTGCACTGCAGACTCATGCAATCTGTCCGCGATATACAATAATTGTATATATACTCTCCGCCTCTACTCAGTACTTCTTCGACTAAAAGAAAGAGACAAACATGCAGCACTGAGTCACTCCCGGAGTCGCTTCGCAGGAGCTGAAACCTTTGCGACGACGCCTGACAGATGAAGCAGTGACCGTCTTTGGCAGCGAAGGGAAGCGCGCTGAGTGAGCTGAGTGAGCGCTATCGAAGTCTAAAGGATCAAGAAATCAGCAGATCTTGCCGTGACACATTGCATTAAATCTCAGAAGATTGGAAGAAGCTGTTGAACATTCTAAATTCTAAACTTTGAACCCAGATTTTTCCAGTTTTATTGATTTCGATCCTCACTGTCCTGGACCCGTGATATGATTGTGCTGTTATGTGGTATGTGGTTACCAACGTCTCAAGTGGATAATAAGGGATACAAAGGGCATGTGGCCCAGCACGCAGTTTTTTACATGGCCGGTGCGGCTATGGTGCTGACGAAAGATTGATGATTTGATGACAGGAAAAATCCCAAATTTGAAATTGATACTTCAAGCCAATTTACTGGTTGGTGGTTTGGAGCATTTTTTATTTTCCATAATATATGGGAATAATCATCCCAACTGACTAATATTTTTCAGAGGGGTTGAAACCACCAACCAGATTTAAGTCAGCAACATCGTGCAACTCTAATTAATGCATGATTGAGTCGTTCTTTGCGCCAACGTTTCGTCATTGACTCCAAAAAAGTGTGTTTGCCAGAGGAAGATGGTATTTTGGCAAGGGACACAGCTGGATAGCTTGTTTCTTTTTTCCTGGTGCTGGTAAGATGTTTTTGTGTCCTGAAGACTAGAATGGTTGGGGTTGAAGTGAGCTCATCTACCTTCATTCTGGCTTATGTTCCTCACTGCCTGCTGTGTGATGCAGCTTGTTAGGGGATCGGGATGCAAGCGTTTTGAGTTTGGAATCATACCCCATGCACAGCAATGCATTTGGACATGGTTTCTTATTCTTTGTCCTCCAGTCATTGACACTATCCACTCAGAGCAAGACAGTGAATTCATGGTTCTGTCTTCGATGTAGAGGTCATGATGATTGCCTGGTCAATGGGAATGGGCCTGCATTGTGAAAGGAAACAGCACACTACTACAGAATGCGGCATCAAGGTCCGCAAGCGCTACAAAAACGAGTGGACGCAATGGAACAAACGAGAAAACAAAAAACAGTTAGCACACTTAGCACCCTCAGCACCTGCAAATCCTCTGTTTCCCCGTCGTTGCCAAGTCATCACATAAAAAGGATAGGTTGATCAAAACTGACCATCCCACCGTCCCGGATCAGAGTCACTTCATGACCATCAATGACCACTCGCCATATCACATGTACTGTACACATAAATCTCTAGTCATACTGATCATTAATGTATATGTACGCAATATACATCCCCTGCATAACACGAATTAACACAAGCAAGTTCGCAGAAACATTGGCACCGTTGCATTTGTTCGTAAGTGGATAGAACCAGCCCCAACTGCTGATGGCGGAAGTATGGGCGAAGGCGACAAGCTCCATGAAGCCAAAGTGCTTTGTGCCTTGGCGTTGCCATCGATGGTCGATGCCTGGGGATGGCAATGCTTCCAGAGCAGATGACATTCACCAGGTATTTTTGTTGGTTGAATATGTGTGGAGATAATCAGAAAATAACTCCAGGTATAGCACCAACATATGAGCCATATATGGATCTGAACATTTTCACATGGTCATATTATTGTCATATTTGTTGAGTGCATCTTTTGTTGTTCCAATTTGCTTCATATATTCCCATTATGACCTCCCAACACTTCTAAAGCTCTCCAGGTGCTCGCTTACGGCAAGGCCGCAGGCGGGAGATATTATGATTCCAATGATGATTGTAGGTTACCCCATGTTATCCCTGAGATGACTAGTGAATGGATATTGAATAATCATCCAATATTGAATATTTAATGAATATTGAATGAATGGTTCCCAACTCCTACTATTGAATGAAGATTGAATGAATATCTGAATAAACGTAACCACTAAGTTCTCCACCTATTCTGGCTATCGATGATGCGAATATTTTTACACTTGACCCATTCTTGGGCCTCTATGGCCTAACCCCAAGATCGGAGCGTTGTTGAACCCAAGGATCTCAAAGGTGCTAGCAGCATTGCTCTGCAAAATATACCTCAATGATCAGCAAGAGTGCAGTGCGTCTTCAAAAACATACCATGTAATTATATATAATTATATAATTATATGATTTAATTATATATAATTATATATAATATATAATTATATAATATAACATATATATATTATATCCATATTAGGGATCTCTGGATGCCGACATTCAACCAATATTCCAATATTTGATTGAACCAATAACTCGTCGAAGATGAACCAAATTGGCCACATGGCTATAACCTGATAGTATACCAACCATTTTCAGCATCTTATCTCCATATTTCATGGATCCACCATAAATTCCCGTGTTATTGATGGTGATATCCACATTTTGTGCAGGTTCCATCCAAGATTAGCCATAGATTGGAAGTAAAGCGCGAATTTGGAGACACACACACACAGATGATCTTTTGCTGAAATCCCTATATATTGATGGCTTAAATCTTCATTTTTGATCATTTTTGTGGGGTTAAACGGTTCAACCTATATTTTGGCCAGGCCTCACTGGATTTCGCCTTGCTTCGCTAGGTCGGAGCCGGCAGAGCTGGCCCCACATCGGATTCTGCTCTTCAGCCTGGTGCGACAAAGGGCGCGCAGGCGGCCTTTTTGGGTCGTGGGATTCCCATGATCATTTCGTCAAGAGAACATAGCCAGAGGATCGAGATTTTGGATCATGGCTATGGATCAATACCTATAAAAATTTTCCATTTTTAGGGGGATGAACATTACCATTTTAACCCAGCTAAATTTTGATGTGAACTACGAAGGTACAAGGTTTTGACACACTGCCATATGTTGTAATGCAGTTGGCATGTGTTTTTTTTTCCGGATATATATATATATATTATATATATAATGGGGTTTGAATTGTGTATGAACATTCACCTATACCAGTTGTTTTGATGCGAAAACCAAACTACTACAGGGTTTTTGATCACAGTCATTTGATTCACTCTGGATTTTATTTGCAACTTTGGGGCACCCTATTTTGATGGAAAGTTCATACACAGCCTGCAGCTGTAGGATGCAATTTATGAATTTAAACCCCTACCATCAATTAATTGTAGTTACTCCCAATAGTCAGCTGGTATGATAACCTCCCGATTAAATCAATTTCAATAGCATTAATAGATATTAATAGCAACTAGAGTAACCCGCCACTAATTTGCTCTAAACATCTATATACATATGAACACTTTCTATAAGAATTGATACCCCCGTGATGACCAGCGGAGGCACCAATTCCTCGAGCAACTTGAGCGCTTTCCAGCCCTGCTGAGCCGGGTGGATGGGCCGGGATGGTCGAATGTTGGACTTTGTGCAAAAGGTATGAATCAAAACGATTCATTCGGTTCAACATGATTCATGTTTTTTCAAACATATTCAAACTTATTGAAACTTATTCAACATGGTCAAAATTATTTCAAATGATCAACGCCAGCAACATGGATGGTTTAATAGACAAAATGGCTAGTTTTGTGACTTTATTACCAGTTTTGACCGATACCCAAGTGCCAGCTTCTGGAAACATCATTGTTCGTCTATTCTGATCTAGAGTCATGTTCTGTCGTCATGTTATGTTGTGTTCTTGTGCATCCATAGGGAAAAAACACACCTCTGCGATAATGGGCCCCTATAACTTTTGAATGCCTATTCATAAGCCAAGTTATGGGCAAATCATAGAGACCTTGGAAAAATCCATGGCATTCCCCTTGGGGACCATCCGTTATGGGTCCGCCTCCAGGTCGAGTGGGTCCGAGCAGTAGATGGCTCCGCCTTGAAGCTGGAAGAGGCCTCCCAGCTCCGTCAGCGATGGAGAAAGGAAGATCTGGAAGATCTGGAATCTGAAAGAGATGGCTTGCCACTCCTAAAAAAAACGGGCCCACATTTGACCTGGCTTGCATGGCAGGTCCCAGGAGAAATCGTGGACTCGGACGGCATCAAGGAGAGATTCAGGGCTTGTTTAAGGATGCTTTGACCTTGCAGAAAACACCCGATTTCAACTTCGGCAATGTTTCATGATGACTCACTGGAGAACCCCCGAGATGAGTCATCATTGCTTAGGAAGGCACATACAGCAAACCAGGGCCTAAGCCTCCAAATCTCTCTTGGAATACACATCAACAGCTTCCCTTTGAACCAGTAATTCTCAAAAGTTCAGGTGTCCATAATGATTGTTCATCCCAATTTTCCCATTTGTTTTTAAACATTATTTCCCATACTTTTGCGCATGGTTTCCATATAGTTTTTCCCAATGATCATCATTTCCCCCATGGTTTTCCCATAGTTTATCCACATCTTCCATCATTTTCCTACGTTTTTCCATGAAAATCATCCAGCCCTTGGGATTCGGATCATCCCAGCCTCCCAGGACGCCCTGACACAGCACCCCCGTGTGCTGGGCTACGTCTTAACGCGCGGAGCCATTGGCCTGGCCTGGACGTGGTGTCCTGACGGCAATCTGGAGCCGGCCATGTGGGTGATAATGTGAGTAATTGGTGATTAATGTGGGTCAATGTGGGTCAATGTGGGTTCATAGTGGGTTCATAGTGGGTTCATAGTGGGTTCATAGTGGTTAAGAGTGGTTAAGAGTGGTTAAGAGTGGTTAATAGTGGTTAATAGTGGTTAATAGTGGTTAATAGTGGTTGACAGTGGTTAATAGTGGTTAATAGTGGTTAATCATCACCATTAACCAAACAATAGTGAGTACTGTGGGTAAAACAATGCCATGTGCATCATCTCCCAGTCATCAAAATAAACAGGTGGGACGTTTACATGTGTTTACCATTCCCAGTCATGTGTGCTTTATGACATTGTTTTACCCACATTAAAGCAATGCCAGAAAGCAGCCATGCCATGAATGATATCACTAACATTAGGGAAACACCATTATGAATTATAATATTGTTAAGCATGTTAGTATTGAATGGGTCAAATTGGGATAGTGGATCCTAATATGCCATAAATCACCCATGGGTAATGAATGGGTAAAATTGGGGGTGGATCCTATATGCACTGTTGCACTAGGGACCGTAATAATAGCATAGCGACAAATCATGATCATAGTGGGAAAAGAATATGGGAACATTGGGAACATCTGAAAATGGGTGAAGTGATACGTAGCTTCTTTCAATGAGAGTACTGCACTATGAATTATAATTATATATTATAAGTTAATAGGGAATATCTGGTTGAATGACAATAAAGTAAATGATTTAATAGGGCAACTACAGTATGTCCTAATAAAGGTTGTTTCCTTCAGTTATGGACCTGGTTGCCTGGCGAAATTGGGACAATCATTGCCACCATTGGATTTTTTACTAGGGAAAAACACAGTTTATAAGATGAGAAGAAAACGAATGATGATCTGGTTGGTGGTTTGGAATATTTTTTATTTTTCCATATATTGGGAACAACAATCCCAACTGACTAATATTTTTCAGAGGGGTTGAACCAGTATTTAATCTATTATGATGATAATCAAAATTCTAAGAGGGACATGAATGAAGATGAGAATTAAACTCATCCAATGGATAGAACGGGGGTTACACGATTTTCAGACAGACCCACATCTTTGCGGATGTTGATGTTTGCTGGTGATTCCCTTATGTCATTTATTCCATGTTCATGTTCGGCCAAGTGGTATAGATGTGACTGGCCATTTGGAGACACATCTCTTGACATGCCAAGGTTTAAAGCCTTGGATGCTATCCTCAATGATCAGGACACACATGGGATGGATGGGATCTCAAAAATCCAGGTGACTGTGATTTTCCGCATCACCGGAAGGGATGCTGTTGGCTCTTCGGGGAGAACCTTGTCAATAGGAGTCGGATTCAAATCTTGGGACTTGCAATTACCCTCTGGTAATTTAACAAATAGCTATTGAAGATCACCATTTTTAATGGGAAAATCCACTATTTCTATGGTCATGTTCAACGGCTATGTTAGTTTACCAGAGGGTAGTTGGTTTATGATCTTGATTTTCACTCGCAGTTTTTCGCGGCTAAAAGGGTCTGTGTTCTACATGTCGCAGCCACGTGGAAGTTTTCAGGGAATGCACCCCGTAGGAAACAAACTGTGCAAAGGAATATATAACACCGCCTTTTTCAACAGGTTTCAGGGTTGCTCCAACCTACTATATACAAGGGGAGAAAATGTGTTATCTTGATTTATCTTACCTTGTTTCTTCCCAGTTCCCCCATGTTGCTGCTGTATTTGGGGTGTTGGTAGTTCGGCTTTCATGGCTTTTTTTGGCTGGCCACTGCCATGACCAGAGGAGCCACAGCATATCTACTTGATCTGTGAGGACGATGCCAGGCTGAGATGCTGAACATTTGATCAAGTTCCATAGGAGGATGTAGGAGGTGTGTGATGGTGAGATGATAGTCAGTTGGAATCAGCTGTGCTCCGCCGGGTTTTGTCAAGGCAGATCAAAGAAATCAACAAGACAAACAAGACTAACAGAAAAAGAAACAACATCGTGACTCACGTGACTTGATGAAAATCAGCCCTTTTCAATGGCAAAATGGAGCGACATTTGTGCCGCGGGTTGGTTCTGTATCGCCAGGTTCTCGCCTCAATTCCCGGAAGACTTTAGGGATCTGTGTCTTGCGGCCGACGCGCACGATCCTGACTGGGAGGCACACTGTTTAATTAGGCAACTTTGATCGACGTGAGATCAGGGCACTTGTGGATTATTTTGGCAGAGGATTGTATAGTTTAGATGCAATAAGTGCTGATTGTAGGCACACTATTTAATGAATATGAATTGAAGACTGTAGAGTCAGACTTTTAGAATCCAGACAAATCTAGACAGTCAGATGAATTCGTGACTTTTAGAATAATTCGTGACTTTTAGAATAACAGAATCCAACTTTATGAATTGGTGACTTTTAGAATCCAGACAGATGATCAATTGGATAATTGGAAAATGTTGGTGAACCCACCCACAAACTCTCCAAGGACTGGAGTGAATTGGCCTGGTGCTATGGTTGTTTCTCCTTTGACATGATGCATGACCTGCGACAATCCATGGGTCTCCATTCGTTAATCAAGATATTGGTCACTATCATATGATGTATTAATTTTGCCCGGAAATTTCTGGGCATACCATATTTCATATATATATATATAAAGGGGCTACGCCCCCTGCCGCCGACCCCTGGTCTAGGGGCCTGGAACGTAAGAAGAAAGGTTTAGTGGTGACCTGTTCTTGTGTTGGAAATGTATGTGTGTATTTCTCTTCTGACCCAGCGATGTCCGAAGCGGATCTGCACGTGCTTTCTGGGGCCTTGGCCTTCGGGGGTACGGAGACCCTGGGCGCTGGTGCGTTCCGGGGGATCAGCAGATCAGCTTTGGAGGTCGCAGGGTTGGAAAGGGAGGAGGAGAACAACAACAGCAGCAGCAGCAGCAACAACAAGAAGAAGAAGAAGAACAACAACAACAGGCACACAAGTATGCAACGCATGCACAGCCTTTGCCTTCGTTTGCCGTCTTGCTCATCGCACGAATCAACGCCTGGCCCGCTTGCGCCAACGCGAAACCCGCCACCGGCACGCAGCAATCCTAGAGGACGTTCGCAAGGAAATTCAGGAAATACACGAAGCAAGACAAACTTCCATGGTCCCAAAACGGACACTGCCCACTCATCGAACCAGCAGCTTGCTGTCGGGCCTGACACCGCCACGACTGCACATATACATCTGCCCGTACTGTGCCAAGTCTGTGCAAAGCCCTGTGGCAACAGGGCGCGTCGATCACCGCCGCGGTAATGGCTGCGGCAAACAATTTCGCGTTGCCAATGGCTTGCTCGCAGGTCGCACATATTCGCATGCATGTCCAACATGCGGCACGGTGGTGCACTCAACACTGGCTTCCGGCCGAATTCGGGTAACGCATCGCAATCCCAGCGGCCGGCAGTGTCGCACCAACCAGTGGCGCGTGCATACCTGATGACGTTTCCAGCTTAAGGTTGCCACACCGCACGGCAATGCCCCACATTGCTTTCTGAACCTACAAGAAAAGTAGCCGTCTTCCAGCTTTCCAAGCTCAGAAACGGCGCCTCCGCCACGCCCAAACAGCAGGGCCCTGAAGGACGGACCGAGCCTCCGGGCAACGGCTCCCACTGCCTAACGTTGCTTTCTGAACCTACAAGAAAACTAGCTCTCTTCCAGCCGTCAAGGCTCACAAACGGCGCCCTCGCCACAGCAAAACAGCAGGGCCCTGAAGGACGGACCGAGCCTCCGGGCAACGGCTCCCAAACTAGCTCTCTTCCAGCCGTCAAGGCTCACAAACGGCGCCTCCGCCACAGCAAAACAGCAGGGCCCTGAAGGACGGACCGAGCCTCCGGGCAACGGCTCCCACTGCCTAACGTTGCTTTCTGAACCTACAAGAAAACTAGCTCTCTTCCAGCCGTCAAGGCTCACAAACGGCGCCCTCGCCACAGCAAAACAGCAGGGCCCTGAAGGACGGACCGAGCCTCCGGGCAACGGCTCCCAAACTAGCTCTCTTCCAGCCGTCAAGGCTCACAAACGGCGCCTCCGCCACGCCCAAACAGCAGGGCCCTGAAGGACGGACCGAGCCTCCGGGCAACGGCTCCCACTGCCTAACGTTGCTTTCTGAACCTACAAGAAAACTAGCTCTCTTCCAGCCGTCAAGGCTCACAAACGGCGCCCTCGCCACAGCAAAACAGCAGGGCCCTGAAGGACGGACCGAGCCTCCGGGCAACGGCTCCCAAACTAGCTCTCTTCCAGCCGTCAAGGCTCACAAACGGCGCCTCGCCACAGCAAAACAGCAGGGCCCTGAAGGACGGACCGAGCCTCCGGGCAACGGCTCCCACTGCCTAACGTTGCTTTCTGAACCTACAAGAAAAGTAGCCGTCTTCCAGCTTTCCAAGGCTCACAAACGGCGCCTCCGCCACGCCCAAACAGCAGGGCCCTGAAGGACGGACCGAGCCTCCGGGCAACGGCTCCCACTGCCTAACGTTGCTTTCTGAACCTACAAGAAAACTAGCTCTCTTCCAGCCGTCAAGGCTCACAAACGGCGCCCTCGCCACAGCAAAACAGCAGGGCCCTGAAGGACGGACCGAGCCTCCGGGCAACGGCTCCCACTGCCTAACGTTGCTTTCTGAACCTACAAGAAAACTAGCTCTCTTCCAGCCGTCAAGGCTCACAAACGGCGCCATCGCCACAGCAAAACAGCAGGGTCCTGAAGGACGGACCGAGCCTCCGGGCAACGGCTCCCACTGCCTAACGTTGCTTTCTGAACCTACAAGAAAACTAGCTCTCTTCCAGCCGTCAAGGCTCACAAACGGCGCCCCGCCACGCAAACAGCAGGGCCCTGAAGGACGGACCGAGCCTCCGGGCAACGGCTCCCACTGCCTAACGTTGCTTTCTGAACCTACAAGAAAACTAGCTCTCTTCCAGCCGTCAAGGCTCACAAACGGCGCCCTCGCCACAGCAAAACAGCAGGGCCCTGAAGGACGGACCGAGCCTCCGGGCAACAGCCCCCAGTGCCTAACGTTGCTTTCTCAACCTACAAGAAAACTAGCTCTCTGAGCTGTCTTCCAGCCGCCTGCCTAACGTTGCTTTCTGAATCGACAAGAAAACTAGCTCTCTGACCTGTCTTCCAGCCGCCTGCCTACCGTTGCTTTCTGAATCGACAAGAAAACTAGCTCTCTGACCTGTCTTCCAGCCGCTTGTTGCTTCCTGGCTTCTTGTTTCTTGCTTCTCTGACCTGTCTTCCAGCCGCTTGTTGCTTCCTGGCTTCTTGTTTCTTGCTTCTTGCCGCTTGTTGCCTGCAATTGCTTCTTGCTTCTTGCTTCTTCTTTCTTGTTTTCTTTGCTTCTTGCCCTTGCTGTTTGTAATGACTTCTCTGACCTGTCTTCCAGCCGCTTGTTGCTTCCTGGCTTCTTGTTTCTTGCTTCTTGCCGCTTGTTGCCTGTAATTGCTTCTTGCTTCTTGCTTCTTCTTTCATGTTTTCTTGCTTCTTGCCCTTGCTGCTTGTAATGACTTCTTGGCCCTTGCTGCTGGTAATTCCTCCTCTGACGCGCTCCCCCTGCTGTCGGCAGGGGTCGGCGGATATATTATATATATATATATTAATGTTTCATCATATTTCCATATTATATATATATGAATGTTTCATCATATTTCCAGAAACATTTTTTTTGATCAGGTTCTTCATGTTGGATACCATGTGGCCCGGGGCGCCAAGCTGCTGGGTATAGAAGGAACTTCTCACTTCACTTGGGGAAGGCGACATGCAAACGATTGAGGCTTCCACTACAGTAAGGCACGGGCTTTAACAGTCTGTTTTGACAGATTTGGCAGTGCCCTGTGGTGCAGGATGAAGTGAAACATTTTAGGTTTGTTCTCGTTTTACAGAAGTGTAGCCCTGAAAGCAGATCATGTTGTGTCTTCAGTCTGATTTTGGACATCTGAGACGCACAGACACCTTTCAAGTCTAGTCATGTTTACTCCTCAGGATCCATGTCTGGGAAATCTCAGTCTCAATCTTTATGTAAAAATGACTCAACTGATTCGAAACTATTGATGTATAGTCATCCTGCAGTAGATAGAGTATGATCTATGATAATTTCAAACATTAGCCAGTAAGATGGGAATATGATGGAATATGATTGACAAATCCATATTCTACTTCAGGATGACTATAAATCCATGTGCATCCAAGGTCTGCAGTTAGGGTCTCACAGTTTCGACACAGCCCGTCCCAGTACGACGTAGCCCGTCTTCATGCCAGGGGCTGCGGCCAGCCCTGCTGTGACGTGGATCCTGCCGAGTCCTCGGCGAAATTCTGATCATAATTATGCTATATGATGCTGGTTGATGATGGTTGAACATTTAGTATATCATTATTGTGGTATATTATATTCAAATGTTATACTAATTATTCAAATGCTATTTAGTATATCATAATTGTGATAATTATGCTATATGATGCTGGATAATTATGCGTCTGATTATGTGTGTTACGCTCTTCATTTGTGGTCGCAGCAAGTAACCATGAATGTCACCGCAGTTAAAAACCTCAATTTCATCCCAATTTCACCCCAAAAAAATGGGAACACCATGGGGTAAACAATAGAGTTCCCACAGATGTTCTCCGAGTTCTCCATTTTCCCAGCCATTTTTCCCAGATGTTCCTAGGCCAGTTGCCCCCTGGGTCGACCCGGTCAGCTCTTTGGCGCCTATGCTGTGGCCTTGCGTCCACGGGGGGCATGGTGCCCAGATGTGCCCAGTGGTGTCAATGGACATACCTGGGACCACAAATGACTGCCTAGACCCTCCAAGTTTTCACCATGAATTTTAAGGCTCCAACAATCGCTTGGCTAAAAATTGGAGGTCAAGCGCATATATTTAAATTTTAAGCGGTTTTAAGCCATCCATAAGAAAACACCCTAGCCAATGATTTTGACACCCTAGCCGACCATTTTTGGATGACCAGGACCAAACACCACTTTTCCTTTCCGCTGGGATGATCAGCAGAAATTTCCATAAGGATCATCGAAATGTGCCAGGAGCCAGCATGACTTCGAGTTTTTTACCCCATAAACCTCCCTATTTTACAGGAAGAGGTTCCAGTGAGATCACCCCGCTGGAGTGAATGTATAGCTGTGTACACCACTTGCCAGACGTATATTGAGCTAAAAATCACTATAAACCCATCTATAATATATTAAACCATGATAAAACCCTATTTTCCTGGTAGGATTGGTAGCTTCAATCCCCATTTTCTTTCTTCCTGTCAGAGAGATGAGCGTATCGTAGAACCACTGGGCGCTGAGGCTCGGAAACTTCGAGAGAAGCTCTTCCCTGTGAATCTGCAGGCCAGGGACCCAGACCCAGCGACCCAGCGATGGCGATGTTGGCGGTCACCTGGTGGCACCTGGAAATGATTCCCGATTCAAGCGATGTCGCCTGAGCACGGGACATCATTATTTGTTGTCAGGAATCATGATGAGTACTATGTTACTATGGTGAATCTCAATACATCTCAATACGAGTAACATATCCAGTAGTAATGTCAGCTGCTCCCATTGAGGTTGACACCGAACTCTCTCGCTTGCAGGGATCTCAGTCTTTGGAGTTGCGGCGGAGAGGCCACAGGATGGCTTCAGTGCCGTGTTTCTCGGACTTCATGGTGCGAATGTTTCTGTTCTTTCGTGATTCGCAACTCTTGAAATAGTAATGTTGACGTTGAGCTTTAGACTAAACATGAATCAGTTCTTTCTCATTCCACCCTTCAGAAAAGCATGACCGCACTGCCGCACCACAGGTATCAGGGCCTGGCCAAGGGCTCGGGCAATCTGCAGGCCGTAGCAAGTAGTGTGACCAGATCAGACATGGGTTTGTCCAAGAATTTGTTCGAGGATAATTACCATGGGATACCGAAAACTGGCAATTTCTGGGGGAACACATGGGAAAATATGGGACATGATGGGAAAATGATAAAATATAAACACTTTAAACATCCCATAAGTGATAATCCATTGGAGTTTGGGATAATATCCGATTTGTAGAGAAACGCTACTGAGTGACTACTCCCATACTGGTGACATGATGATGGAGGTGTTCTGCGTGAAACTGTGTCATCAACATTGGGCTGTTCCCCATTGCTGACGCTCCAAACTTGGATGATTGTAAGCTTTCGCAGCAGCTCAGTTCATCATTTTCACGCCAGTCTTTGATGATTCAACTGTCCAAGAGGAAAAATACACAGAACCTTGTCCAGTTGAACAACTGATCTCTATGACACCCGCAGCTTTTCCCAGTTGTTTTCGCGCCAGGCGCGCGTGCAACATCGCTTGGATCGCAGTGATAGACTCCGAGCCTGGTGACCCGAGTGCACTTCACCGAAGCCATGGTTTTTTAGTGGATCCATTGAAGTGGACATACCTGGAAGATCCTGGAAGATCTTTGGGGAATACTTAGAATATCTTAGAATGAATAGGAACTATACATGAACTACAGATTGAAATCCGTTTAGATCCGATTTCTTTGGGGGTTGAAACAATGACCAAGATAATGGGAATCAGTTCAACATGTATACAACCGTTTATTGATGTTTATTGTACATGTGGGTTTTGCATTGTGATTTGCCCACATCCGCAGCCAGGTTTTTCCATATTTTTCCCAAATTCAAGTGGAATGTCAATTGGAATTTAGCTTTGGGGGATGTCAACCTTATAGTTCCTGATGGGAGAGTTGAACATCACTCAACTTGGAGGTGAAATGGGCCACCTGCTGGGAGAGTTTGATCCTGGATCCGTGTCAAATCTTGCTGCCATAGAGAGTATGGAAAACGTGTATATACTTAATTAATATTAATTAAATAGTTGATTACTTGATCACTACCTAATCTCTGGGCTTCTATTTATTGGCGAAACGATGCGACACGTGATTAAGTGATCATATAAATGAATAATAATGAATATAAATGATATAAAGTTGATTATCTCATAATTCCAGTTACTTGATCCATCATTTCACGATTACCTTAGTTTTTTTTTGACTACCACCATCTTGGCGCAAGCTCGCAGCGTTTCGGTGGCAGGTCTATGCCCCGCGGTGCGCTGGCGAAGCCCAGGCTTGCGAGAGTTTGATCGAAGGAGATGATCTCTGGTTGAAGTATACATATGATTGATATGGTGAATATGATCTCTTGTATACCCAGCCCCTAGGCCTTGAAAAATCTGGTATACTTGCATATACTTGCATATACTTGCATATACTGTATAAATATACGTATGTATGTGACATATTTAGTAAGGAGAAAGATCACTAAAAATTACCAAACATGAAGCATGTTGGTGAATGAACATAATTCGGCCAGAAGGTTCAAACAGTGGGGATACCAATGAGGCGGCATATACTGTAACATACTGTAACCCCTTGATGTTTTGAAGTTTGCAGACCGCCCTGAATGGAATGGATCTTTGGTTGCTGAATGACTTTCTTCTGAAGAGCTGCGCTGGTGTTGGATATTGACAGTCAAAATGTGTGTTGCCCTTATCCTTTAAACGTGCGTAGGTCACACTTGAGTGCAGATGTGCGACTGATATTCTTGACATAGTTCTCCTGATGCCAATGGGGATGTCAAATGATGTTAATATATGTTTCATTAAAAATAAACCTTACTACATTAGATCGAATTGTATCATATTAAGATCAATTTTATAGAATCTATCAATTTAGATCAATTTAGATCATGTATGAATCATATTTCAATTTTCATCAGATTAGTCAGTTACCCACCAGCTTCCGAACGGCAGGCCTCGACGTTTCCACGATGGAAAGGTCCCTTGGTGCTGGCGCCAGGTAGCAGGGCAGAGTCCACCGACATCCAGGCGCCAAAAACAGGGGAAAACCATGGGAAAACCACGGGAAAATATATGAAAATCATATAGAAGGTAGTGAAAAACATGTGAAATCTCACGGAATTCTCAGATTGCCATCCCATTCCCATTCCGCTCCTGGTTTTTGAGCAATCCAATTCATGCCGCACAGTGTCCCAATTGTTGAGACTCGAAAGCCACAAAAAGCAAACGGGCAAGTTTCAATGGTTTCGATGGGATTTCTGAGTGAGATCGTCGAATCGGCATCTAGAAAATTCTAGAACCAGCAGTGGGTGATTGATCTAATTACATAAATTATAGACAGATATATCATGATATATTGATCTATCACCCATATATAGATATATCATAGATTATCTGATTGATCGTCATTACATTCATGACCCATTTATTGAACTCCATGTAGATTCCAGAGCGCACCTGGGAGAAATTTGCACCTGGGATTTGATCAATTTGATCAGGTTCTGAGCGCTGAGAACTGGACCATGCAATATGCCAAAAAATCGGCTGCTCTTGGAGAACTTATCAAAGGTGAGGTGTTTAATATGGTTTAAGCACCAACAAATGGATAAACAAGGATAAACATACAAGAAGCAACAGGGAATGAATTTGGACGGAGAACATACTCCCGGTATTCTTGAAACATTTGAAACCATGCCTTTTGGGAAACCATTTCTGGATGGACGTCTTCATTTTTCGCATATTTTTTTTGCGAATAAATATTGGAAGGTTAGATTACCAGAGGTATCCAGAGGTTGCTGTTTCAAAGGGAGAGATGGGTCCGAGATGTTCAGAACGGTAGTTTTCACTGTGTGGGGATGAATGGGATGGTTGCTCATGCCCAAAGAAGTCAAAGAGTTTCAAAGATCTTCAAAGAGCCTTCATTCCAGAGAAGTTTTTTTCAATGATGTGTGCAGTGACTGTCATTCGGTCTCATTTTGGGAGTTGTCAGCATAAAGACAAAGTCCATCAAGATCCTTATGTTCAACTTTCGAGTATGGAAATTGGTCCGTCGGTTGTTCCTGTATGTTTCTGTTTACAATTGGAATTGTAGACGAATTATAATTATATAGTTAATCTACCCAGCTGACACGTGTCAGCCACGGTCGGCACCTTCTCATACCTTTCCATTCTCAAGCCGTTCTTCGATCCGGTCTCTCTCGAAGGCCGGTGAAAAAATCGGGTCCGCAGGGTCACCTTAAGGGAACGACATCCTGAAGGACATGTAAAAGTCTAAAACGAGATCCACATCGAATATGAGTACCCTCTGGTGAACTAACATAGCTATGGAAAATCACCATTTTTAATGGGTAAATCCACTATAAATGGATATAAATGGTCATTTTCAATAGCTATGTTAAATTACCAGAGGGTATGGAATCTGAGAATGCCTCTTACTGATTCATCAGCTGCACAAAACGCCAGTTTCTTTTCAAGTTTTTGCAGTGAGCTGCTCAATGCAAGTCATATCGGAGTATCAGATGTTGCACATGATTAACTAGACATGGCGTCACAATACGCATCACATGATATATATATACATATCATATATATATATATATATTATATATATATGATATATATATAGTAATTATATGTAATTATCACAATCATATGTTTTGAATCATAATGATCATTACCTGAAATTTGTCAAGAGACCCTGCACCCAAGAAAAACCACAGCAGGTGCCTCTTGGGATGCGCCAGTGCGGTTGCACAGCATTTGGTCGACGCCGCCAACGCCAAAACAACAATGAATGTACCTAGACCCTCCAAATTCCACCCCAAAATGGTAAAAGTACTAACATTATGAGGCAAAACACCTTTTTATGGGTACAAACGGAGGGTCTAGGAAGGTGGAAACTGCCAAACCAAGCCTTACTCCGGCATGATACTTTGCCTTTAAGATATTCTAAGTCATTGATTTGTGTATCTTATTGTATGTCAATGTCAATGTGCCTATGAGATTCTGTGGGTTTGTATCCATCTCGAAGCGTCTCTACCGTTTCTACAATATCATGTCATTGTGGAAGACACAGTTTGAGATGTTGAAACCGCTGGACTTCACCACGGTTTCATGTAGCCATTCAGAACAACTACCTTTTGCTTTAGACCACTACCAAAGAAAGCACGACATTCCACCACCACAGCTTTATCATATCGTATTAATATGTAATAATCATCACATCACATGAGCGCTCACATCATGTTCACAATTATATATATATATATATGCTTAAGATATGCTTTTTTGCTTCATCATCATGAAATCCCTGCCATGCCATATATATCCATGCCCTCAGGTGATGCCCGTGAACAGTTTGAACCTGGAAACATGCTCCACCACCGTGCAGGGCTCCACCTTCGAGGCTCGATCCGACGTGGCTGATCCGACGTCGGGGCCGTTGGGGCTGACGCGGCTGGGACGCGACGGGACCGACGGTGCCAGGTGCCCAAGAGGTATCGGATCGATGAGCCCATGAGCATCTTGGATGGATATCATGGATGGGATAGAAGTGGAATGTAGTGGATAGCAGTGGATAGCAGTGGATAGCAGTGGATAGTAGTTGATGTTGAAGTCGTTTCAAAGATTTGTTCGTGAAATATTGCGAATCAGGATGATCATGGATTCGTTTAGAAACGGAAGAAACATAATGAAACACCAGGTTGTACGTAGATGATTTCTGTAAATGCGCGCCTCTTCCAGGTTTTCGGATTTTGGGCACCGAAGTGATTTGGTTATGGTAGAAAGTCTTCCTGGCACTCACTTGTCCACCATTTGACGTGATGATTGCAGCTGCAATGGAATACTGGAACACACAAAGGTCGTGCAACGTAGTAACGTACAATTGCCAACCATGGGAGTATGGGAGCATGGCAGGATGTGTGGCCTTGAGTTTGCATCTGATGAGCATGGGCTGAGCATGGGCTTAACGAACTGATTCAGTATGCTTCATCAATCCCTCTTTGTAGGGATTTCCCAGCCGGATTCCGTTCAAAATATCCCAGCTGGTTGGGCCCAAACAAGGATGTACTCAATTATATATGACATTGTATGACATTCATTATATACTGAGATTGTATGCGCTTGTATAGACCCGCCAGCAAAGGATTATTCATTGAGCCTGTATAAGCATCACCAGGCATTCATCTCCCAGAAATACCCCCTTCAGCGTTGCTAAATATTGGTTATGTCATTTTCATTATGTGTGTTTTCAATCTCAATCTACTTAACCTAGTATACTCATGTATACTCACTCTCAAAAACATATGTTTGTTTTCAATATATGTAAATCTAGTTTTATCTAGTTGTTTCCAAATGTTTCCAAATGTTTCCAATCCAAAACTACTGGGTACTTGTCAGCTCCAAGATCTAAGGCCATGGGGCCTATGGCATTGTCGTGTCCGCCGAAGATCATGACGCTGGGGCGGAGTTTGGGGTACGATGGACTATCTGGTGGACTATCTGGTGGATAATGGATGGTTAATGGATGGTTAATGGATGGTTAATGGATGGTATATATGGAATATCTGTTCTATAATATCTGGTTGGTGATTTGGAAGATGACTTGGAACATGACTTTCCATCTATTGGGAATGGAATAATCATCCCAATTGACGAACTCCATCATTTTTCAGAGGGGTTGAAACCACCAACCAGCTATGATATGGCTTGTAGCTGTTGAGAAAGTCTATAATAAATGATGATAAATGGATATAAATTAGCGATGATTTCACGGAACATCTGAGAGTAGATGGGAATTTGATGGATTTTGCTGAATTTTGTCGGTACTATGATATTAGGGTATAGTAAGTACTGCAGAATCTGACAGATGGGACATAGAAATGCGTCGATGCCTATGTTCTTATATGAGTGGAGAATGAAGACCCATCAGCACCAGCTATTGATGCAAAGACCAGGGTGTACGGTCCGGGTTATGATCCGTGGTCCAATTTGTTTCTGAGTTTCTTTGACGGTTTTGTTGAGTCTAATTATGTGACTGTTTTGCTGGACAAAATTTCATAGCTGGATGACTAACAAGAGGTCTCTGAACCTGTTTAATTAATGCCACTGAAAAATGCCTCTGCATGTTGGGAGAACAACATGTTATGCTGTGATTGGCTCCTAAAGGGCCAATGAGGAACTCCAAAAGATTTCGAGGTCTACCAGGGTTGGTCCATGACAACTTTGATGGGGAAAATGATCAACCATGATATACCAAACCTATCAATCTGTTGTGGCTTTGCCTGATGCCCATGTCATGCCGCTGTCGGGCTCCCAGCTCCCAACGTGCTCCATCGAATCCTCCCGCGGTGATTGAGCAGCTCGTTGTGGACATGGAGGAAACTGGTGGCTTCAAACACACCATGGTCCTCGGAAATGGGTGCCATAACCTCTAATTTGTAGCCGTTTTTGCAAGGAACATGTCGCCAATGAGATTTGGGGGCACTGTATGTTCACACAAAACTTATCTGTGATGTTTCAACACTATTTGGGACAATGATCCACAATTTGCTATGTTTTTCACATGGTTTGAAACCAGCAGTTTCTGGTCAGGCCGGCAGGCTCCTTTGAAAATTCCATTTCCCCCTCATATGTGGATGAAACTCACTTAGGAGATGAGCATGATAAGTTCATGGGCATTAATTTCTTTGATGGGCATGGACCGGATTTTATGAGACCCCGGCACTCACCAATTCGTAGGTGATTTTTAGTTTCAACACCATCCATTTGTTGATTCCAAATGATGTGATTTGTACCCAGCCGGCTCCGACTCTACTTGGGTATGGGTTTATCATGGCTTGTCTGAACATGGGTCACCCTCAATTGCAATGCATTCTCATTATTTCTCTCATCACAATTTCCACTTGTGGATAACCCCATTTTTTGACAAACCCAAAGCCCTGTTGGAATTCCATTCCCACCACATTTGCTTTCCCGGCAAAGCCGCTGAGGTTTTGGCAAGATGTCGGACGACTTTGCAGTGGTGCGATCCATCATCGAGGATCGCTGCCTAGTCCTATGATAAATCGTCACTTCACCGACATTTTCTGTACTTCTCCATGTCAAGTTGACACGACTCCGCAAGAAATGACCAGCAGATTCATGCAGATTCTAGGTTTCAGGGACGACTTTGCAGCGCGCCAGGACAAATTGCACCAGGAATTCTACAATGTGCCCACCAAGGAGTGGATCTTGCTGGTTGGGATCAATTTTCGGGATTTTGGGGATCTCCGGATGGCCCGGATGGCTAAGGATCATTTGGATTGGCAAATTTGGGGTTTCTCCCTAAACATACCTTAGCCATCCTTAGCCTATAGATGATCCTAGATGATTGATATAGATGATATATAGATGTGGTGACCATTTTATGGGTGCTAGAGCTATAGGTTTGTTTGGACGCGGTGTTTTTTTTTCCAATCCTGGCAGTGGCTTAACTTTGAAACTGGTTGAACTGACAATCATCCCCGGATTGGAAATGTCAAAGTACGGCTGGAGTAGGTACTCTTTTTTTTCAGTGCGTAAAGCTCAATTGGGAAACCTTGTAAAAGGTAACTCTCAACTCTCAACTTGCGGAAAGAAATGGGTTTCCCAACTGCCCAAATCTACCAAATAGATCCAAATATTGAGTAGAAAACACCAGTTTTATCATTTGTCATCCATGTTTCTCCCCAGCGAACCGGGGCCTGGCGCTTCAGGACTTGCCTCCGCGTATGCAGCCAAGGCAGCTGCCCAATCTGCAGGAGCGGTGATTTTTAGAATTCATAAATGGTGGATTTGAAATTTGAAATGTTCATAGATTTTCTAAGCCTTCTGAATGGTGATTTGAGATTTTTAACAAAGCCTCATGGTGATTTGAGATATGATATGAGCTTTTTTGACTGTACAATGTTATGTATCATGATGTATCATGAATGTCAGATGAATGTCAGATGAATGCCCTGATTCCTCAGCGTTTTCTCCCTGGATTTGGGTCCAAAAAACTCTCCCAGGATGCTATGAAGATTGATTGGGACGACTGGAAGAGCTGGGCAACCTGCCGGAGATGGCTAGGGTATGCTCGGGTCAAATCCCCGAAGCAGCAATGGAGGTTTATAGCTGGAAAAATCATCGAACTAATTTCTGCTGGATTCCATTGCCATGTTTGATGAAGCCGAAGGGTATTTTGGTTTGTGAATTATTGTCATTTTGCCCAGATCAGGGGGGTGGGGCCAGGTAGTTGAGCATGGAGTAAACGGGTCAGGTAATTGAGCATAGAGTAAACTCCAAATTTTGCCAGGTGAGTCGGGTTTCTTGTTTAGGATGTTTTGCGACACATTACGACCGTACCAGCAAAATTGGGATATGATTGGCCAGAAACTGATACAGTGGTAGATAGGGACACCACTCCAAAAGTGTTCGTTTCAAGTTTGAGAATGGGGGAGTTTGAACCAAAAAATGGGTGTCTCTCTAAAGGCATGGGTGCAACCTGGGTCTGATTCCAAACATGGCCACGACTTCTGGTTCCTGCGGTTCCCGCGGCCTGAGTTTGGCATCGCAAGCCACTTAGGAGTGGATGCAGCCGGGCTGGAAGGGTGTTTCTTGGTTCAGACTTTGGGAAAGGATGCGATAGTGTCGATGTTTTTTGTGTCTCCACAGAAAGCTTGCTATAGTTACTTAACAGAATGTGTGTATTGCCAATAATGCTCAAGTTTAAAATAGCATTGACTAGAGTCCAAGTATAATACATATATATATATATTAAATATATATATATACACATTATTTACTATATATATATATATGTGTTTGGTCAGATACCCGAACAGCTATTTTAGCAAATGGATGTGCTCCCAGAAGAGGTTACCGCAGGCACCTGGCAAACAGATGCAAACAGAGTCAAGATCAATGTTGCATACTACAAGGCCATGCGTGTGAGTATATAACTATAGGGAGAAACTGGGTAGTAGCCATATGTATCCCGCAATATACTTGGGTGGTCAATTGCATATTAGGATTTGGGCCAAAAGCTATGATTTACCTCTGTGAAAAGGTGTCGGCTCAATTTCGATGTGATCACCCTGGGATTTGATGAAAAAACAGCTGCGATGTTCCGATGTTCATCCCCCCATTGGACTGGCCATATGTTGACACGCAATTTCCGCAGCGACTTGAGCGTGGCTTCGTCCAGAAATGGGGCCCGAATTTATGGCAGTTGAATTGAGACAATCCCACCTGTTGTAACCCCGACTTAAGTGACAGTCTTGCATCCACCAGTATTGAAAAATCCACCCACAGAGTCTTGCATGGTATTACATCCTATAAACTGGTGGATTAATGGGATGTCATGTATATCTTAATGGATTGGTTTAGGGGAAAATTTACAGGAAACCCCCATATTTAATGGTAAAAACCATGGTTTCCTGTAAATTTTCCCTTAAACCAATCCATTGAATATCCCATAAACAATCCCATTACCTATCCCATCCTCCATGGAATTTATCGGGACCCCCTGGCGCATGGGACCGTACAGAGGCCCAGGCCTTGCTTTTGGGAGTAGTTTTTCGGAGTAGTATGGGTTTCTGCCAGTTGGGCCTCAAAAAAGACTACGGTAACATCAGATATCCCCAGGTCTGTATATCCAATAAACTATCCCGCAACATAATGCCGTAACACATGCCATTACATATATCCAATAACATATCCCATCATATCCCCATGGTTTGACGCCACGATCAAGGTGAAAATGCATTCTCAGTGCGTCATCAATGCTGATGGCTCGGCGGAGATTCGAAGTGTTCCTTGGTGAGCGGAGAAGCGATGCTGGGGGCTATGGGAATTTCTATTGGCAATTGGGATTGAACCCAACTCCAATGCGGATACAACAATTATATGGTGATGTATATACATATATATATATGTATATATATATAATGTATATAATTATATATTATATACACACAACCAACATCATGATGATATTGGGGTGTGTCTGAAAATGGGGTAAGTGTAAGCACCTAAATCAACATTTGTTTGGGGTTTAGGGTGATTATCAACCAATGGATTTTGGGCTACCTTGGTGAAGGAGCCAATCACCAATATGAATGGGGATATGAACAACCAGCAATCCAGGAAAATTAAGGGATATCAGCACCTTTTACAACGACAGAAACCATGATGTCACCATAGAGGTGAAAAGGCAAAGCTCCCCAAAATCACCTGATGTATCCTCTGGTAATTTAACATAGCTATTGAAAATGGCCATTGAAATAGTGAGTTCCATTAAAACTGGTGGATCTGTCCATAGTTTTTTGTATGTTTACCAGAGGGTATCCTGATGTCAGATAGGTAGATTACCCTATTTCAATCAGATAGCGATCCAACATGATCCGCCCAGCTTGAGATGTCGCTGGAAGTCAGCGATCCTTCGGCGCCTTAGGAGTGACATGGAGTGACGACGAGGAAATGCTGAGCATGATAAGTCGAAGACACTAAAGAAAAAAAGGGGGTTCCATAAATGGGGGGATCTCCAAACCGGTTGCTTTATGTAGGTTTATTTCATGAAAACTCCTGTAAAAATTGATGATTTCGGGGTAGCCCCATAGGAAATCTCCATATGAAACATGATTTTTCTGTCAGAAACGTGGCTCTCCTCTCAACCCATTGATTTGAGCCCCGGCTTTCAAGGTTTGGAAGTGATCCACGTCGAGCGTCGAGCGTCGCCTGTTACAGATGGCCTTCTGAGAGCATTGATGGTGGTGATTGAGATGTGTTTATTCCTACTGGATGACAATTGACTGATAAGATACGCATTATAGATTATTATAGCATGTTTGTGGCAAACGCTACTGCGTGAAATAGGCGGCAGAGCATATTTCAGTATGACAAATGGCTGATGTCAAACAGCTTTTAATGTTTAACAAAATTGAATACTGTATGTATCCTCACACACCACACCAAGATCGACGCGTTCTCTTCCACAGAGTTACTCAACGACATGAGCTCATATGACACAAAAGGGCGGCGCGGAGCTTGTCTTGCCAGTCTGTGTGTGTGTGTTGACTCAAGGGCCTCTTTCAGAGCTTCCTTCGATCAGGAAGATTTTGGGTGACTTTACGCATTTTGAATGGTCTACAATGGTCTACAGGAGTCTACAGTGTCCATGTATGGTTCTCCCCCACTAAAAACGACGAATTCTGTGGGTTTACACCGTGTTTCACCCAGACCCGTTTGATGCCAGTTTTCAGGTCATGAATCCATTGGCGTTGCATGATTCACATGCATTTATTCTATTGATTAAATTCTACAAATATGATAGAATACAGTATCTATCATAGTATTTATTGATCATAGTATTCATGTATCATGCATCTATATAGATACCTATTCTATCAGATTTATTCATGTATTTATTCTATCATACAGTATCTACTTCTGTAACTAAGTTCTTGGCTTTATTGGCAGTTTACTGGGAATAACTATAGCAGTACTATAGCATTACCCATAGGATCCATGGTGCTGGTATATATGCTAACATAAAGGGGGTATATTGATGGGATCCATGTTACCATATATAGCATACATGGATCCTATGGGTTACTATAGCCCCTGAATCTGGAAATCTGACGACGGGAAAATTTGAGACCAACTCCCCACTGGCGCTTCGGCGGCGCCGCAGCCGAGGAGCTCGAAGACAAGGTCGCGCTGAAAAAGATCGAAGGCGTCTTCGAGCACATTACCATTGCCAAGGCCACGAGCTTGTTGCGTCTACCGAAAAATTCACCAAAAAAGCCATAAAAAGAAAAAAAATACCCTGCTTCATGAATTGAATGTTGGTACTTCTAGCTCATTTATTCGGGATTATATGGGATTACGATAACCCATAGTTTTTGGAAACCTACCTTAACCAACTGAGCCTACGAAACAACTCGATGTGGCACCTCAGGGAGCATCCGAAGCAATCCGACATCAGTTATTCAGTGTAGTCGTGTGCACATTCATGGGTACCCTCTGGTAGTCAAACATGGCTTGCTGAAAGATACCCCATTGACATAGTTCATTGTAGTTCCATGTTTTTCCCTTTAAAATGACCATTTAGTTCGTGGATTTCCCAGCCAGCCATGTTTGGTGACACTCCTATTGTTGTTCAATGTCCATGTACTTCGGTGATGTGCCCGTCAAGACGGTTCAGACCTCATGTGCGGGTTTCTTCAAATAGGAGATCCCCAGTCGTCACCATGGGTTTCCATACTAAGTCATGGTCATCCATGACGACTGGATGATTTGGGGCTCCCTCATGACGTTTCAAACCTCCATGATGTTCCCGGCGTTTCAAACCTCCATTTCCCGGTGATTTTCGACCCAAAATCCTCGCGCCAGCGCACCTTGCGGGAGCTCCGGATCCTTCGGCACTTGCAGCACGAGAACCTCATGCAGGTGGGGGAACAGGGAAAATCTTAACCGGAAGCCATGGTGAATGATGTTTCAACCATCAAAAATAAGAGTGGATTGGTAAACCATGGTGTTTCCTATGGAATATGGGGGGTTCAACCGTAAATGTGTCCTTATATGAATAATTACCATGAAAAAGAACGTTATTCTATGAGATTCTTCACCGGAATTTAAGGACTGAAGCAACAAGCAACAATGTGGTTACTGGGTCCCAGGGGACTGTGTTTTCCATGATTGGACAGATGTGCCCAGTCCGATGTTTTCTGATGCTGTTCAGGAATCAGACTATACCAGACCTTCGAAGTTGCAAGTGCCAAGCATCCAGGAACTATGGTGGCTAGTCGTCCCCAAAATTAAATGGGTCGAAAGCCTAGAGGGTCTTTTGGTAATCCATTTTGGGTTGGCAGGTGAAGAACATCTTCATGGTGGGTTCCAGAGAAAGCTTCAAGGACCATGTCCACCCTGTCAGAACTTGTGGCGCTAATGCTGGGTGTTTATAGAGCAAATTCTGGAGGCTTAAACCCACAACCATGATGTTTGTGTATATCTGTATATATGATGTTATATCTATACATGAGTAACCGACAAAAAAATTATTGTACATGCAGTAATTGATACTAATTTAGTTTTGCTTCGCCTTGGCCTTTCCGAGGTTGCACAAAACCTTCATAGCCGATAGGGGACGACCCTATACCGATACCCCATTTGTGATACCTCCGGGAATACAGAAATCCTCGCAACCGCTAGGGGACGACCCTACTTTGTGCATGTATTTAACATATAATTTTCTCTGATACTCACATATTATATATATTATATATATACACATGTACACATTTGCAACCATTGATTTGCTCTGTGGTTTCTAGTATATTGATTCGTATTTTGTGAATTGTCCATCCTGCTTGGGACGATCCGGACGGTCCGATGTGGCGACCTTTGGTCGAGAAAGAGGGGATGTGTCACCGATGAAAAACCATCGAACATCGGATTTCACCGGCCAACTTGGGATTTGCCAATGAATTTAGTCATGCAATTTAACTAGTTCATCACGTTCTTGGGATTTAAGTATCAAATAATGGGATTTAACATGATTGAACTATCTCAAATTTCAGATTTAATCAGCAAAAAAGATGATCTAACGATTACAATTCCGGATTCGACCAGGAAAAATGTATTTTACCAGCAAAAAACAAACTCGGATTTTGGTGGCTGGGGCCAGCGGGAACTTATCCAATGATTCCCCGGGGGTTTCCATAGCTATTTTGCCTCAAGTGCAGTCCCGAGGTTTCTTTTATTTGGATCATGAAAGTGCTCACTGCGTCATTGTTGCCAAGCCCACTGGGCGGTCATATCTCTGTGAGCATTACAACTTCTTTCAATGGCGAAGATATTTGTAGAGTCGAGCTGCCGGCGGGAACATTGGCCGATCTAGAGAAAGCTCTTTGTGATCCTCATGGACCGATGTTCGGGTCTTATCCTTGGTCACGCCTCCTCTTCTACACAGAAAACGAGCCATCCAGGCCACTGAACCCAAACCTGCAGATGGATGCTTTTCACTCGCTGGTTATCAAACGTGGGGATGTGGAAGCTTTTCTTGACAAGTTCCCACACGTCGGCAAATTTCTGGAAGCCATGGCAAGCAACAAGTTTGATCCCAAATCACGGAATTTTGATATTAGCTGGACCGCAGAAAAAAGACCTGCGGTGAATGCTGAGCACCTTGTCCAGGAGTTCCTTAGTGGATTGCCTGCCCATGCCGATAGTGGACTGCATTTTGTTCAGATTTTTGGGAAGCTGACTGCTTTGGGCGAGGATTGGCGAATGCTCGATTTGGCACTCCTGCAGAGTTTTGACCATGGACTGAAGCGGTTCAAGCACTGTGTTTCCCAACACTGGCTGGAGTTGGCTCGTGTTGCAGCCACCTCGATGATCTCGGAAGCAATCCCCATCATATTCCCCGCCACCCTACTACTCAAGATGAATGACCGTGGCTATGCAGTTGATTGCAGTCTCATTGGTCATGACTTTCCCAGCAACTTCGACCGTTCCTTCATCGATTCCCTCAAGTTAAATGAGCGGCGTCCCAATGTCAAATGGAGAGATGTTGCGCACACATTGCTGACACTGGACTGGAGCCCCGAAGAAGGCATATCATCTTTGCAGGGTCTCCTCAACAAAATTCAGCAGGAGCCTTGTGAGTTCGCATCACTCAAACACCAAGAGGTCTCTCAGATGCTTCACCTTCAGCTGCGTTTGTCCTGCTGCAGAGTGGCCGAAGTCAAAGGGCCTATCAATCAGGCCTGTGTCAAGATGCTTGCAGAGTTGCTTGCCTACAAGCTTAAGATCCTGAAGTTTCAAAGTGTTCTGGACTTGAAGACTCAGATGAGTGGCTTCGAAGCTGATGCAAATCACCGGGGAACCTTGGTTCTTGTGACAGATCTTCCAGCTTCCACAGGTAAAATCTTCGGTTGGCCTCATCGCATGGTCCTTTGCTACAACGCCGAAGGGCAAAATGCAGCCGCTCTAGAGCGATCCAACAGTGCAAAGGCTGACTAGTCCATGCAACCAGCACACCATCGCCAAGGAAAGCAAGAAAAATGGGAATCAGGGGAAGTTCCCAGGCCAGCTTGGAATTTTGCAGAAGATATGTGCTCGATGGCATTTGCTATCTTTATACCACTGTTGGATGAACACTGCACATATGAGGCAATCATTGCTGAGCCTATTAGATGTACATGAATTCCGTGCTTCCGTGCAGGTTTTCAGGGATCGTGTGATTGATGTTGTGTGTTCCATACAGTTTACAGGTGTTCATATTTCTATTTGTCTATGTTGGGGTCAGTATATATATATATACATACATACATCTATAATAATCTAATGTACATCTTATATACAGGTGGACTCGGTGAATGTCACATATGGTCACGTAGGATTGTGGACTGTGTTTGATTGCCACCAGCCAGGAGCTTTATGTGGTGTCCGAGCTGATGGAAACCGATTTAGCATCCACTCTCAGGCCAGCGGCCAGCTACTGAACTCCTGCCATCAGCCAGCAGACAATCTGAATGAGCCATTAAAAAAATGGATACTGCGGTTGTGGGACACGCAAGTGATTGAGGAAACAGCAACGATTACGTGTGTGGTTTTGTTCATATCCTGTGAGAATTGGAGCTATACTGAAATTTTGATCATGGTCACTGCGCATGGACCCACCTTGCAGTGTTGCCGCCGGAAAAATCTGCATGCGTGGCAATGCGTGGTTATTATATAATATTATATAGGTCATCGCAAATGCTCACCGACGACCATTGCCAGCCAAGAGCTTAGTCCAGAATGCTCTTTGACATGAGATGTTGAACCATGTTGAACCTACAGATCTGGATGAATTTGATCATGACCTCACGTCATGACCTGGAATGATGCGAATTGTAAGGGGAATCATTCCCAAATGACCGTATGATAACAGCTATCTTCAGGTTAGTGAACTAGTGTACATAATTCAGCCAGATAGATGAAATATATCTGCGCCACGCCCAAAATGCTTGTTGGTTGCTTGGCAAACGCGGGTGTTGGGTCGTTTCATCGCAACAGCGGCCCGTGTGTCAAGTGGCAACCTGCAGCAGTTTCTGTGAGCTGAGGTTCTTTTTATACCAGATCTTGCGTGGCATGAAGTATGTCCATTCAGCTCAGGCTGGCTGATTTGCAAAAGTGGGGATATTTGATTGTGAAGAGCGGTTATTGAGCCAACTCAAATGATGTGTTTCCCCTCAGCATTCCAAAAGTTGGAGCCCTGGTTTGCAAAAGTAAGATCATTTCTGGGACATTCGGGGACCCATTTCCAAAAACAATCGCGTTCCGGTGTGTCCCGGTCAGTTTGCAGTTTGTGATTGCCATGGCAGGTGATTCACAGGGACCTGAAACCCAGGAACCTGCTGGTGAATAGCAACTGCGACTTGAAGGCTGCCCTGAAGTGTGTGGGTAACCTTGGATGGATACTTAGTGATAGTTAGCTTAATACCTTAACCTTTTGTCATAAATGGGGACAAATACACTAACCTGCTAAAACACTACGTCTTGAAGGGTATCTAAGAGACTGGCCATGATGTGAGAAAATCAGTTGGTTGTTCAGCAGACAAGCCTGTTGCGATTATGCTTCTCGGAGATCTCGAAGGCCATGCATTGGGTCTATGTCCATATTCAGGACCACATGCCTGGATGATCCTGGATGTGCTGAAGATACCTTTTATTTCTCCATATGGGTACCCAATATGTCAATATGTGCAATCTACCCTTTAAGGATCCCTTTTAAGTGAATCTTCTGCATGGGATCAAGACCCGTGCTTTTTGGGGGTATATGGCTGTTGCCTAAGGCGCAAATCCGTGGAACTTAAGAACGTCAGCCGTCAATCCACAAAAGCCCCAGCCGTCAGATCTGTGACTTTGGCTTGGCGCGGGTACGATTCTCCGACAAGGAGTGGGTTTGCCCCATGACCGAGTGCCCCCGTCCACGACGGGTGCGCAGTGGGGGATATGCTCAGATGATCTCAGATGGTAATCTGCAGAAGGGGAAAACTATATAAAATTATGATATATGATGATAAACTATCAAAATGATGGTCCCTTTTTTCAGACAAGCGCATTTCTGTTTGGTGGGCATGAACGATTCAAGGAGGACAGAACATTCAATGAAGTAATATTTGGAGATAAAGACAAGATCTGCAGCACGAGGAATCGGTTTGTCCTGAAATGGAGTAGCCCAAAGATTCAATGGGGTATCATTTCAATTATTTCTCAATCAAAATGGCAAGTTTTATGCGGAAATTCCCAGATTGAACAAGCCTATGATCTGATTTGCTTGAGCATTATTAATCTAAAATCTGTGGTTTTATACCTCCGTATGGTGAAACATCATGAAAAAATCCCTACCCAAATCTTTAAGCGCCCTTTCCGAAACGAGGTACGTTTGCACTCGATGGTATCGAGCGCCTGAGGTCTCCATGTTTTGCTGAAAAAATCTGGACATCAAACATATTATTGGTGACTACCCTCTGGTGAACTAACATAGCAATGGAAAATGGCCATTTATAGTGGATTTTCCCATTAAAAATGGTGATTTTCCATTGCTATGTTAGTTCACCAGAGGGTAATTGTGACTAATTGGTGTATTATAATTAGCAATTATTATATGAGTATCCAATATTATTGATATAGAATATTATGGTGAATATCCCATATTATAATATTCTAATTGATATCAATTACTTGGATCTATTATAATATATATTATAATGGGATATTCACCATCAATGATGGACCATTTTTGATGGGGAATACTTAAGTATTCCGGTCTTCAGATATGGCTGGACCATCATTTAAAGATGGAGGATGATGGCGCGACAGTTATCGATGAGGGATTGTCCATTGAGAATGGTGCTAGTTCCACGACCAGGCGCCTGGTTTCCGGAGGGGAACACCCCCTTCTCCCCAGATATCTCTGGTGCCCCAGATATCATGTCTGATGAGCGGAGTCGGAGGTCCCCATTTTTCTGTGTCAGGAGACTGCTGTGTTTGACTTGGAGTCCTGGTAAATCATGGCAGATCCTCTGATTCTGTTTTTATGGACACTGACTGTTGAATTCATCGGTTCGAGACATTTCAGGTTCTGATCTCATGGGAGCTTTTTTTCAAATGCTAGCACATGGGGACTAGCCGATATGTTCCACATTCATTGGAGCATTTCCCATTGGCGACCGACGCTCCTTCAACTTTCGCAGGTGTTGTGCTCCTGGACGGATTACTCTTGCAACTTGCTGCAACTGTTGTTGGGATCATTCAGATGATCCAAACATATCTGGTGGTTTCAGATATGTTTCGATGTTTTTCAATGTTCAACAGTTGTTTAAGTGAGGATCCCCCAGACTGATCCTTGGGTTGAAACCAGCCATGACAGCTGTGTATGAGATGGTGATGTAAATACTTGGACTGAAACATGTAGTATTTTGGAGGGGGCAGGAAGAATCAATTTTCAACAGACTTTTGCAAGGAAGGTTTGATGTGATTGTGCCTGGTATGTTCTGGTGTGAACGTTGGACATGTGTCGAGGGGTTGTGCTAGTGGAGATCCCTGGCAAGGACCATATCAGAGACCACCAAAAGGAAAGTTTATTTTCCGGAAACGATCTGCCGGGTTAAAAGTGCCCAGATAAATATTTAAAGTTATCGAAGTCTTCAACCCGTACTGTCGTTGAATTAAAGGTGTTTTTTTCTGATTTTGCCCGAACAAAGGATGTGACGTCTCATTGTCTCATGTGCTACCTTTAATTTTTTGTAGGTCAACCAGTGTGGTTTTGACCGCTTGATTTTGTGCATTTACACCTGATGTGTCGGTTGAACCAACCATCTTTCAGTCAAGGTCCAGGTCCAGGCATGAAGTGATGCGTACTCACTGGTACTGTATAGAACCATGGCTGGATCTGGATCCCAGACATGACATAATATATATATGTCACAAGTTTATTCATATATTTCTACAATTTTCTACATGAGTTCGTCTGGAAATGGGGTGAAACGATGGCAAACCATCAAACCAGAGGTACCCCAGTTTCAGGCGAAACTAGAGACTATCGATGCCTATTACATAGAACATACTTACCCTTAATTGTCTATAGGTTGTTAGGCACTTGCGATTCCTGCATCTCACACATCTAAGTAGTGCCGACCGTGGCAGCTGACTAAGGCGCAATTGATAGTTGGTGCGGATCCTAATTGCTGAGTAGACACGGGTGCTGATGTGAATGGCATGTTTTCATGGGTTGATGTTTTCTTAGTCCTAAGAAAAAGTGGGAAACATCTGGAAAAAATGATGAAAGATGTGAACACCTATTGAACTATTCCTAGCCCCGAAAAAACTGTGTTTTGGAGGTGACCCAAATGGCATGCCCTTGCCTCATGTGGATTCCAGGTCCATTGGCTGTATCTTAGCAGAGATGCAGACACGCAAGCCCCTTTTTCCAGGGTCAGCTGGGATGATCGACTGGGGGCTGCTGGGATGGTACAGCCAAGGTTTTTCATGTGCATGGAGCAGCCAAACAGCAATCATTCCCACGTATTTTCTTATCTTTGTACCATGATGAATGATGCTTGAAAAGTTCAGATGCCTGTTTCAACATCAATCATCCTGTGAAATGGCATTCAATTTGCAGACCTTCTCGATCTTTGGCTTTTGATCCACAAAGATCTATGATCTATAGTCCCGTGGTCCAGACTTGAGTCCTCAATAAGGTCAGTATGCCCAAGTGGATTCTCAGGATTCTCCCATTTACATTGATTACATTGGGCTTCATGGTCGTTATGAACCAGAAACCAGGCGCGGGATGAGTCCAGCCAGCCCCGAACATCCGCCAGGCGCAGTACCCAGAATCAGCTGGATATGATCATCGATCTCTTGGGATCGCCGGACTCGAAGGACGACCACCGGATTTTTGTTGGTTAATGGATGGTTAATGGATGGTATAGATGTTCTATAATATCTGGTTGGTGGATTGGAACATGAATTTTATGACTTTCCATATATTGGGAATAATAATCCCAACTGACTTGCATATTTTTCAGAGGGGTTCAAACCACCAACCAGATACTAAATATATACCCCAAAGTGGCAATTCTAATCGGAACATGAGGCTAATCCATGGTATTTTTGGGTACTATGTCTTTAACGAACACCTAATTAGTGCATGGAATCTCAGTGGGTAATAACATGTCAGAACCATACTATAACATGTCATGACCATACTATAATATATGTTATTTTAATTATATATATAGAATTATATATGTATATACCCCAGAAATAGATGGGTGATTGGCCACTGAACAATTGGGATGCACCCCCAAGTAACGACCAAGAGACACGGGATCCAACACGCAGTCTAAGCAACAATAGTGGGGACTGATTGGCTTTGGGAACTATACAAGATATTTTTTGAGGTTTGTAAATTGACACACAGTACCCGCAACTCGGGGGTTGCCGACGGGATTGGTGTTAGATACCCATTGCACTTCCAAGGCCCATCATTTAACAGCTCACTCCCAGTGAGCTTCATCCATTTTCCGGACATCATAGGTAGCCATGGAGGCTTTGGTTGATGGAGTGCGGCCAGGCATACCTGGGTCCAAGTAGAATGGTACAGGAATCCAACTAAACAGCTGGAAGAAAAGCCATTAACTGTGATGGAACTCACTATAGGGCCTATAGGGACTAGCACCATGGATATTTGTGGTATCTTGATCGAACATGATGGAAGAGGCACGGAACTGCCAAGAATCTGCGCAGGAGCTGATGAAAATTCCCAACGAGAAATGCCGGAAGTTTATCAAGTTGGGAAGCTCGACATGGCCCGAAAAAGCTGTTTCGAGATTTGACCATGAAGTTGGGGTTCGAGTGGTATCTCTGGCAAGGCATGGATACATGCGCACCCCATCATATCCCATGATCTCACTCTTGTTGTCGACCCAACCAGGGAAGTGAACCCAAACAAACAGCTGGGTTTGTGGTGTCCATGTGTTTTAATGACTTTTGTGTTGACAGAGTTGAGGCAAGCCAGTTGAGTATTAATTGAACTCGTTAATTTTTAATTTTGATATAATATTACGTATATATATATGTACATCAACTATTGAGAATTAACATATGTCAACCATCTATTCAATCGTTGATCTTCTTTCGGCGTTTGCAGCTTACGCCCTCGAAAAACAGGTCGTTGCCGGTGTATTCATCCAAGAGCTTTCCAGAGGTGCCGGTGACGTCCTGGCGAGAACGGGGGTACCGATTTAGGTCATGGGCCTTTCATGTTGTTGTTGCTGAATGAACTCCATCATTCAAAACATGGATGTGAATATGATGTGAATATGATGTGAATATGATGTGAATATGATGTGAATATGATGTGAATATGATGTGAATATGATGTGAATATGATGTGAATATGATATAATATATGATACATGGATTATCATGGATTCTAAGAAAAAATACCATTTTGGTATATGATATGGTATAGTAGATATTACATGATATTACATGATATGATCATATTTATCACCAATATTTCTGACTGCTGGGTGTTCCAGTTTCACGCTGGATTACATGATGCTGGAGCCCGCGAAACGAGGTCTTTCACATGATGCCTGAACCTGCGCAGGCAGTGGAGATGTTTTTTTTTTTACTGTGTAAACAGTGGAAAGGTAGATGTTGCTGGCAACCGCAACTTGCAACTTCGAGATGTTATATCATATGTATATATATATACACATACATATACATGTAAATATATATATATATACATATATATATATATACATTATCTATATATTACATGTGTATAATATATATATATATAGTATCGATCCATCTATCCATCCATTCATCCATTTAGCCATCTATCACATCGATTTATAATAGTTTATAATATAAACCCATATAAAGCCATAGATCATGGATCATGAATCTATATGATAGATGGTTAAATGATTTGTAATTACCTATAATTATAGTATGTTTAAACTTATCGCTAAAAACTAAGGATCTAAATATACTAAAATATCAACATCATTATATAATCGTATATCTCTATCAACATATATGATATCATATTCAAAGATGGTTATAGATGGTTTTTTAGATCACTATAGATGGTTATAGATTATAGATATACCTATAATAGATCCATAGATCTATATCATAGATGATTATAGATCCATAATAGTATATCTATATGGTTATACCATGGATGTCTCCATAATATCACGATCCTATGATATACTATGTTTGTATACCAACTAGATCCATCAACTATCCATATACTATATTTATAGATGGGTTTTCACAACTAGATCTATAGATATATAGTATATACCATCCATATCTATACTATCTATAAGGATATATATATATATATCCATAATATATATATATCTCCATAATATATATATATATATCCATAATATATATATATATATATCCATAATATATATATATATATATATATCAGTAGTAGTATATCCATATATCTATTTTATCTCTTACTATCATATATATAGATCCATCAACTAGATCCATCAACTATACCAACCATCTATGACATACTATCACGCTATCAATAATATACCATTTGGTTATTTAACATAGCCATGGAAAGATCCACCATTTTTAATAGGTAAACCATCTATTTCTATGGGCCATCTATACCATGGCTATGTTAAATAACCAGAGGGTACTATAGATCTATGATATCCCATCCATCAGGACATCCTCCGGAAGTTGGTACGTTGGGATCCGGAGAGCCGCCTGAGCGTGGAGGAGGTCGGATCTTCACCATGAAAAATGGTGGAAAACATGGGGAATTCACCATCCAAAATGGTGGAAAAATGGAGGACTTGACGGATTTAACTTGTTTTTAACCATGGAAAATCATGGGAAATAGGGATTTCACCGGTGAATGGTTAACCCTTTGCAACCCAGTAGCAGTACAGCTTCCAGGGTTTAACAGTTTAACGGTTTCAGGCTTCTATTCCAGTTTTGAGGTGGCTTGCATCCGTAATGAGTCCCAGACCCAGAGATTGAAATCCAACTAGAGCTGGTGTTGGCAATAAATCTACACAACTTGGATTTGAGCTAGATTTTGAGACTGTAAGCACTGAGAAATTGGATTTGAATTACTCAAGACTTGGGGATTGGAATTGGAATATTGTCAGTGCAGGATCAGGTCTTAAACAACAAAGATAGATTAAATCTTAAGCCTATTCTGCAATTCAAATGGTTGAGGTGGAAGCAGAACCACCCGGATTTGGAGATATGGCCCATTAAAATTAGTAGCTGATAGTCATATTGGATATTGCGTTCGGAATTTTGACCAAGCAAAAAGGGATTAGAACATGTTAGGATCAGCAGTGAAACTGAAGACATATTCCAACATCATCCAACATCGATATTCGCAGCTAGTATGGGTGTTTTAGACCCACAGAATCACACATTTGGTCGCCCAACCGTCCACTCTTGTTGGCGTTCAACTTTGACCCATAAGCAAATGTCCAACGCAAGTCTAAATTTAAACATACATGAACCATCATGAACTGAAGAAAATATCATGGGGGTTCATGGGGATCTGAGACAAAGACCAGTCACCCGGGCCGATCCGGAGCAGAAGTAGACTTGGCCCGATGGCAAAAAGATAGAGCAACACACCCAGGTATGACATAATTGTGGATCAACATTTCTATATATATGTATATATATATACATGTATATATATATATATTACATATAACTCAAAGATGACAAAACTGCCTGTCAATAGACATGGAGATACATGGAGTATGTGTATGTATTTGGAAAACTACTCTTAAACAAAAGTCCTCAAGGATTGAGATGAAGCCCGCCTGGATGGGGAAACTCCGGAGTTCAGCTCCCAATTTTTCTGTCCCAAGCAATGACCGGGCAGGCCATCATGCATCCCTACCTCGACAAACTGCACTGCCCGGAGGCGACAAATTCTGTGACAGTTGTGGTTTATGTTGGCATGTTGGCATGTTAGCATGTTGGTGGTGATGATGATGATGATGATGATAATGATGATGATGATGTGTGCCTTTCAGACAATGATGGCATTGATGGCAATGATGCACCACAACTCTCAAAGGACGAGCCGACCAGAGATCCATTGGATACCACTGACTTTGAGCAACTTGCAATGAACGTTAGTTTTTTTTTCCCACGAAAAGGAACTACGGGTTTCACCTACGAAATTTACCGGCCATGCTGGATCTTTATGAGGGTTGATTATGGTGTAATATGGTGTAATTATATAATGGGGTTCTAGTGGGTTGATATCCAAGATGGACTGGAATACTACTTATAATTTATAATGGTTAACTTACAATGGATTGGGTCAAGCCTGGTTTGGGTGGATGAGCACCGATAACTACATGTGACAAATGCAATCCAGGGGATTCCATGGGTTTGGCTTCGCCGTTCACCGGAGTCATGAAAAATGTTGGAGAGACATTCCACTGCAGACCCTCAATATGTCCTCCATCTCCAATAGATTTTCCAGTCATTAGATTTGTTTGGGTAGTAATAGATCTGAAATCCTAGTTTTTGGTTTTTGTTGTTCGTGTTTTTGGTTCAATCCTTCATAATTAGCATGACGGTCACAGCGGCCAAGATCTGCCAAGGTTCGAACGGCGGAAGATCACCTTACCCGCCCTCAGAGAGGAACGCCCATGGCCACCATATGAGCAGTGTCAAGATATAAAAAAAAATCAGCGGGACCACGGATCTTGGTGAGTTTTAGTATTACAGTCACATACAGTAACATACCACAATCTTTAGGTTACAACATTTTTGTTGCCTCACATATTAGTGATGTTTTGGGCTGTTGACCTGAGAAAGCTTGACTTGTTGCTGGTAGAGGCGATTATCCAAGTCAATCCCTTCGTGATTATTAATCCCTTCCCCCAAATACTGAACGGTCCCCCCCAAATAAATTTAGTATCAGGGTGCGAAGTTTCTCCCTAATACTAAATTACAAACCCTAATATAAAGAATGTTTTTTTTTCTATTTCAAAATCGATTAGATCTCCTTTTACGATCTAATTATATCTAATTAAAATATTGCCAATAATTGGATTTCGAAGCTTGCCCCTAATACTAAGTTTAAAACCCTAATATAAAAAAAAAATAAAAAAATGCTATTTCAAAATCGGTTAGATTTGCTTTTAAAATCTAATTACAATATTGCCAAAAAATGGATTTCGAAGCTTTCCCCTATAATATTAAAGTAAACAACTTAATATAACATATTCTTTTTTTCGCCCTTAAAAGACGGACCCTAATAAAAAACACCCCGGGGTTGACTAGTTTCTATTATTAGGGGGTGAAACCCTGAAACCTTCATTTTTAATTTGTTTTCGAAAGGAGATCAATTAAAAATCAAAGCCTGGCCTGAAATTTCCCCAAATTTCACGCGGACCCGAGTTTTTCGTATTTGGGGTACGTTTAGTAAAAGGGGCTGGGGATTGATGGATTTTTCTGTGGGGGGGAGCAATGGATCCCATGGATTCCAGGTGACACCAGGTGCTGCAAAGCTCCTGGATTCCCCTTGGCAACTTCGCCAACGATATTCGTTGAAGATCTTCGGAACCGTAATATTATATAATGGATAATTATAATATTCATTATTTCAATTATAATATTATTCAATATTCTTTAAATATTATAATTGAAATAATGAATTGGCATCCATTTATAGAAAAAATATATGTTGATATCCATTTATAGAACATTTGATCCAGTTCCTGGAACGCAGTGGCCGCCGGCCGCATCTGTCCCAGGAGATCTTCAGAGAGGCGTTAGAGCATCATCCCGACATCAAAGAACAGTACGAGCAGGCCGTAAAACATGGCGGTGACATGTGAACCGCGGTAAAACCCGGGATAAACCTACGGTAAACCCAATAGACCATCGCGATAACCACAAGGGACCATGTTACAATTGTTAAATGCCATGAATCTATGGAAATACCTATATTAAATCCGAATGCCATGTACCTCGATTGGGGATGCTGGACGCCTCTTGGGAATGGATGTTGGGTGAAGTTGGATGGTGCTGGGGGTACCAGATATTTCTTGATCGACTTGCCATAGAACTTTTCGTCTCTGTGTTCCATCTTGTCACAAATCCACAGGTTATATGGCTTGAAATCATTCACCGTCAAAATTGGTCACACTAAGATACTGTTATCTATTCCAAGTCAAGAGTCTTATAGCACTTAAGTTGTATGGTTTCCAGTCCCAAGATTGGGGTTCCAGTTCCAGTTGGAAGTGGACATATTTCACCATAGTTGTAGGCCCCCCATCTCCCAACAACAATGGAGATTGCAATTTTACAATACCATGGTTCCCATAAAATCAGCCCAACTACTTTGAAGTATATCCACATTGCACATATTCCAAGTCAAAATGTCCTCATTGATAGATGGTTGTCCTATTTTGGGGGATATTTAAATGCAATTTATCAGCCCCTATTGTACATATAATATATGTATTAATATAAAGGATGTTGATGGTTGATAGCGTATCCCCACTTTTACCCTCCTGTAAACGGTTCCATCGATCTGCGGAAAACCCCGCAGCGTGTAGAACCTTTTCGGAACGGGAAACCGTTCACCATAGGTGTTCCACCCCAGTCAGCGTCAATGCCAGGAGCTCAAGGCTGGGAGAGAAAAGCAGCACGACATCACTCAGTGCCCGAGCAGCAGAGCCAGGGATCACCACACGACTCATACCCTCTGGTAAACTAACGTAACTATGGAAAGATCCACCATTTGTAGTGAATTTTCCCATTAAAAATTGTGATTTTCAATAGCAAACTGTTGGTTTACCAGAGGGTAACTGGTTTGTAACTGGGATTAGTTCACCTACCTCATGGGATGATCCTCCAAAAAGGCGAGGGTGTTTGGTAACATGGGGAACAACATACCAGAAATGGTCATGACTGGGTGTGACTGGGAAAAAGAGTACGAACAGGATGGTGAAGCATGGAATTTGTTGGTAAACTCAATCTTTCAGAAAAACTTAAATACGACTTCCTTTTTTGATGCCGCTTGGTGTTTTATTTGCTCAGAGTTTGTAATGATTCTTGTTGACTTCAGATTGCTTGGTCGTAATATCATTCTTTTTTTGACAGGACCCATCAATGCACTATGTGGCTTTTACAGATGCGATGAATATCTGTAGATATCCACAGATCCACACATCACCATACATCCATACATGTGTTTGTCTGAAAATAGGCTACTGTACCCCAAAATTCCACTCATAGTTTTCCATATTAAATGGTTCTGTTACTAAATTGGTTAAATTTTGCTGGGATACACCATTTTCGCCATACCCAAAGCAGAAATCCATAGAAATCCATAGATATCCATAGATATCAAAGATACCCATAAATATCCATAGATATCCGTAGATATCCATATCCAGTCAGTGACTCCCCAGTTTTTGGCCATGTCCAGGTACCGGCTCTTGGTGCCCGGGGAGTCTCAGTGCGCAATCGGGATCAACTGCTGGTGGTTCCATGTGCTACCCTAAATCATTAAAGTCAATAGACCGTTTTAGTATTGAAACCCGTGGCGACCTGGGGATCCATTTTAAGAAACCACCAAATGGTGATTATGGGGTTCATCAAAAAAAAACATCCATGATCATGGTTTCCATTGTTATCATGGGAAGTTATGGATTATGAAAACCCATGATGATCCTCAATCTATGGGGTAGTTGAACTCACTGGAATGATGGGAATTGGATTGGGGGAACTATCCCAAAATGACCCAAGATTTCAGGGTAGTGACATATTACAAATCGTTATAACATGTTATATGAATAACTATATATAGAGATACTATAGTAAATCATTATAAATCAGTATAATTTATCCAACATATCAAACGTGGCAATGGGAAATCCATTAGTAGTATAATGTTCCCCTTTATTTTTCAGGATTCTACTTGGGTCAGGTTTTTGGTGTTGATCTGCTCGCTGGATGGCCTATGGATCTATTATTGAATCGCCTATGGGTGGGAAGCGAAATTTCATGGCAAGTGGAATAGTATGTTCAGATCAAACAAGGGATTGGAGTTAACATGGGGAATTCGCCCATGTTCAACAGGATTTTTCTATTTCAGTTGGTTCAACTAGAGTGTTTGGATGTGGCCAGATAGCAACTGGTTCACAATCATGCTTGTCAGCAGTGATCATAGCAATCTCCCCAAGATTAATATATTAATATTTGTATAATAGGTATAATATGATTCACTTACTGGGATGCACATCCAAGTATCCACACACTGCATGCATCCTCACTCAGCGGTGCCACGATCGTACCAATCAGGTACTCCTCTGATGAAGAGTCCGGCGAAGATGTTTGATGTCGACGCCAGTGATGCCACACCCCTAAGGGTGCCCAGATGTGTGAGTCGACTGTGAAATGAGGATTATCAAGCAGCAAAAACCCATCAAACATGGGGCAGAAGCAACAGTTTTGTGAATTATGTTACCAACCAAGAATGGGGCTTGTGGCCAAAAGTGGCCAAATGTTGGATATATATATATACTTATATACAGTATATATATATACATATGGATCGTTATGGATCAGTTTTTTTTGTCATGCGCAGATGGTCTGGTCACTGGAGAAGCACCATATTTTGGGATATTTTGGGTCCCGACTGACTGGAACTCGTGGCTGCAAAAGCTGTTGATGCGGGCCATTTATAGTGAGTTTACTTGTTAGGCATGATGATTTTAGTAGCAAAGCGTTAAATTACCAGAGGGATGCCATTATTCGGTGATTCTATGTTCAAACTTAGTATGGCTAAAACAGATCTAGCTATATAAAAGATCTGAGTGAAATCACACATTTGATACCTCACGTTCAGCCCTGCTCGCGCATTTTTTATCGCCTGCAGTGGCGAGCTGAGCCCCGGCGTGGGAGGATGTGAAAGTGCTATCCAATGGAAGATTGGGCTGTGCCTGTGATCTCTTGCGGGTTTAGACTGGAAACAACTTCTGGTGATGTGTCTCATAGTGTTTTTTTCAAAACAGCTGTGAAATTGTTTTTTTTTCAACTGCCAAAGTTGAAATCCCTTCTCCCAAGTTGCTTCGGGGCGTGGCATGCGTAGCTTGGCCAGAAAAACGGTTTCACCCGCCGTGGCGACAGATGTGGAGCCTGGCCCTTGGGACCGCAGATTGAATGGTCGTTTCAATAACTAGATAAATAGTTGACAATTGTACACATACATATAATTATTATGATACATTATATATATAATATTCAGTAGTACGGATCATCTCATTTTGGGTGACCCAATAGGTGATAGCGTGGTACTTGTCAGCTCAGGACAGTGGATCATACTGTCGCAAGAATCCACTGTCCATGATCACGAAGGGATGGTGAAGGTAGAATATCTATATATGTCAGTGCTTTAATTATAGATATATTTTCTAGAAATCACTATATATAGTGACATATATAGTGACATATCTATATATCTAGAAATATATTTTTTCTATAAATACTATAGATGCTGTATTTCAGTGCCACCTTTCGCGGCCACGACCAGCGTAGTAGCCACGAGCTCGCAATGTGTCAAAAAGTCGCTAAGCAGTCCACTGTTTTTGGTCTTGAGATGGGCCCGGATTCCTATGAAACACTGGGAGTTTAATGTATGTTAATGGGATTACCCTCTGGTAATTTAACATAGCTATTGAAAATGGCCATTTATAGTTGATTTACCCACTAAAGATGGTGATTTTCCATAGTTATGTTAGTTTACCAGAGGGTATATTGGGATAAACCATCTACATCCACCATTCATTGTGCATATTTTTGCAACCATCCATGAAAAGCTTTTTGAGGTAAGATACTTGCAGGTCGCTGACAGGCAATCACTCCCAACTATGCTAGATGTCTTTTCTGGAGGCTACGATGTCCGGAAATTGGCATTTAGGGACTAAAGGGGGGTGCAGTGAATCACGTCGCATACAATCAGGAGATTGGTAGTGTGGTAGTGGAGTCCTTTTATGACTGTCCGAAGCTGTTTTTTACTCTACCAAGACACAGTTGAGCTCGACCAGCAATTGAAAATATGTTTTTCTACAATTGTGATGCATTCCCATGAAAGCCATGAAAACAAACGAAGACAAAAGAGATAGGACCTGCATACCTCGCTGGAAACAAGCTGATTGGGAGGTGAGTCAATCCCCTTGTACCGTTGGTATATGTTGGTATCATTGGTTATTTCTAAGCCCGAGTGATATCCCCAAATCACCAGCAAAAACGCCCATATTTTCCACATGGTTTCTGCATTTCCAATCTTCCTGAGCTGATGCCTCATGGCGTATGGAGCCAGAGGCCCGCTGAAGAGCTGTATCAAAAGGGGTCAATAGACATGAGATATCATTATCGATCATTATCGGATAGTGGTATCACCTCTTCTCATTTTATTAATAGCTCTCAACGCTTTCCCAAGGCTCTGGTAATAAGCCCAGCAGCACCGGCTCCGCCTCTGGTAATTGAACCCTGGGAAATTGACCATGGCCCATTTAGTTCGTTGAGTTACCTGTTATAAGTGATGTTCCATAGCTTTTGGTATGTTTACCAGAGGCTATTTTAATGATTTTGAATATATATATATACACTGTATATATATATATATATTATAGCTATGGAAAATGGATGAACATGGTTCAGTTATGGATGATTTACCTATATTTTTCTATTAAAAAAATGGTGATTTCCCCATCTTTTCTTTTTGGGTCCCCGGTTCACTTGGCCCTTGTCCTAGGTGAGCGGCCAAGATACCCAAGGGGAGCTAGGGGAGGCGCTCTGGGATGCTTCATCTGGGATTTCATGGCACTTTATATATATATATTATATATATATATTATAATGGGGATTTAAATATCAACTTTTCATGGGATGGCAAAATGTGATTTAATGGGATTTCTGACTTCACGATCCAAAAATGAAGCTGGTTTTCACAGGTTAGCCAACAGGAAAATTGGTCAAAAAACAATCCAACATTGGTGGGTTTTCATGATGGAAAACCAGCAAAAAACTTTGGGATTTAACTGGATTGAACTATGATTTTTTTCGTCAGATGATTCCGGATTTATTGATACCGTTGATGATGCGTCTAAGTATGTATGGTAATATCATAATATCTGATGATATTATTCTAGTTATTTTATTGATAATCTTGATATAGAACATATCTAATCTATCATTGATATTAGTAATCATTTTCATGTGTCTGGAGATGGGTCAAAATTGAAGACCCCGGAGAGCATGGATGTTGGTGTTTTTTGTTTTTTGTTTTAATTTTATGCTAACCCTAATTTCGGGGTATCCCAATCCCAATTTTGACTTATACCCGGGAGAGGATATGGATATGATTAAGTTTTTGTTGAATATGTTGAATGTTTTTGTTGTTTGACGGTCCGGTCCTGGCGGTATGACTGGAATGTCTTTATAACGGGTTTTATAGGTGATGAAATTGACGACCATTTTCAGGCAGAATGGGATGTCTTGTTCTGGTGGCTAACATCATCCACTGCTGCTATGAAATGTTAACCCAGCTGCTCGCTGTCAGGTAGCCACTTGTGACCATGACCCAAGATTGTCGTAGTCCAGTCATGTCCAGTCCACAAATGGATACAGATGATTACAGATGGAAATAGTTCATTGCCAGGTTGGAAAAATCTATTTGTTGGAAGACCTATTTGTATCCATCTATTTGTTGGAAATTTGTCTATCTCCCATTGTGTCTTGTCAGGTAAAGCCTTTGACGACTGAACAGAGTGCTCAACGGTCCGGGGGCTTTGTATGTCATTTCCGCGATATACTGATGTGCAGAAATCTTTCGAATCGAATGTGTCTACAGCACATGATGGTGGAGACGTATGATGGACGTACAATTGCCACATGAAAACACAACAAATACGTTACATATCACCACATCCCCACCATGTACAGATGATTTTCCCATTAAAACCTCCATGTGTAGTGGACTTCCCAGCCAGTGATGATTGATTGAAACATATTGAAACCATTTTTCCAGCACACCGCAGGCATCATTTCTAGTTTTCTGGACATGGTCCCAAAAGGGGGTACCCTTCATGGATCCCAATGGTCCCCTAAATTCCAATGTATGGATGAAATTATCGGGATGTCATTCCATTTCCAGATAAACAATGACCATTTGTTGGATCCATTTGGGCATGTTCAGACCACAAAAAGTACGTACCGACGTACCGTTGACTTAAAAGATGGAAGCAACTACAACTAGCAATGGCCCCAACCACACAGCAGCCCTGCATCTATGGCACCTGGCAGGTCAGAGGACGGTGGCTTGCGCGCACCTGCACTGCTGGTGAAAATTTGAGCAATTTTTGCCATATAGAACAAAAACTTCACCGTACGCGGTACAGGCCAAGCATTGAGACCCTGAATTTGAAAGATGTTGATCATGGTCACTTTTTGTTGTTTTCACCTATACAAGTTCACCAGCAACATCCAGCAACCATCCATCCAATCCTTGCGGTATACGGTTTCATGCCATACCATGGCGAGGAGCAGCTTCAGCTCCTTTGGAGTCTGTGGCAGGCACGGCATCTGTGGGATGGAAGGCCCGATCGTGGTAGAAGTTTTAAGCCAAAGCAACATGAGTCTAAACGATTCTAAACGAAGTCATATCGTGTGTGTGTATATATATCATGTCTAAACGTGAAATCATATCATGTCTAAACGAAGTCATGTCAAAAGTTATATTATATAATAGATTATAATAGTATTAATAGTTGGTTTAACATGTTTTAGTCAGATTTTATGTCTCTAACATATCTTTTCTTGGCCCACGGGCCTGGGCCCACCTTGGGAGGCTCAGCAGGCCTTGCAGCAAGAGGACGAACTTCTGCAGCAGGTGGGACTCCAGTGATGGTGACCTCACCGGCAGGGGATTTCTCCCCATACTAACTATTAATGGATATATGATGATATATGGATGATATATGGATGATATATGGATGGTTAATGGATGGTATATATGGATGGTTAATTGATGGTATATCTGTTCTATAATATAACTGCTTGGTGGTGACTGGAACCATGGAATTTTATGACTTTCCATCATATTGGGAATGGAATAATCATCCCAACTGACGAAGTCATATTTTTCAGAGGGGTTGAAACCACCAAACAGATAACTATTATATATATATATTATAATGATATGTATGTGTATAATTGTGTATATATATATATAATTATATATATAATTATATATATAATTATATATATATTATATATATATACAGATATACATAGATATATGAATTGGTGAGTTTTATATGGGATTTATGGGATTTATTCCCCAAAACGTGAATTTCAGGATTGGGAATCATCATTGCTTTCTTGGCAATGGAAGGTTTTGA